ACAAAAAACTCTTTTCCTCTGTTATACAAACTTATTTAGAAATTACTAAAAGTTATGTACTGTGTTTGATTCACTCTCTTAATGTAGTACAGTATCCTTTTGGTCACATCTGTTGCACGTGACAAGATGACTGCAGATCCTCATTGGTTCCTTTTCAGTATTGGTTTTAATGATAGTATTGTACTTTTTGCAAACGTGCATTTCCTTCCTCCCCAAAAGGTTCACTGTAATGAAACCAGTTCTGTGCCCAATTACAACGTCATGAAGAAACTGGAATTTATCCTCTGTTTTTCCCAGATCGTTGAAACTCTGAACCAGATCCAGGAGGTACTAAAGGAGTTAGGGTCATAACTGTACATTTTCCTGTACCAGGCTACCCACGTACCTATCAGGCACAAAACAGAAGTCACTGGGAACACTCAGCAGATCAGGCAGCATCTATGGAAAAAGGAAAGTGAGTCAAAGTTTCGGGTCCATGACCCTTCATCAAAAGGTTTCAGATTTCCAGCATCTGCAGTATGTTGCGTTTTACTTATCAAGCTCCAGTGCATTGATTGTATGATCATTGAACTAAGCTTCAAATCAAGACTTGGTCTCTGACTTTCTGACCTAAGTAATCTCCTTTAACCTTACTCGAAAAGAGAAGGGCGTTTCTCCCAGTGTTCTGGCCAACAGTCTCCCAAATAAAAAAATTGGTTACTCGCTCCATGGCTGTTTGTGGGATGTTGCTGCGTGCATATTGGCTGCTACATTCATCCACAAAATATACACAGTCACATCACTTTACAGTAAAGTTGTTTGAGAAGTCTTGAGGGACATGAAAAAGGCACTATATAAAATTATTATTGTTACTCTTTGCTCATCCAATTTTGGTCTATTGATTATCCCTCACTCCCTCAATTCCACCATTGGTGACCAAGCCTTCAGACACTATGTCTTTGTGCCTTGGAATTTTCTTCCCTTCGCTTTATTTCTCCCTGCCTTCAAAATCCCTTTCAAGAGTATAATTTTTTAATCATGCTTTTGGTCAACAACCCCTATTTTCCCCCTTTTCTCTATCATAACTATAAAGTACGTTCAGACATTATTGTATATAAAAGGCACAATATAAGTCAAGTTGTTATTGTTGTGAATTCAAAGTACCTAATTCAAGAGCCAGCTAAACTAAATTACAGCCAACTGACCGACAACAACAACAACAACAATAACTTGCATTTATATAGTGACCTTGATGCAGGGCAGCATCTCGGAGTGCTTAACAGTGGGAGATCCTGATGCCAGGGGGAGGGAGGACATGACCAAATGCACCGTCGAAGAGGTGCTTATGGCCATCTCTTTCAAGATCCATCTCAAGATCATCCTCTTTGACCACTCCTTTGTCATCTCTCCCCTCCCAATCCCTTTTGGCTCCCACCCTCAGCTCGGGTTCCAAGCCTGAAGATGGAGCATGGATGGTGAAGTTGTGGCTATATTATGAAACAAAGTGAATTCCATCCTAGATTTCAATATCAGTTTCATAAAAGATCTGTGACAGAGGATACCATTGCTTCAAGTCTGTTAAATACATTAACAGTGAAATCTTGTAAAGTAACTGGGAGAACTATATTCTTTGACTGCTGGTAGTGTGATCAGAATCTCCCAATGGAGGATAATTTCCCACCCTCCCCACTGCCCACGTACTTGTCTTATCATATTGCCAAATGTCTCAAAGCCCTTCATAGAATTTTATTGTAAAGTGCAGTAACTGTATTTGTAGGTGAACACAGTGTTGCAGACTTCTCTGGTAAACTTTTCATATAAAAACACTTGTAATAATAAAGTAATAATTATCCTCACATGGTACAGCACCTTTCACATCAGGAGAATGTCTCAAAGTGCTTCACAGGATATATTGCAAAGTATATTCTGTGTTTTTTGTGGGTGACTTATCAAACAAATGATGAACAAGATAGCTGATATTTAACGTGAGTTCCAGCTCGACTTGTTTTTAAAAAAAAAAGAATTCCTCTGGGCTTCCCCCTGTTAAACCCATTTTCTTCTCCACATAGGTTTCAATCACACTAAACTGGAAGCAAACAAGTATAATCATGTCACATAGCTTACTGTAAGTTTTCAGGAAAACAATGTGTGTTTTTCACTGAGTAATAATAATCCTTGCATTTGATATAGCGTTTTTCACATCTTTGAGACGTCTTAAAGGGTTTCACAGAATATACTGTAAAGTGAATTGACTGTTTTTTTGTGGGTGAAACACGGCAGCCAATTGTAAACAGCAGTGTCTCACAAACAGTCATGGATTTTTTTTNAGAAGGAATTATATCCCCTGGAAAAGCGATCTGCCAGTTAACTAGCAACTGGGTTCCTACTTACTGCTAAGTAAACAGAGGTGTGTTTGTGTATAGTAAGGAAACTTGCCCAATCTTTTGCCCTGCCCAGGAATCGAACCCAGGTCGCTCGCTTGTGATGAACCCAATGGCTCTAACCACTGAGCTACAGGACTCCCAGGCAATAAAGCTGTCAAAATAAATAAATAAAATAATAATTTGGTCACTCAATCTACAATTCTTTGTGGGACACTGCTGTGTGCATTTGGCTGTTATCTAACAGTAAAACAGCTGCAAATTATTTCTTGATAAACTTAAAAAGTAATTTATGTAACATGTGTTGGAGGTTGAAGATGAGGGGTGCAAGTCATGGTGAGAATCCATCATCTCCACTTTGTTTCCACCAACAGCTTCTCCTCCCAACCATGCAGTGTGCCCCAGGACTCTATTATCGACCCCCTCCTTTTCCTAATCTACATGGTCCTTTTTCATGATAATATCCACAGATATGGAATACATTTCCACATACAAGAATAATAAAAAAGCTTTGCATTTCATATACAGCCTTATCACACCATCCAGAAACCTCAAAGCAAACAAGATTTATCGTAAAGTGTGTAAAGTATGTACTTGTAGATGAACACATGTATGATTACAACACTTCAGGAGGTTAACCTACTGGAAAGGCTCTATTTTAAATGCAAGTTGTTGTTGTGGAGAAACAAGGCTCCTTGTGAACAAACGGAGTCCTGTGGCTCAGTGGTTAGAGCACTCGCTTTGCAAGTGAGAGACCTGAGTTCAATTCCAGGCAGGACGAAACCTTGGGCAAGTTTCCTTACTCCACACAGAGCCTAATAATAATCCCTCCAAAACCCAAAACAATAATAAATTGGTCATTTTCAATCTACGACTGTTTGTGGGACATTGCTGTGCGCAATTGGCTGCCGCGTTCGCCCACAAATATACAGTCAATTCACTTTACAGTGTGTTCTGTGAAGCGCTTTGGGACGTCCTCCCGACGTGAAAAGCGCTCTATCAAATGCAAGGATTATTATTATTATTATTATAAGGCTCAAACAAACAAGCAAAGTTCTTACCAGTTCAATTATATATTAGAAAAATTAGAGTTGCTCCAAGAAGCAATCTCGAGTTTAAGGCAATGTTTCTAAATCATTTAAGCTCTAATTTAATGCCTTCTACTCTTCGCCTCCTCACAGCCCACCACACACAATTATTGCCTGGTAATTATTCTTGCTCTCTCTTATTGGGAGCTAATTCATAGTATTTTTAAACAGATTTCTTAATAATAAATGTATAATTATCCAATTTCTGAACTAATGAATGGATAAGAAATTTAATAACTTTTATTTTTTATTAAGAAATCAGTCAAGAAGCATCACAAACTCAACCTCATCAGCTGTATCCGTCCTGTGGATGAGATGTGTATGAGATGATAAACCAAGATCCAATATGTTCAGGATTGAAGTTAAGGATTGGAAGACAAGATTTGAAAAAAAGAAGGCATAAAAGAGAAAGCTAGCCAACAATCACTCAGTTCACTTCTTGTCTGTTCACTTTACCTGCTCATATACCCTACTCATCTACCCACCACCCTCTTTGTTCAGCTTAGTTGTGCCTTCTGCATGTCTCTTGTCCCTGCAGCCATTATACCCGAATCTCTGTAACTCCCTGCCTCAATCCTTCCAACTGCCCCTTCTTTGCCCATTTTCAGATCGCGCCTGAAGAGTTTCCTGCCTAGGGTCTAGGGGACACCTCCTCTTTCTCCCCAACTCTATGCCATTGTTGAGTGCTCTGAGATGCCACTGCACGTGAAGGATGCTAAATAAATTGTAAGTTGTTGTTTGCTGGACATTACTATGTGCAAATTTGTTGCCATATTTGCCTACAAAATGTATAATCACTAAACTACAGCTTCATTATGAATGTAAGTTAAGAAATACAGACTGATTGCACCAGTTGAGGCCCCAGTTCATTGCGGAATCATTTTCCTGATTTCATTAAATCTCCTCCAGATACAGAATTAAAACAACACCAACTTGCACTTATGCAGCACCCTTCATGTGGGGCAGCGTCTTAGAGCGCTTAACGATGGTGTGGTTTGACACTCAGCCAGGACAAAGAGGAGGTGGCCAAAGGCACAGTCGAAGAGGAAAATCTTCAGGTCCGATCTGAAGACAGCAAAGAGGGAGCACAGTGGAGGGATTGAGGAAGGGAGTTCCAAAGGTTCAGGAGTAGTGGCTGAAGGCACGGCCACTGAGGGTGGAGCCGAGGGGTCAGGGGATGCGCAGAAGGTCCGAGCGGGGCTGTTTAAGAACATTGCTGTGCACAAATTATCTGCCCCATTTTGCCTACAAAATATACAGTCACTCCACTTTACAGTTAATCCTGTAAAGCGCTTTGAAACTTCTCCCGACATGAAAGGTGCTATATAAAAAACAAGCATCATTTTGTTTTTTAATTTCAAAGAAAGGATGTGATTGAAACTTAGGTGCAACGTGCGGAGGGGAAGAAAGCATCGAAAACTCCATAAATCATTTGACAAGAAACAAGTGACGTGGTCCTCCGGTAATCATTTAATGACGATATTCTGAATTAGCAGAAGTGGGACTTTCCTAACTAGCTATACATTATAAAGACTCAAAGCAGAGACACATTGTACATTTTACACACAACAGCTTACCCCAACTGAAAGTAAAGGAGAGCAGAGGCTGAGGTAAGTCTACAAGCTGGTCCTGATTAACTCACTGCTATCACTAACATTGGTTCTTTATAACCAGGAGAGTTGATTTCTGCTTGTGCATTATTCCAGTGTTAAGTAATGTATTCATTGAATGGAACTGTTTCATTTGAGAGATAGTGTCAGAACTATTAGGACAGCAGTACCAAACTGTTATGACCACTAGACTTTTGGCCTTTTGGTAGTCAGGCTTGACCTAGTACAAGAGTATCAATAGGACTAGGCTGTTACTAGCATTGAACTATTAGTAGTACTTGTTTTTTTAGTAGTTCAGTAGTAAATGCTACTTCTAGAATGATAATATTTGTCAAACTTGACTTGCTTACATCAAATAATTGAATTGAGCTCAGGGCTTTATTGTTTACAGTGATTATGTTCACAGTGGATCCAGCATCCAGTGGCAGAAAATTCTCTGAGATTTATATTTTGTTTCTTGTTGTTTGTCCAATTTCAAAGAGAGGGACAGCTCATGTAATGCTGGCAAAGGTCCCTCTCCCACTTGTAATAATTTTAATTTTAAAATCTGTTAATTTTATTAGCAATAAGGAAAGTGATCAGAAAATGATTTTTCTATCATATTTGCCGAAAGGAAGGAGTTTCAATAGAGGAAAATTTTGTTTAAATGTTTTTAACTGAGAACAAGACAAAATATGGCTATCTTGTCTAATAAAACCAGAGTGTTTAAAGTAGATTTAAAATCATACATATCTGTGCTGCAACAAACATAAATTATTTTAGAATTCTGGACAGTGATGGGAGATCAAGAATATAAATGTTGTTTAAACAAAAAATAAAATAATCCTTGCATTTGAATATAGCATCTTTCACATCGGGAAGATTTCTCAAAGTGCTTCACAGGGTATACTGCAAAGTGTAGTGACTGTGTCCTTTAAAGGGTGAAAGTTTCTTTACAAAAACAAAGTGAACCATTAATATTAAATTATGATGAGCTGTGGACCTATTTAAGAACTATACATATACAGTATATGTTTTTACTTATAGTGCCTCAAATCTTAGCTCTGACTGTGGACCTCAGTAGTTGGATACTGATGTGTTGGAGGTTGGAGATAATGATCTAAGACATGCTGATTGTCCTTCTATTAAAATGTAAATGTTTTGTCTTTTAGATAACTTGGACACAATGAAGACTGAAATACTACTATTTATTCTGGGAGCGCACTTGCCCGTGTTGACAGGTATGAATTCAGAGGCTGGTTTAATTGAAAATGATAAGAACATTCACTTGGGGGGGTATATCTCAATAATCCAATGGAAAACATTAAATACATGCTGGAAAATTATTCCTGCTGCTTTCTCTTGTTGCAGTTTTAATACACGACATGAGTTACAATATTTGTGATGGAGCAGTGACAAGTCACTATATCCTGTTATAAATCATCTTATGTACTATATTGGTTTCAAAACAAATGATAATTATTGCATTTGATATAGTGGCTTTAACTTCTAAGGTCTCAAGAACGTGGCAGGTAGTTGCTGTAAATGTGGTGACTCGCCAAAGGAGTGCATCTGTCCAAGTGCCATTCAACAATTTATACTCTATGCAACTTTGACATAACTCACACTTTGCATAAGTCATCTTAAATGTATGGTCCCAAGTGATATAACTTATGTGAGGTTTACTGTATCTAGTTTCAGCTCTGCCCTTAAATTGGCCTGTGTTGTGTCTAAGCAGTTGTGTAACTCTGCTCTCTGTTTCAGCTCTTTTTGTGGTCACGGCTCCCAAATCATCCTACACTGCATCCTACGGGAATAACGTCATGGTGGAATGTAGATTTCCAGTAGCCCCCAATTTCAACGCCAACCAGCTAAAGGTTTACTGGCACCATATCCTGGATGATGGTTCCTCGCAGGAAGTTTACAAATTGTTCAACGGGAAGGAAGTTCTTCAAGATCAGCTGCCTGAATACAGAGAGAGGGCCTTCTTGTTGTGGGATGAGCTGCACAGTGGACGTGCAGTGCTAAAGATTTCCCAAGTCAGAGTCTCCGACGCAGGAACCTACCGCTGTCTCATTGACCTGAATGGAGTGGATTATAAAGAGACTGCACTGAAAGTCATAGGTTAGCAACGTTCCCTCTTCTTTGTGATGTTTTTCATTACAACAACAAAATTACATGTGTATAGCGTCTTTCACGTCGGGAGGACGTCCCAGAGAATGAAGATTGGCAATGCTGGAAGCACAAGCGTTATCATTTTTATGTCAGGCACAACTGAGCATTGGTGCGATATCATTAGTTCAGACCAGCAGTAGTCAGCACTGCGGAGGAGAAGCCTTTGCTTCGCTCTTGATCTTCCAGGTTTAAGATGTTTGTAACTGCGTCTTATCCAGCTGAAGGACATGGCAAATTTACTATAAAATCCTGTGGTAACTTTGAGTCAGTTTGACCACAAACTAAGACACCATATCATATTGAAGGATTATTATGATTTATTAGCTCAGGATCACCAAGCAGTACTCCAGCAGGGAATAGGAAGAGGAATAACTTTAAAGTTGCACCACGATTTCCATTCAAACTCTTTTGTTGATGACTCGAATGATAATGCTGTAATCGAGTTAGTGTACTTGTGTTAGGGTAATTGACGTCTAGGGGACTGACTGTATTACGGGCTGTCAGCCCGGCATCTTTTGCAACTTCCCATCTACTAGCTACAATGATACTGAAAGATGTGGTAGTTGCCAAAGTGGAAGTAGAGAAAATAACTGAAAAGCAGATATGAAAGTTCCCATTTTAACCAGAATTACTTTAGATTTTACTTATGTAAAACCCATTGAAAAGGTAAACAACAACAACAAATTACATTTATAGAGCACCTTTCACATCAGGAGGACGTCTCGTATATACTCGTAAATGAAAAGTGCATATTTAAAAATTCCTTAAAAAACAAGAGTGGATTAAATTACCTCTGTCCTGTATTTTGCAGCTTCGTATGAAGACATACAGACTGTCACTACTACAGAAAAGAAAGAGACAGAGTTAATTTGCCAATCTGCGGGATATCCTTTAGCTACAGTGACCTGGCTCTACAGGAATGGGTCTGAACTGAACAAGACAGCAAATACCACCTACTTCATTGGCACTAATGGGCTGTATAACATCAGAAGTGTACTGAGAGTACAAGCAGATATCAATGATACGTTTGTGTGCAGGTTTTGGAATAAAGAACTAAACAAGAATACATCGGCTGCTTTACATATTGCAGGTAAGTCTTTATTACTCTTTCTATGCCCAATGACTTATTTTACCAATTTTCTGTGACTGACATGTACATAACTCAGATACAGAAAAGTTTCTCCCCTTCCCCCTTCACACAATATATCCCCTGACACAATATTCAGATATATTTGTGGAGTCCTGTAGCTCAGTGGTTAGAGCACTCACTTTGCAAGTGAGAGACCTGAGTTCAATTCCAGACAGGGCGAAACCTTGGGCAAGTTTCCTTAATCCACACGCCTAATAATAATCCCTCCAAAACCAAAAACAATAATAAATTGGTCATTTTCAATCTACGACTGTTTGTGGAAATTTGCTGTGCGCAATTGGCTGCTGCGTTCGCCCACAAATATACAGTCAATTCACTTTACAGTGTGTTCAGTGAAACGCTTTGGGACGTCCTCTTGACTTGAAAAGCGCTATATCAAATGCAAGGATTATTATTATTATTATTATATAGGTTTAGAGTTGTAAATGGCAATTTCTCAACATATACCAGGATGTTTTTCTGGTGGTCGAGTTCAGGACACTGGGCTCGATTAAACAGCAGCTTAATGCAGTGATGAGAGGCTGGTAGGTTGGATGAGATTGGTTGGGTCGAAGGACCTTCTTCATCCAGACCAATCTTGTGGTTTTGCAACATCTCTCCTGATGCTGGCCTTTCAGTCCTTTCCTAGGAGAGATGAGAATCCAGAGAAAACCCAAGGCCAATTTAGGTAGACATTTACCTGGAAAATTCCTCTCCTACTCCCAAAGGCAAGCTCCAGGAAAGGGCAGAGCAACAATTATCACAGAGATTGCTTAATATTCAGATGGATTGGATACATGGCTAGCCATATACCTGTGTGCAAGGCATGGGTGAAGTAAATGATAAATGCAAAATGTTAGGTGGGGAATGCATGCTTCCCTATTATATCAAGCAAGATTCCTGTCACCTGTCATTGTGGAAATGTAAACTGAGATTCATTTATAAATTGCTTGGATCATGCTGTCCCAATTACAATTTATTTTGGTAATCAGTTGTAAATCCAGATAAAAACATCACAGGCCTGAAAATCCACCTGTGTGCCCATTCTGGAGGAGGAATTCCACCTGGGTTCAGATGTGCTAATTAACTAACACACACACATACAGAGTAGAGTCCGCTACAATAATTTTATACATCACCATTGGCTGTCACTGTCGATTTCCATGAAAAAAAATCAATTTCTTTTTGGCAATGTCTGTCAGTGAACTCTTGTAATACATATAAATGTTGGTACATTTGAATGAACTCTGCTTTTTTTTCCAAAAAATAGCAACCGAAAAGGAGCGTGAAGAAGCTGATGATTTCCCTTCATCAATGAGAAGTTACATCATCTTAGTATTAATTGCTCCTATGATGATTTTTGCTGCACTTCTTTTGCTCCTGTTAAGGACAATCAAATCACGACAACTATCAGGTAAGGCACTTGTCCTACGCTATGTATCAATGATGTCCTACATTGGAAATGTTCTGCTCTATGAACTCTTTTTTAATCAATTTTGAAAGAAATAGTTGGGCACCTGGTTTCAAGACATGTTAAAAAGAACTATAATATGCGTTTTTCTGTGTGGTTTTGTATTTGAGTGAAATCCTGCATTAAATCTATTTTGTGTGGCTGGACATCAGGTCATATGATTGAAACTAAGATGGCGTGAATAACTGCATTTACACTCCTTGTGTTGTTTGTCTTACCAGAAAAAAGTACTCTGCAACCTCTTCCCTGAAATATGAAGACCTTGCTTTTGGGATAAGAAGCAACCTTCTGATATGGCTGTAAAAGGAGAAGTGGTGCATCGCCTACAGATACACTACACTTTACAGTCAATCCTGTGAAGCACTTTGAGACGTTTTGATGATATAATAAGGCAGATGCGAAATCCAATGCAAGGATTATTATTATAACTGTACAAGCAATGCAGTTCAGTGAAACAACCAGTCTGATAGAAGCTAGAATGGATCATCCACTCTGAGAGAAATATAATACTGTGAATATTCTCTTCCACCTCTGTATGAAAATCATTTTCATTAGTTCTGTAATGTGTGCCAACAAAAAACAGCATTTGCCAATTTACATCCAGCATTGGATATATAATTCAGGTTAGATCTACTTCCAGATCTTCATTGTCCAGTTTGTAGGAGCAAATTTGGGTGGGTGGGTGAAAGAAAGTCTACTGCACACACACCAGATTGAGCTGCACTACAGGTCAGAAGTGATATGTTACACATTTTACAGACAGTTGTATTACTCCCAGATCTACTTTATGCTGGATCATCAATGGAGTATTTTAATCTCATGGGGAACATCACTAAACATACAATTCACAATTAGTAATATATATTATATATTTGTGCTAGATATTTTTACGAATGGTATTTTTTAAATGTAATATTTCCACTTCAACATTTGTACCAATGGTTTGTAGTTTCATTTTGTGAATGATATTATTGTATGTGAATATTTACAATAAAACAGATGCAATTCCATGTTTGCAAGTTCTGTTAAGTGTTTTCTCTAGAGTAACGACACACTACAAAATTACCAATGAAGAAAATTCCAAGCAATCAAAAGTGATTTTGTTCGGGGGAACGGGTTTGACCCTCTTAGCAGGTCAAAACTGGGAGAACAACTGTTAAAAATATGAAATGACTTAAAGCTGAAGGTATGGCCTGGAATTCCAGCAGCTAAATGGTGAAAAAGTTAATCTCAGGTCTTCTTTGCTGTGCATTCTTGACAGAACATTGCCTGTTTAAAGTGCCATTGCTGAAAGGGACCTATATGGAGTTGAATTGTGTGTGTTTGTGTGTGTGTGGGGGGTGTGTGCGGAAGGCGGGAAGGGGTAGAACACCATTACAAGTGTGAGTTAATGATGAAAGTGAGGATTGAGAGAGAGTTTGGGGCATAGTGATTGAAAGTGCGGTCACCGATGGCACAAGGGACAAGCAGGAGGCCGGAGCCAGTCAGGCAGAGGTAACGGCTAGTGGATTGGCGAGTCAACAGGTCGGACAGGTAGGGAAATGCCCAGATATGAAGGGCAGGATGTGAGCATTGGGGCCCAAGTGACTCCAAACATTTTGAGGTAAAGTCTCGACCTGCGGGTATGCATCAGTGTCAATTATTTTTATTTCTATGATCTCCAACAAAAAGGTCACAAACATCCATCAATATCATATCATTGCTTTGTTGTTCTGTCATTCGAATCAGGTGCTTTCTGTTGAGTATTCGCTCTGGCCACAGTCGTGAACATACTTCCTCAAACACCAGCAGATCTTCAAAATCTCTACTTTCAGAACTTTGTGTTCGAACAGAGACTCAGCAGACACTCCCATCCCCTCCCAAAGGTCCAGCACATCGTGAACTGATATCCTGTATACATTAAACATTAATACTAGTGTGATGAAGCAGTGTTACCAATGGTAGCTTGGTTCTGAAGTGTTTCTCCGACATTGCAAAGCATTCTCAAATCCGGCACTCAGTGAGAATAAATCGTCTCCTCTATGCTAAGTCGAGAGAAATCTCTGAAAGGAGGAATTGCTTCTAGCTACACAATCACCCTAAGCGACCAATAATATTTATTTATTGTCTGAAATAGCTGAAATTAAAGAATCCTTGACTTAAAGTAATTGATTCTCATTCCTACCTGCTGCACAGTCATGTTGATTCCTTGAACAGTAGCCTCTAGCTTGTTAATGCAAGCTTGTCAACACCAACATTAACGATGTACATCATCATTATGTTAAAAGCCTCATAAAAGAGAAGAATAACTGTGCTCTGAACCCCACTGTTAATGAGGAACAATTAAGGATTTTACTCCAACAACTTATATTCATATAGCACCCTTCACATGGGATAATGTCTTCGAGTACTTGGAGTGATAATATGGAAATATTTGCACTGCAAAAAAAATGAAATTTAATATATAGATTTTAATGAAACACATCTTACATTCTTCCCCAAATTCTGCTATTTTTAAACTATTTGTGCTGACAAAGAATTGCACAGAATCTAGCCTTGTAGAACTCAAAATTTAGAACAACAAAATGATGGTTTTCGGACTTGGGAGGAAGTGACTACTTAACCCAGAGGGGTGTTGAAATGCATGTTATTTCATTTCTTTCTATGTCTAAATAAAAGGTATTTCCATTCAGCAAGGATTCTGTCAAAATAGCATTGAATGTTCCTTAGATATAAAAAGGAATGCTTTATCCACTGCAAATATTGCTCCAAATAATTTGATTTCAAATGTGTGTGTATGGTAGCCAATGGATGAAATTAGAATTTTACACAAGACAATTTTCCCATTTTAATTTGTTGGTGCGTGGTCTTCCTTTATTTATTGTATTTTCAATTCCATTGGTTGTTTGCCTGATGTTGCTTTCTCTGAGGCAGTATTCATGGCTCAATGACGGTAGGGACGTGCATGTCCTGGCTTACGTATCATGCACTGTTGTTCTGCACTGTACTGTCTGCAGCTTTAGCCGAATATGACAGGTCATTGATTTCCCCTCCTGCTCACTCCATCCATCTATCTCCACATATTCTCCCTTCCTTCCCACTCACAGTCTACATCTGCACCTGCTTTGGGTAAAATGACTCTCACTCTCAACTGAAGAGTGTTGGGGAAAGCTATTAGGAGGTGGATATCTCCAAAGTTCCTTAGTGATGCAGATCTTGATGTGCTTGTCAGTTGTGCAAATGCTATAACTCCCTCTTTAAAAGGCTTAAGGTTTTCTTCTCTCTTTCCTCCACCCAGTCCCTACCAATAATAATAATTCTGGCATTTGATATAGCGCCTTTTCACGTCAATGAGATGTCTCATGAGGATTTTACTGTAAAGTGCAGTGGCTATAATTTTGTAGGGAAACACAGTAGCCAATTTGTGCACAGCAATGTCCCACATGCAGCCATGAAGTGAATGACCAATTTTATTTGGGGGTTTGTTGGCTAGGACTCTGAGAGAAATTTCCTTCTCTTTTCAAATTGTATCATGGAATATTTAATGTCCACCTGATCAGGCAGACGGGACCTCGGTTTAACGTGTGATCTGAAGGACAGCATCTCCAACAATGCTTTAATCCTTATTAATATTAATTAACACAGGAATGGAGACATATCAAAAAGATCAATGTTCAAACCAAGTGACGGTGAGCAAGTATGAGCTGTAAGAAAAACATTTAAGTATCTCAATGAATAGTGTGTTTTATTTAGTGCCATTTCTAATCAGTGTGGAGATTTACAAGAAAGAGGAACTTTATGTTAATCCCCTGCCGCTTCTATTTCGTAACACTTTTAGTCCGAGCATTTTCTGGAATTGCCTTTTCAGCCTCTTGCGAGAAATCAACATGACAGTTCTTCGGTTTCTCATGTTAGGAGGGAATTATTTCATTGCGTGTTATTTTCTTCTGTTAAACAGAAGGTCTTTCTGCTGAAGTTCAGCTATGCTTTACACAAAAATAGAGAATATAATGAATACATGGAGAAAGGAGAAGAAGCGGGAATAGCGAAAGAAAAGACGAAATGCAGAGCAAGAGAAATATTTTAACCACTTTATTTTGAAACAATATGTCATTGTGTTCTCTAGATATATATGAAATGAATAGCATTCTTACTGTAATACAGGGGAACTCTAATATAATATCTTGGTTGTTTCAAGCCCTTGTGCCTGTGGCCATGCTAACTGGATGAGCAGTACAGTTGGAGTCTGAGTGGTGCTGACTAGTTGGGGTAAAATTTTGCAACTTTTGGTAACTACCACAAGGTGCAAGTTAATGAAAATGACTTCACCTCAGCTATTCCAACCAGCCCCCTCCCTCACCACACACACATCTCAACACACTCAACAATGTTGATCTGTGACGATGAAATACCGTACCACTTTTGAGGAACCCCGATGATGTGGCTAGAGCAGAAGTTTACATTATCTGCACACACAAAATATTTTCGTTCTACTCTTGGGTATTTTTAGATATGTTGACCACTGCAGCTACAAGCCATATTTTCCCTGAAAAGAACATCAAATGCCTTTAATCCATGCATTTCATATAGCATCTGTGATCTCACCCCCGAGTCCCCTCGCCTTCCTCCTTCCCTCACCTCCAAGATCTGCTTCAAGTCCTTCCTTTTTGATCGCGCTTCCATCTCCCTGCTCCCCCGCTTACCTCCCACCCTTGCTCACCCCAACCAGCATTATGGAGAGGAAATCCAGCTAGGAATCCCTCGACAAACTGTAATGGTAGTGTGCATGTGAGGTAGTCAGGTGGGGGAAGAGGTCAAGCACAGCTGTGATGCTCTCGAATTGCCCTGCTGACATTCACTGCCAAGGCTCACATATGAACAGAGTTTCTGAAGGATAACGTCAGCATGAGGAGGCTGGGGACCTGGAACAGAGTTATATGCCCGTGGGGAGAAAAATTAAGTCAAAGAATTGGCACCCTGAATTTATAATAAAAAATGCTACTTCAGGCCTAAAACTAAGAGTATGAGGAATGGCTGAGAAAGGATGTGGCTGGTGTTAACTGTGGCACTTGGGCATTGCTCATAGGGCAGCATGTGGCACACTGTAAACCCATCTAGCTATCAAGTTAACAGTCATTGGGCTGTGCTGGAGATAGCTTCCATTTTACAATCCATTTAGCTCATAGAGTGGCTTCATACAGGAGTCCAGTCTTTAAAGGCAGTAGACTACTACAACCGCATGATTGAACGACGGTATATAACAGGGGAATTATTCGACAGTTTTAAGAGTAGTCATAAAGGAAGTAGCTTCTATAATTTGTGGATCATCTGACTAATACAAGATATTTCCATTAGACCTCGCTTTGAAATCACCTGCGTGAATCTCCCCCTCACAGGACTCCAATCACGAGTTGTGATTATGCACAGAACATTTTTCGTTTCATATAACAAAACGTCACCTGGGCGGAACAAAATATTTGTGTACTACACTTGGGTATTTTTAGGTAATGTTGAACATTGCAGCTGCTGCCATGGTTTCCTCCCCCAAAAACACCAATAAATTGATATAGCCCTTCACATAGGATAACATCTTGGAGCACTTCAGTTATGAGGTTGGGTGTCAAACAAGGTAGATAGGTCTATTGGGAGTCATGGAGCCAGTACAATCAGGTAGTTGGTGACCATAGCCGGAGTCAAAGAAGTAAATTTTAAGGTGAGACCTGAAGAAAGATCGAGAAGACATGATGGAGGAGGAGGGAAGGATTTCCAGATGTTTGAGGTCTAGAGTTTGAAACGTAAGCACCCAATGGCGCAAAGGGTGGGTGGGGGGTGGGAGTTGGTCGCATATCGAGCCCGAGTTAGCTGAGTGGAGGGGGTAATCAGAGAAGTGCGATAGAAGGAGATGAAAGTTATAGGAAGATGCAAGGGTCCTCACCTACACATCCCTTCAGTAGGGCAAAGGGATTTATAGGCGAAGATTGTGAAATGGGTCTGTTGGGAGTCATAGAGCCAGTACGATCAGCCAAGGACTAGGATAATGGACATCACAAGAGTTTGTTGTGGGCAAGATAAAGGCAGCTGAGTTTCGGATAATGTGGTAGATGTGAAGAAAAGCAGTCTTAGTCAGAGGATCTGAGAGAAAGTTGAGCTAGGATTTTGAAGGAAAAAAAACCTGATACAGGGTGTGGTGCTCAAACAACTGGAGGAGTAAAGAGCTAAGCCAGGAGAGGTTAAGGAGATGAGAGCTACACCGCCATCATTGAGATTTGGGGGTGGGGGGCGTAGTGGAAAATATTGTCAGATGGCAAGACCTCCATGAGGCGTAGGTGCTATCTTTCATTAAGAATCAGGTCAACGTGCGCCAATGTAAACAAAATGTTTCTTAAATAAGTCCTGCTTAAACAAAACCTCCCGAAGTTCTCAGCATCCCAGGGAGAGAGGTTTTGGTGGAATCCATCTTTTACATCAGCTAAAACCTCAAAATTCTTATTTAAAAAACTGTAAGAATGGTTATATTCCAGATGGAGGATTTCAGCAATTTTGTGCATTAAGGACATTTTCTACTTGTTACTAAAAGATCCAGAGTCAATGCATTTTACCAATAACATAGTGACGTTTTAATTAGGAAATATTTCATCTGTTGTTTCTTAGCTGCCCTTGAACTTTCTGCCTCATTGCACAAAGGAAGTAAAAAAAACTGTGAAATGTTTTGAAGCAAGAATGTACTGCGGATATTCTGGGGCTCTCTTCCTGTCATTCACAGATTCAAATCTGAAGTCAATGTGTTGACGTTTTTGTGTGCCTTATCATGCTGTTAAGACATCTCAAAGTGTTTCACTGGACATACTTTAATGTGGTGTGTGTGTACTTTGTGGGTGTGCATGAAGGCCAATTTGTGCTCAACAATGTCTCACAAATAACCATTTATTTGGCGGACTGTGTTTGCAGCCTAGACACCAGGCAAATCTCCATTCTGTTTCTGAATAGTGCAATGGGGTATTTAATATCCACCTGGACCTACAGATCTTGGTTTAACGTCTCACCTGAAGGACACTACCTCTAACAATGCAGCACAGCCGAGGACTCAATTGGAGTGTCATCAGAGAGGTATTAGCATAGACTATATGGATTCCAGACCCTGATGTAGGGCTTAAACACACAACCTCCTGACTCAGCCGCGAGACAACCAGTTGAGGCAGGCTGACACTCAATTTAGGAAATAACTTTCCGTTCAGTTTTTAATAATGGAATAGACTGCCATCTAGTGCTGAAAATAAATTTACCCAAAGCTTTCCAAAAATAATATTATAGATCCTCAGGTGAAGTTAATAATTCTTGCATTTGATATAGCTTCTTATCACATCAAAACATGTGAAAGTGCTTCAGAGTTTTCTACAAAATGTACTAAGTGTACTTGAGTTGAACATAGCAGCTAATTTGCACACAGCATTGCACTTTGCACAGCCTTGAAATGAATAACCTTTTTTTTAAAAATAGGAGGTTTGCTGGCCAAGCCACGAGGAGAAACTCCTTTCTCTTTTCAAACAGTGCAATGGAATCCTTCAATATCCACATAATCACGGACAGGACTTCAAGTTTAACGTCTGGCTCCCGTCAGCACTTCATCACCTCAGGTACTGACAGCATCATTATTCACGAATGCATTCTCCACCTCACCGAGCCAATGTGGAACCTTGGTGCCTTGTTCAACCTTCAACTGTCTTTTAAATCTCGTGCCACGATCCTTTCGGCCTTCCCCCACCATCACCACATAGCCCGCCTCCGGCACTACCACTCCCCTCAGGCTGCCGAGACCTTCATCCCGGCTTTCATTATGTCCACGCTAACTCCCTGCTCGCTGGACTTCCCAACTCTTCCCTCCGCAAGCCTCAGATTATTCAGAACCATTGTAGCTCGTGTCCTCTTCTGCACTAAGCTCGGTGAATCTTCACCCCCATTCTCCACTGGTTCCACATTCCCCAGAGGATCGAGTTCAAGATCCTCATCCTCATCTTTAAAGTCCTCCACAATCTTGCTCCTCTAACTCTGTAATAAATACATTAAAACTTTGCCAACGGGTCTGCTCCCTCTGCTCAGCAGGCACTGCTCCATGACCCCCGCCCTGCCCGCTCCACCGTCAGCAGCTGTGCCTTCAACCTTTCTACCCCCATCCTCTGGGACTCCCATACCAGAGTCCCTCCACTTTTCCCCATCCATTGCCTCCTTCAATGCCTGTCTCAAGACCTTCCTCTTTGACTGTGCCTTCGGTCATCTTCCCAACCACACTCCCCTGCCCCTTCATCCATATTGATTTCAACTCCCAGATCAGTCCAATGCCTTGGGGTGCTCCCCGATATGAAAGGTGCTATATAAACACAATTTTTTGTTTTTGTCTCATTTGAAGGATGGTACTTTTGACAATGCAACTCTGCTCCCCAGCACTGCATTGGAGTGTTAGTCTGACGAGGGGCTTGAACCCACAACCTTCTGACTCAGCTCAGTGGGAATCTGAGCCTCGTGCAAATCAGCAACCCTGGAAAAGGGCAGTGATGAACTGAATTTGCTTTCCTTTGGCGTTCTTGGTAGCCTTAATAACGTATGCACATATGATATTAAATGAAATGATTAAAAATTATTTTCCCCAAGTTTAAATTCAGTATAAGTTATGTAATGAAGTCAGAAATAAATATGATTCAAAACAGTGATTACAGGCAAACAAGTTGTACTTTTATTCAGTTGCGAATGACAAAAAACATATTTGACTGTTCTTAAAATGCTAAAAGTCTATGCAGCTACTAAAAATCACTATTGATAAAAGTACACAATACTGCTAAGGTTAATAATAGGTTATTAACAATAATAATACATTCAAAAGACTCAATATGTTAAACCATAATGGGTAGAAAATGTCTTGCAGGAAAATAAAACAATTAGTGTGTGAAACAAAATTCAGATAAGTCTCAGAAGTGAAACAGTTTAAATTCTTGTCCACAATTAAGTATTGCACAAGAAAATTCAGGAACTTTGCTCTAATACTTGTATAAAAGCAGACGGCTTGAACATTTATTCTCAGTTGTGCACAGATGTGTCTCAGTATTGTTTGTTTCTCGAACATTGTTACATTTATCTAAGTTACATAATTGAGTTGGACCAGAACACTGTAAAATGAACAGTCATACTGTTAAATAGATTAGAGTGGAAGCAGATTTCTGCATCTGCTGGTTAGTATTTTAAAAATCCTGTAAAGCATTGTACTGTATTTGCAACTGCATTTTCTTTCACAGTAGTACTACCTAAAATATTCCCAAGAATTTAGTATTAAGACAGCCTCAAATGGTCATCAGTGGAACATTACATTGCAAAAGCTATTTTCAATCTCAATGTTCTTTGTCAAATTCATGTTTTTCTTTTCCTTGCTACAATTCCTTTCTCTAGTTTTATCAAACTCTTTCATATTTTTCCTTTTTAGATTACCTTATTCCTCCCCCCCATTTGCTTGTTTCCTTGAAAACTGTGAGTCACATACAGGAAGCTAGTCATTATACTCAGTTTTAAATAAAAGCTAGTTCTTAAATATGAAAAGAATGATCTAAAAATTCGAGATCTACCTGGTGCTACTCAAGGGAATTCTTTAACATATTATTACAAATAATAAAATGTTAAGTTTAATCCATTTACTGAAAATCCTTCAGAAATCTCCACCATTTAATTTTAACAAATGCAGGGGTCATACATAATGTCCAGCGCTTTGGGACGTCTTCCCGATGTGAAAGATGCTTTACAAATGTAATTTATTGCTGTTGTTCCCTCATAGTAAAGGGATTGTATTAGTGTATTTTAGAACAAAACTTTTATTTCTATTTTTTGATAAGTTTGTGCTTTGTAAAGGAATTTCTTAATAATAATAATCCTTGCAATTTGATATAGCGCCTTATAACGTTGTCAAGACGTCTCAAAGTACTTCACAGGATATACTGTGAAGTCGAGTGACTGTGTATTTTATGGCCGAAATAAGGCAGCCAGTTGCGCAGAGCAGTGGCCCACAAACAGTCATGGAGTGAGTGACCAATTATTTTTTGGGGGGATTTGTTGGCCAGGACAGCAGGAGAAACTCGCTTCTCTTTTCAAATAGTGTCATGGCATCTTTAACGTCCACCTGAACAGGCAGACTGGACCTCGGTTTAACGTCTCATTAAACAGGGTGTACATAAATTAGTAACATAATACTGCGTGTTTAAAAAAAATTAAACATACTTTGCTTGATTCTCTATCTTTCTGACATAAAATGCAAACCACAAATATTTAATTTTGTTCATCGATTTGTTTTAAGCTCAAATTGCATATTTGTATTTTTTTCAACAAATAACCTTCACAGCACATACTTTAAACATTAACTCATTAATCCCCAGTGATACATTAATGAATATTACATTACAAAATTACATTACAAAATACGCTTGCTATAATGCAATGATACTGCATTTATAATCAATAACAATTTCATCTTCTTTGATAATCTTCACCCGAATAACGTCATAGTGTTCTCTAGAAACGCACCTCAAGAGAGTACCGTAAGTGTGACTCGACCCTTTGTGCGTTTGAGAATACCAACAGCTTCTTCGTGAGTAACACCCTCCAGACTTTGCCCATTGACAGCAATGATTTGGTCTCCACGTTTCAGTCGACCATCTTCTGCAGCTGCCCCCTAAATATTGCATCAAATTTAGATCAGCACAGGTTATTCTGGACATTTTCGGGTACTTGAAAACATAACAATGTAGGAAAGGAAAAGGGCATTCCTTTCAATAATTCCATCCCTTTTTGATAAAGTCTCACGTCTAAATACCTGCCTTGTCATCAGATCTCTCAATCCTTCTTCACTCCCCAGAATTTTCAATTTGCCTTTTTAACAACTTGTGAAACCTTGGCATTCTATTCAATCCCGAGTTGAATTTCAAATGTCTAATCTGATCCATCAGCAGGAATGCCTTTTCCCAGACTGGAATATTAAGATATATAGCATTCGCCCCTTCCTCACTGATGCTAAACGCTGGCACCATTTACTCCACTCTTCACTTCAACTCGTTCAGAACATCCATAGCCCAATTCCTTTCCTCAACAAGGTCCCCAGACTCCCATCAACCCTACATTTGCCAAGCTCCACTGTGTCCATTCCAAAACAAATCAATTAACAAGATCCTCATCTTCAAATCCCTCAGTCTAATTCATCCTATTTGTGTAATCTTCAAACTTTGCTTCCATGTTTCAAATTCTAGTTTGCCTCTTGTGCCCCACTCCTTGGATTCCCGACATTATTCAATCACCATTAGTCTTTGCTCTGAAACTCAATTCCTAAATTTTGAGGTGAAATAAGATTATATAAATGCAAGTTATTGTTTAAGATGCATTATGCAGAACTCAGAAATCAGCCATTCATTTTTTCAACAAATGCACAACATTCAGTTCCGTAAGTGCCATACTGTTAGAATCAAGGATGCATTTCTGGAATTGCATCTCTGCAAAAATGTACAATTAAAGTTAATTCCTTCTTTTCACACGTAACCTTGGAAGACATTCAAGGAAATACGAGCTTCAGGAAGTAATTAAGGCATAACCTTTTTGAACTTATTTATTTCCTCTTTCTCTCTCTCCTCCCCAAAACATCATTCATGAAGGGGTACGGGTTTCTGGGGTCCAAGAATCATTCAATGTCTGTTCCAAGAAGCCAATTTTTTATATGTGAGCCTAGGCTATTTAACTGTGAGGGCATCCCACCTGGGTCCAAAGTTGTCTTCTATTCATATTCAGAAATACATACGTTCTAGCAAGGGTCACTGGAGAGCATGAATGGAAACCTTGACTGATATTTTCTCCTTTAAACCATCATTAATGAGACCAACTGTAGAACCTTCATGGTCCATAAAACTTAATACAACAACAGGCAATGGATCCTAAGAGAGCACTTTTTTTATACATCATGTACAATTAAAATAATGTTAAATATACTTCAGAAATCCAGCCCATTGATGCTATCCTGGTGCTACCTCATTCGCTGGAGTTATCTACTCTAATCTCAATTCCCCACATGAAAATGTAATACTTTGCATTTTCAAAGTGTTAGAAGTCTATATCTCAACAGTAATTCAAAAATTCAGGAGAACGCCTCCTATCTACTTACCTTTGCAAACACAGTCTTTACATAAATAGGTAGGTCTCCATGAGGGCTGCCATATCCACCAACAATGCTAAATCCTAGACCATCAGGCCCTCTCTCCAATGTGATGGTCTTATACTGTGGAGGCCTAAAAAAGTAATTGAAGTGGCTTGAGTTAAGTATTTTCATATTTTCTGGGCTTATTATCATTCTTTATGACAAGCACAAAGTAGATATTGCTCATTGCAATAATCAAAACTTACTGAAACGCAGAAAATAAGCAAGTAAAACGTCAGTGGGAAACACAATCTGATCATCGTAATTTACGAGTAGCAGAACAATGAACAGAACAATTCTTGTTTGTAAATATCGGGTTTGAAACCCATTGTAAGACTAAAGGTATAATCTCAACTGTTGCTTTTAATGTATTAAGTACTTTATAATTTTTCTCTGAAATCTAGCCCACTATTGTTTTAACTGGAAGCAACTTCCACGTGAACCTTGCAAATGCTGGAAAATAGCTAGCCTCCACTGAGCGTTTTCCTCAACAGCTCAGCCAGTCAGATATTCACTGTCTATTGCTATGGATGCCAATCATGTCCTGCTCAATTCCAATGCATATGTTGCTGTAGTATGTCATCTAATTGAGTCACATTAAAACAAAATGTTCAATAGGTCACATTCAAATATTCTGAAATTCAGCATCTAATAACAAATACTAGACTAGAGAAAACATCTAAAATGCAATATTGAATGAGAGAAAACATCTAAAAATATTATTCCATAACAAATTGTTAACAAAGATAATAATATGGCTATTATATTAGTTACTTTGAGGTACTCTGGGATGAAATTCCAGAGAATGGGGGCAGATTGACTGAAAGGCCGACTACTAATAGTGGAGTAGGTAGGGCAGGGGATATGAGACAAACGGGATATAACGGAATCTAAAATTATTGCGATTCATAGACCAATCAAAAATTTGAAATTTAAAAATCCTATAAAATATTACTAGAGACTGGATTTTCAATAAAAGGTGTTATAAATAATAATAATCCTTGCATTTGATATAGCGCTTTTCACGTCGGGAGGACGTCCCGAAGCGCTTCACAGAACACACTGTAAAGTGAATTGACTGTATATTTGTGGGCGAACGCGGCAGCCAATTGCTCACAGCAATGTCCCACAAACAGTCGTAGATTGAAAATGACCAATTTATTATTTTTGGGGGGTTTTTGGAGGGATTATTATTAGGCGTATGTTATTCTTGTGGCTGAAAAATTTTCTACGAAAAGTGTTTGGGAGTTTTAGAATTTCACCAATAAGTTCACCTTATTGCATGTTTTGTCAGCCAGTACATGATACATACCCCAGATCGTCATGAAGGATGCTGCTCGCTGTCAGCCCTGAGAGAGAGAGAGTGGTTCCACCATGTTCCTGCTGCTGACTAGTTATGACACCAACGTCACCTCCTGCTACTACCTACAAACGATTGTCATCACAAGTGGTATTAGAAACAGCTTAAAACCATGTTAATTCCTGCAGTGACTATGTGATAGATGTTACTTGTTAAGATCACTAGTTCTGCTTCCTCAGTCTGGTGATCTACTTGCAGTTGCTGTTGCCAAAACACCAATGTTGTTGCTGACCACAGCGTTTCAATGTCACTTCACAGGACGTCCGAAGGCACTTGACAGTCCTGGCTTGGCGCCCAAGCTGGGGTGGGAATGGGGGGGGGGAGGAAAGATGACTGAAGCCGGAGTTGAAGAGGAAGGTCTTGAGACAGTCTTTGAAAGAGATGAGAGGGGGGCGTGTAGGAGGGATTCAGGGATGAAGTTCCAGAGAATGAGGGCAGATTGGCTGAAAGGCCGACTGCTAATAATGGAGTAGGTAGGGCAGGGGATATGAGGCAAACTGGATATAATGTTATCTAAAAGTATTGTGATTCATAGACCAATCAAAACAGCAGCAAGCGTAATATTCTAAATAAAAGTACATTAAGCTTTTTCATACCTGTAATTCAATTTGACCTGAAGCACTCTTGAGTAAGCTAACAGCCTGGGAGTGAGTCAAGCCCTCTGTAGGCTTCCCACAAATGCTTACAATTCTGTCTCCAACCTACATATCAGGCCGTATAGAACAAAAATTAAATGTGGTTTTGTGCCAAAATAATTGTGACAAAAACATTAAGAGAATCTTTGTAAATGTTACCTCAAAATAGTTTTAACACACAGGTACTTACCCGCATTTTCTGTGTCTGGGCTGCCACTCCATTTGGTTGCATCATTGCAATAAAAATGGGAACATCTCCGAGTGGGCTTCCTGTTCCTCCCGCAATGCTAATTCCCAGGGAATCATTGGGCCCCTGTTATTACCAACATCACTTGTAATCAGCCAATGTATTCAGAATTTATAGTTTTGAGACACGAGTAGAACAACTCAATTTTCAAACAGACCTATGACATTTTAACAATATAGTGTGTGTGTAGATGGTTCCACCGGCTATAATACGTTGGGCTAACTCTGCTCCATAGCAATCCTGGTTTCTGCAGGTCCCATTTAACCAATCACTCTTATTCTTATTCACTCTTATTCTCATATTTTGTGATAATTCAATGGTTTGCTCCCCTATTCTCATTTCTAGAAGTATTTTCTATTGAGCTACTTCCTAATATCATGCTATAGGGCATATTCCCTTAACAAACAAATTCCCTTACCAATATATCCAACCAATTTTAATTAAATTGTTTTAGCTACTGTAATATACCAAATAAACAGCTAATGCTCCTTGTACAATATTATTTTACATGTACTATTTACTTGATTATACTGAGCAGAACTGGCAGGATAAATACTGGTCTTGACGTGGATCAACTTCATTAAATAAACTTTTAAATTGATAAGTAATTTAGGACACAGATTATTCATCACTATCACAAGTAGAAGAGGAATACACAGATGGTCAGCAGAATTTTAGGGATGAATTCTTTCAAATCTCACTGAAGTGATTTATTACATAGTGTACAAATTTAAAACTCACCTTGGTAAACTCTACTGTTCTTAGCCCTTGAATCTCTGACCCTTCATACAAAAAGAAAGAATATACAGTGAAATGTTTAGTGTGAAATTTTTGAAGAAAAAGAGATGCAGGATACTGAATTTACAACCTGCATGCTTAGCGTCAATTGCATAATCAGGAGGATGTGGCTCAGAACTGTATTATAATGAATAAATTAGGTAATACTTTTTTTACACACACAATTAAGGTTTAAGTGCTTCAATACCAGTTATCTCCTACTCACTCCAATACCTTACACAGAAGTTAAAAATACGTTACCTCAGTGTTTATAAATATGATTCAAACTATACTAAATTAGAATGTCTACTCTTTGGAACATCTTTATTCTTCTAGATGTGACTGGAATAAGTCCAGGTCAACAGGGAGGTGTTTTTAATGTCGGTGATGTTGTAGTGTGGCAAAAAAGGGCATATTTAGCTAGTGCCAATTATTTGTTGAGGAGGAAGAAAGAAGACTTACAGGAAGATGTACAATTGTATGCACTATTTAATCTAAATGGACAGAATGATGTTGATGTTGATTTAATCTAAATGGACAGAATGATACATAACTTTAATATATTAATTTGCCAGCTAGTCGAAATCACTAAATTTAGTAAATCAGTCAGTGAGCCCACCCTATCCTATTTGTATCATTTATTTGTATACTTTAATAAGGATTCCATTTAGTAACCAGAAAAACATTGTATCAAACCATGGGAACTCTGCTCCACTGCAATATCCAGGGCTGAGTTCCTCTATGTCCAACAGAGATTCTTATTAACAAGTTTCCTTAAGAAATACAGAAAATTAGTTCCCATTAAAATGAAAGATGGTGTTGGTACTTGTTTGTGCCCTACAAAACAAACGTTCTTGGATCATGCATTGGATTTGAATATTAATGCAAATATAAAGATCCAGATAAATCCGCTCAAAACACATGAAAAAACAGATAGAAATAGAGGGGCCCAAATAACTTCACATTTAGAATAAATTTAAAAAAAATCAAATCGCATTCTTGAATGTGTATGAAGCATGCAATGGTCAATTGTGAAGCTTCCTCCCAGACAAACAGAACTATAATTCCTCTTGTAATTAGTTTGGGATAGGGAGAATAATCGCTGTGAAAACAGATACCTTTTAAATGAGAAGTCTTATTCAATAGTCAGATTAAAAGCATTGACTTTTCTATTTTTGCTGCAACGTCTACCTCCTTGAATACATCAATTGCTGGATCATCAATAACAACAACACAATTACATTTATGAAGCGCCTTTCATGTCGGGAGGACGTCCCAAAGTGCTGAGTCAGGTGTCGGAGCCCGAGCATGGAGGAGGGGTGGTGTAGAGGTGAGGGAAGGCAGAGAGGTGGGAGGCAGACCAAAGGCACGATCGAAGAGTCTTGAGACCGGCCTTGAAGGAGGCAAGGGAGGAAGTGAGGCGAAGGGACCGTGTGATGGAGTTCCAGAGTGTGGGGGAAGAGAGGCTGAAAACCCGGCCACCGATGGTAAGGTGGGTCGGGCGGGAGACATGGAGGGTAGCCTGGATCACCCGTAGCCAACCCTGCTTACCTCTTTCCCCTCCAAGACAATCACCAGTCAGGCTTTAAGCATCTGATGAGTGGTGCTTTGAGTTTTCACGAGATAGATAAAAAAGTGCCAGGAACTCCTTGCAAGCTGCTTGGTGAGGTGCACAACTTAACATGAAATGGGTGACAGCATTTCTACCATATTCCTGCCGAAGCACCAGATATATAAAGGTGTGTTCATGAACCCAGAAAACAGCTAATGCCTTCCAACAAACTGCCTTGCCAGCCACCTTAATGTTCTGGAAATCCATTTCCAATGCACGTTTTAGGTTTACTCAACACCAACTGTTTAATCAAGGTCCTCATATCGTGGGCCTTGGCAGAGCTGCACTTACTGTGGGACAAACTTAGCCTCTGGGGGTACCGGGCAACAGGTCAGTGTAGGTGAGTGCCCTACCTCCGTTGTTTATCCTTTTTACTACAAATCTATCTCATTGTAATGCAAATGGATCGAAGGATGTCCTCTGGTCCATGCCCAGAAGCTCAGAACCATAAAATAGAACTGTTTTGACACATGTCTTATACACCACATGTGTAACCTGCATTTGAACTTTGCTATCCTTGAAGAGAGATATGAACAACTAGAATACCCTTTGCCTCTCCTCAGCTTGGTCCCAAAGGACAGTATTCAAGCAAACATTGGTATCCATCACAACTCGCAAATACTGATAAAAATCGTCAATTGGGCCTGATGCCCCTTAGCCTCCAATCAATATCTTCAAAATCCCCTCTTGAGCTACATAGTGTGATAATACTGTACTTAAGGGAACCTGCAACAGTGTCCCATTGAATAAAATACATGTCTGTTCTTTTATAATAAAATTCTTTAACTATTTACTTTTTAAAAAAGTCAGTGTTCATTCCTTCCTCAACATAGGGCCAAGCAATAGGGTACATTATAATAATGTCAACCATCATCAAGAATGTACACTCAGTTTTATGTGTTAGGCCTAGTTCTTCATAACACAACTTGTGAATCTTACAGGCATGTTTTCTGCATCCAGTTTCATATACATCAGCTTGTGTAGATCCAGAAGCAGGAGAACAGAAAGAAGTCAGCCCACCACCACTACTCCCTTCACTGACCTAAGGGGATAGCCAGAATTAGTATGATGCAATTGTAAATGAAAATTCTTACAATAGTGACAGCACAGATTGAAATAGAGTATTGAATGAATTCTGTTCATCTTTGATCACAGTACATTTGATGTTAATCCTCGGAGTACTGAGGTACCTTTTACATTTACAAATATGATATGCACCTTTTTCTATGTAACCCTGAATTACAGAAGGTATTGAACCAATTATATAAATTCTAAACAGAAAATTTATATATTGAAATCTGAAAGGCAACATACCTTCATTTAAAGCATTTTTTTGAAATTTGTTCAAATCACAGGTCATGAAAAACACATTCAATACCTGGGTCATAGAACCTCTTTAAATTACAACCACTTCTCCTACCCACTCCAGCAGAATTTAAGAAAAAAAGGTAGACGAGATTTCCAATCGTTTTAAAAAACTAAAACTATCGTTTTTTGAAAAGTAAGACTGTAGAAAACATAACATATTTGAGCTTCTGTCTTGCGGCTTGTCATCTTAATTTGCCAATTAAAGCAAATGAATTGTTTTATCTTTATTTTAGAAATAAAAGGAACAGTCATGATCCTTCTGATTTTACTACTGAAGTACTATCATAGTACTCAAAGGATTAACCCTTATTGGTCCTCTGCAGCTTGCAAAATAAAGCAGATGTTCATCATCCACACATGAAAATTCCCCACCACCGAGAGTAGTTAGTACCAAAGCTCCTGTTAAATTATCTTCACCTTTGAAACAGAGATCATATTTTGAGAATATACGTTAAGCAGCAGGAAAAGGGAGAAATGCACAATCAGAAGGATAAAACTATTGTGGTAAATTACCACACATTTCATTGTACTAGCTGCAACATTTTAGTTATTTCAAAATTATAATTGTTAATTCCTCAAAACTATGCAAAAAACCAATGCCGTGTACTTTTCTACATGACATGAGTGGAAAAAGCAATCTAATCTACAATGTCCTATGTATATTCTCTCGTAAACTAATTATAACCATCACTGGTGCTTTAAATCTAAGACTTGTAATCTAACTTTGCTTGAACATTTAAGATGTGCAAAATTCTTAAATTTAGTCTTAATCTACAAAATGGCTCTTTTTAACTTTAAAATACTGGCTTCCAGATTAAGATTGAAATTAACATATTTTTCACAATTTTTTGGAAAATAAAATGTTAAGGCTAAAACACAGTGGAATTTCTGGCTTGTTTCATCCGTCTTTTTCATTACAATAATAATAAAAAAGAAAAGGGTGATTGCTTGGGAGGATACAAAACAAACTTGGCTTGTCATAACAAAAATCTGTTTGACCTTTCACTGTTAAAAGATCCGCTTGAATTTTGGGTATTGATTTCCCACATGTATTGAAAGTAGGAAAAGTAGGAGTATGTATATACTCCATATATGTATAGTGTAAGGAGGCCAAAAAACGGAAAAAATTAGTGGGCGGGGGAAGAACAAGTTCTGGGTGAAACCATACTTTTGTTCAATAAAAACTCCTGAAAGCTACAAAACAGCAACTTGATATTTGATGCGTAAGAATTAAGAAAATGTAATCTTTTCTAAATATCTAATATGCTTAGGAAAGAAGAGTGCAATGTTCCTTGACATGCCATTGCTTAGAGCTGTATTCCCGTTCGTAAAATCTTTATTATATATTTGAAAAAGTAAATGACATTAGCACTTAAGATTTTTACTCGAACGAACTGAAAAACATTGTTTTTTGAAGGAAATGCCCTCTTCATAAAATGTAGTACAGGAAATGCAGCGTGTTATGTTATAGTATGCTAAATTTCAGATTATGTCAGTCATTTCCCTCACAGCAGTCTCAACTATTGTGGTGAGGTGAAGGGAGAATAAATCAAGAGCGAGTACACTGGCTACTGCCACTGAACCTTGCAAGTGACTTGAGCAGATCACCCTGTTTAAGAATTAAGAAAATGTAATCTTTTCTAAATATCTAATATGCTTAAGAACATAGGAGGACAGGAACTGGAGGCTCACTGAGCCTGTTCCATCAACTTATTAGATCTTGGCAGATCTTTTAATCCCAATATCTGTCTTTTTGCTGCATCTCTTTATACCTCTACATATTAAGTAACACTGCTAACTTCAGAACATCCTCTACTGCATTTAGGGAATTTTTCACATTTCAACACTAGTCATTTTTGTATCTTCTCTGAAGCAGACACACACTTTTAATGCCAAATTGTGCTAAATTACAAATAACTTTGAACTGTCTAGAAGAAATGGGTTAAAATCAGCCAAACAAATCTTGCTTTGTACCCAGCCCATTAATTTGGGCCGGATCTCAAGCTGCGCCATAGATGAAAGAAGTCTGCCCTCCTACTGAGCTACATTGCTTCCAAACTCAGTCATCTCTTAAAAAGTGTTCTCGTAAGCGACAAGAGTACAGAACACTACTTTTTTTCAAGAAATAAAACAGGCTGTTTAACTTAAGGATCTATTTTTACCTTTTAAAGTACTTTGCTTCAGTAAGTCAAAGACCATTAGCTCTTAATAGTTTAGGATGTTCTAGCGGCTAAGTACCTAGAAGATAAGCTACATAAATATCCCTATAAATGCAAATGCATACCTGATAATTTTTATCAGAGTAACACTAAAAGAAAAAAGATAGCAATTCCATTGCCAAAAATGCTCAAATGATTTTTTATAATTGTTGAGTTATGTAAATCGGTGTACAAGTACCACATATGATTCTATATACGACAACTTCCAGGATCATTCAACTCCAATTTACATAAATATTTTAATGCACCCTCTCCCTTAACCTTGCATAGGCAACCGGGAATTTGTCCAAACCAAACCAAGTCAGGGAGAGAAACAAGTCCCCTTCCTATTAAACAGTCATGTTTTCTTATTAAACAGTTCAACTATCAGCTGAAAAACACTAACCTGGCTACTCTGGGAACCTCTTCTATCAGAGAATGATCCAGCTTTCAACCTGCCAACTTCTAGTCTTACTGTTCCTTGTGCACACTGAAGACGAGAAAGAAAAAGTTAATTTGCTTTTTTTGTATATCTAAGAAATTGTTGACGGTTTATAGTAGACTCTATATTTTGTGTGTCGAGTTCCTTAGGTGGTATGCTGCAATCACAAAATTTCAAACATTTGCATTTTACCACGTTAAAAAACATCACCTAGGAGCAAATCTACGTTTTCCTAATAAATTACAGTAATGTTGATTCAAGGACGCAGCTGCAGTCAGTCACACGTGTTTGGATGCAAAATGATAAACACCAAGTGAAACACAAACAAAAATAATTGAAATTGCACCTATTTTGTGTTTGTTCAATGCAATTTCAATTGAAGAATCTGCTTCATTTTAAATGATCTTTTTGGGAGCATCTTAATTACACATGTATAGTGCCTTGTAATATTCACAGAGATGCAGCACAAGGTTTAAAATGCAATATTCATAAGGCATAGTGCAATGTGAATTTGTGACTCAAATTACAACTTCAAGTTTGTGATCGTGCCCGGAGTTTTGGGTGCAAGACACTTTTCTACAATGGGAAGACCTGAAAACCCCGACAAAAAGCTGCAAACTTTTGTGGCCTAAAAAAAGAACTTTTTTCGGCCTTTAAAGACACTGAGAATCAAATGTCTATAGTATTTTGGGATGTCAACTTTGTGAATGCAAATCCTGAGCTACAATCAGGGCCAATAGAAAATTGTGTAAATATTTGCAAAAATTATGGGGAAATTTGCCAAATTTTTCGTAAAATTGGGTTGATTGGTTTTATTGAGAGGTACATTTTACTGCCAACCTACATTTTTCCACTTTATTAATAAAACCTGAACATGAAGAAATAATACATATTAGATTGTTGCAAAAAAAATAATGCTTCTTTAATAAACATTGGGTGGCCCACTGGGTGGGTGGTGGGGGGGGGGACATCAGCACAGGCCCGAAGGGCCGAATGGTTCGTTCCCCTCACACACTACATTTCAAGGCCTGGAGATACCAGCATTGCTCCCCAAGCTCGCCAGTGTCCTGACTGCAGGGCTACAGGTCACCACCTCCTTCCTGCCTTTCGGGGGCCGCCAACGCACACGCACACAGCCACACAGAGAGAGAGAGAGACACACATATAGACAGAGAGAGACAGACAGAGAGAGAGACAGACAAACACACTCACAGAAAGAGACGCACTTACAGAAATAAAAAGACATACACTCACAGACACATACACATATACAGAGGAGAGACACATTCACACAAAGACATTCATACAGAGACACTCACAAACAAACAAACACGCAAGAGAGAGACACACCACACAGAGAATCACAACACCGGGACCTCATGGTGAGCAAAGCTCATTTTCCGCTCGTGCTGCACTTTGGAGTGACAAGTTGTCAGGGGTTTACCTTCTCGATTATCTGCTTTTTTAAGTGTCTGTCAGCTTTAATAAGCTTATGGATGAGAAAGGTGAGTGTGTATCTGGACAATTAGCAATACATCCATTAGGCTACAAGTCTTGTCATTTTTCCCACTTGGGCCATTGCTAAGTTATAGGTGCTGAACTACATAGGTTATAGGTTCGCAATACTACATCTGATCACAAAGATCCACAGGTACATTCTAAATATCCATGAAGACACACTGCACGTATTGCTCAGACCTTCAGCATAGCAGCGACAGTCTCCTGGGTTGCATTTCGAACTTCTTCCCCATTCACAGATAGTATCTGGTCTCCCTGAACAAGTCTTCCATCCAGATCTACTATTCCTCCCTTCACAATATCAGATACAAACACTCCTGTGTCATTCCTGTAGAAAATAAGTACAGAATTTCATTACATTCTAAAATTTCTGAAGAATTACTCAACTCAAATGAAAGAAAGCAACTTCTGCTTCAGCAAAATGCCAAAGATATTTTTTCTTTTTTGATTGCTTGTAGTTTGGGACATGACATGTGCATGATGACTGCCAGGATGGTGGAAGGTGGATGGTGGAAGTGGAGTCCTGTAGCTCAGTGGTTAGAGCACTCGCTTTGCAAGCGAGAGACCTGAGTTCAATTCCAGGCAGAGGGCGAAACCTTGGGCAAGTTTCCTTACTCCACACAGAGCCTAATAATAATCCCTCCAAAACAAAACAATAATAAATTGGTCATTTTCAATCTACGACTGTTTGTGGGACATTGCTGTGCGCAATTTGCTGCCGGGTTCGCCCACAAATATACAGTCAATTCACTTTACAGTGTGTTCTGTGAAGCGCTTTGGGACGTCCTCCCGACTTGAAAAGCGCTATATCAAATGCAAGGATTATTATTATTATAAGTTGAACTGGATGGACCTTGGTCATCTTTCGTCTAGCAATTCTTATGTTCACAAAGTACTTAGTTCAAAGTTTTATTTTATGTTGTTACATATAAGAATTAAGCACCACTAAATTGTATACTGGATGATTCATTTGAGATGAAAAGAAAGTGTGCCTAGAAGCAACATAACATTTTTTTTGCCCTATTAACAGACTTAAGACGAAGAATAAATGAAGTTTAAAAAGCACCTAATAAAGTCACAGCTAGTGAATATGTAGGTACTGAAAAGTGTATTATGTTATTATAAATCAGAAAAATATACAAAGACCAGCAGAGAACACTCAGTAATAGAGTTAAATATGTGTTAATGAACAGACCAAAGTATCTTATCTACTTTTTCTGGAGGAAATGGTAGTGACATCTTGCTGCTTTGGTTTTTAAGGCAGGGTCCATAGAATCCCAACCCGCTTCATAACAAAGGCAAGATAGTTTATTTCACTGTGCACTTTGAGAACAGGGTAAGCAATGCTATAATTACATTGTATGAGAACTACTGTCCATTTTCCTTCACATATGCACAGTGCACCTCAGTGATATCGCCTGTGAAGTCGATGCATTGACCTTACTTATAATGCGAGCTGGAATTGTTTGTATCCCAACAACTGGATTATAGCCTGTACTTGGTTTTGATTTTTATACTAACCTTTACTTTCCATGCATATTTCTTGTTTGACAGGAAAATCTATTTTCAACCTTGTGTATGATATGTAATAATCTAATGCATAATTCATATTTGACTATTGATTATTGATGTTATTATTGACTAACGCCATATTAAAATGTAATGAAATAACCAAAACCTTCTCTAGGATTAAATCTAAACTAGTGCACTTCATTAGACAAGTTTTTAGTGGGTTAATTATTTTTGCATGTTAAGATGACACGTGAAATGATCACTTAGTTAAATGTAGAATAAGCATTCATTTTAACAAGACATTGGAGGACAATACAATTTTCTGCAGAAAATCCTTATACATCAAATTTCTGACTCTTAAGAATTCGCTACCTTTTTCCAACAATGCTCAGACCAAGTCCTTTCCCAGGTTTCTTTTGCAACTCGACCGTGAGCAAGTTGTACATATCTTCCTCCTTATAATGCCCATCATCTCTATAAACTGTCAGCCGAACCTTCTGTGGGGTTTGTCTCAGCACATTTATTGCTTCATCATGAGTGGCAACTCGCAAGTCAATTCCATTAACCTATAGAAACAGTGAGATTGGTAAACAAATTCAGCTTTCGGTGTACAATAAAGCTCATTTAGATACGTGTCCAGCCTGCTACATACAGGATATAAAATTGAAGCAAGAACAAAGTTGTAATACAATTCAGATATTCTGTTGCATATATAATTGATGAGCAGGTTGCAGTAGAAAAATATCACTGTTGACATCACTTCCAGCGATGAATGTTGAGAAAGGAAGGCACTAGGACATGAAGGTGAGGATCTTAAAAGTGGATCTATTGGGAGATAGAAAGCTAATAGAGCCTGGAGAGAATTGGGGTGATGGCGTGTGCAATTTGGTGTGGGTGAGGATGTGGACAGTGGAGTTTTCGATGAGCAGTATTAGTTTTAAAGTCAACACATCTGAAAAGTTTTCTACATAGTAATCAGACAGATCTACAACTTTAGTTGTTTGAACTGCTCATCCCGTTTGATCTTGTTTAGGACACAAGTTTAAATTACCTCCAATATTTGATCTCCAGCCCACAGTCTGCCATCCTTGGCTGCAGCTCCCTCTTCATAGACTTCGTGAATAATGATGGCACCCTATTCAAAACAAGTGAAATATAATTCAAGATAGGGTGGTTTGAATCGGAATAGATGATCCTTAGTTGTTTAAAATCCTGACTATTGTGCTGCTAGCACGTCTTTTAATGTCTATCCCATTAGAAGTACTCACCAACAGGGTATCTGCTCCTCCAACGATGCTTAGCCCAAGTCCAGTACGTCCTTTGGAGATTTCAATAGTTGTCTCCCTTCCAGGGATGATTGGACAAGATGCCAATTCTAATATAGCTGAGTCAGGGGTTAAAGCTCTACTTGAGCCTCAAAACAAAAAAAGTGAAACAAACAGAAACAAACACACAGGTTTGTTTACAAAAAGGAAACTTTTTGGTACTCGACCTTTAGAACGTCAAACCTCACTTCACACAAACACACAAAATTAAACCATGCCCTCAGCGCTCAAAATATCTTAAGTGATGTGTACTTAAGTGATCTTGTGACCTACAGAAACATTCAATACACTAAAACCCCAGCTAGCTGGACCAATGTGACCAATAGAAATCCGGTCCGGTGAGCTGGAGGTTCCGGCTAAGTGTAATTACAATGTCAGTACCAGCATTTACCGGCCTAATTTGGCACTGGCACAGCGCCGAAAAATGCTGGTTAATGCCGATACTGGAATCGTGGAGTGGTTAGAGCAGTCGCCTCGCAACAAGAGACCTGGGTTCAATTCCCAGGCAGGGTGAAACGTTGGACAAGTTTCCTTTCTCCACACGCCCCTGTTTACCTAGCAGTAAGTAGGAAGCTGGTTGTTAGTTGATTGGCAGATCGCTTTTCTGGGGATAATAATTCCTTCAAAAAAATAATAATTTGGCAATTCAATCCACGACTGTTTGTGGGACACTGCTGTGCGCAATTGGCTGCCGTGTTTCACCCAAAATATACAGTCAATTCACTTTACAGTATATTCGGTGAAGCGCTTTGAGACGTCTAAAAGATGTGATAAGGTGCTATATCAAATACAAGGATTATAAGGATTATTATTGTAATTGTTTGAATCCCACAAACAGAAGATGGTGAATAAGCTAACTTCTGCTCATGGGATTCAAACTCAAATAGTCTAAGATGACGCTGGGGTGGGTGAGTGGGGGAATGTATTGTCAGAGGTGCCGGCATTCGGACGAGACATGAAACAACAACAAGATACATTTGTATAGCGCCTTTCATGTCGGGAGGACGTCCCAAGGAGCTGAAACTAAGGTCTAGTCTGCCGTTTCAGGTTACTCATGGTAATCCTAGAAAAAGATCTCATGGTAATCCTAGAAAAGAGAAGTTTCTCCCGGTGTCCCAGTCAACAAATCCCACAAAATAAAATTGGTCATTAATTTCATAGCTATTTATGCTGTGCTAAATTGGGCTGTCATGTTCACCTACAAATCTACAGTCACTACACTTCACAGTATTCCTTCCCAACGTGAAAGGTGCGATATCAAATGCAAGAATTATTTGATTAAGATTATTATACTACAAGGAGTCTTCTCAACTTTGAAAACAATGGGATTTGATGTGACAAACTATTTCAGTCCTACACCTCTGCCTTTTATATCGCTAAATTTCCTTCTCTAGTGTCTGGTTCAGTAAAGGCCTCTGACATGCACCTCAGGTTACGGGAATATATGATTGGTGGTGAACTGTAGGAATTGAAACAGAAAACTGCCAAAGTGAGATTTTGAAAGTACTTGGAGGAAAAGCTAATTTTAATTATAGGTTTCTCCCCATTTTCTCCCGACTTCTGTGCTACAGTTCCACAAGTACTGGTCACCCTTCAATACCTTACCTTTTTCTTGATGTGTTAACCAAAACATGGTGAAGGGGTAGCTGCCACATATGGTGGCCAAATGTACCTTCTCCCATCATAATTTGTTCACTGAACAGATCTTCACAGGTAATTGATATTGATTTGCACAATGTAAAGCCTCAGTTTTCTTCTAGAAATTATACTCTACATCGGGACAATTATTATGAACGAAAAGCACATCTCAAGCCGCAAAACTCAGGTTTGGTACTTACTCTTATTGATGGAGTCTACATCAGTTGGGACTGTAATACTGTGTACCAGAGGAGACTGGGCACTCTTGAAATCTACTGAACCAGAAGCAACAGATGGTGCTGAAGACTGCTGCACACTTAAATCATCCGGACTAATGGTTAATTTCACTATATTTTTGGCTTTCTTCAGCAAATTTATTACCTAGGAAAATACAAAGTTAAATTATTGTATCCATTTCCTTCATAAAAATAATTTTCGAACCAAATTACTTCTCTTCCCTCTCCTTTCGATAAAGGTTTTGATTATTGCTTTCCCTTTGTTTTGACTTGTGTCAGTGGTACTTTCTACCTCTAGCAAGGCAACTGTAAATCCAATTGACATTTAGCTCACAGTCTATTCTGCCATGTCAGTACAGATTTTCAACAGATGAGATGTTAAACTAAAGTCCTGTCTCCGTGTCCTTGGGTGGATATTAAAGATATGACACTATGCAAAATGAGAATTGAGTTTTGTCCCCATATTTGTCCCCAAGAGGCAAATTGTAGAAATATGTATTAGTGCATTAACACCCAAAGCATTGAACGCATGATGTTACCATATCACACAACACCATATTACACAAATCTTTGAATTGCAATTCAAATATAATTTATCTTTTGATGCAGAACTAGAGGAAGATGTACAAAATGAACAAACCTCAAGCAAAGCTCGATTCGCTTATAACGTAACAGATATGTGCTGCAGATTTCTATCAGAATTAGTTGATGCTACCTTCACTAATTCCTTTGATGAGAAGTTGGATTGATAGTTAAGATGGGTGTGCTGATATTGATATAGATGACCAAATAATTATGAGAATTTTACACGATTTGCAAAACTATATGGCTTCCTTATGTTCTGCACTTTATGCTCCTGACAGAATGGGCTCTTCCAAATATTGCATTTGAATTTTATGAACACCCAGGTTAGTGCACTTGCTGCACTTCACTCTGAAACAAATATCATTTCAACTATTGGATGAGCTAATTATCAGAGTATAGCTTGTTTCAATGCTTATTTTGTAGCTTTAACAGGTACTCCCTCTTCCTAGTGAATTGGTATTTTTCAACAACTATTTCTACTAATTCATTTTAGAGTTTATTTTGGTCAGCCAGGTATCTGACACAAGTGAAATCCCATCACCATGTTGAAGAGTATCCAAACCATACTAAAGAGTGCCATGCATCCCACCTATACATGGTAATTCCCATGTATTGGAATATGCACTCTTTTCCTGGATGGACTCATTCTGCTTACCTAATTCCAGAGAGTATTGAGCATAAGTTAACAAGAGCCAAGTCTTGGGGACCCCAGAGTGTACAATGGGGTACTGCTGGGGTCTAACAAGCTGAAACCACAAGGCTTGCCATTGAGAGCCTTGTCTGGCAAGCCATCGGGGCTTTGGCCTGCAACTGGAGCTGAGTAGGAAGAATCCCTGCCCCAGTAACTTGTCTGCCCCTGCAAGTGTGACCGGTGAGCCAGGTTGGCTGTGCTGTCATCAGCAGTGCCCTGTAATGCTGTCATCAGTAGTGCCCTGTAATGCTGTCATCAGCAGTGCCCTGTAATGCTGTCATCAGCAGTGCCCTGTAATGCTGTCATCAGCAGTGCCCTGTAACGTTGTGGACCCACTTGGATCAGGAAATGGCTACTGAGATCACCAGAGGGTTGACTCGATTCCAATATTATGTTGCCACACATGTCACCTTGGAGACCCTGCTTATCTTTCCCCCAGTTCCAAAAATATTGAACAAGGTAATGAACAAGGATCTCCTTTCAAGAAATCGAAATAGGATAGCACTCTTTACCCATTATGTACTGTATACTCTTAATTTTTGTTACCCATACAACAAGGCAAAGATGTAATGCTAAGAAAATACCTTCTCTACTGGGTGGCCAACAACATGCTCATCATCCACAGCCAAGATACGATCTCCAACCTTAATTCTGCCATCCTGTGAAAAGTTATTGATTGGTAACAACAACAACAACTTGCATTTATATAGTGGCCCTCAGGTTAGTGTCCCAGAGCGCTTGACAGTGGTGAAGCATGATGCTGAGCCAGGGGGAGATGGGAGGTGACAGTAAGCACGGTCGAAGAGAAAGGTCTTCAGGCGCGACATGAAGGAGGGGGCAAAACAAAATACAATAAGTTTACAAATAAGACCTTGCCTTTTACTTGCAGATTAACGTAATTCAATATATTAATCCTTGCATTCAATTAGGAGATGAGTCAAAAAAAGCAGATACCCCAAACACTCTACCTGAGTTCCCATTAAAGGATTTGTGAATCACAACAGGTATAAGCATAAATTTACAAAGTACAGATGTGAGTCTCATCTAAAATCAACAGATGTGATACACAAACAACTTATTCTCCATGATTAGTATTGTCTGCCTATGATTTGGTAGCATTGAAATAAATTACATTTTTAAATCTCTTGTGCTGCAAAACATATGTTTCAATTGTTCTGAGTTTATTTTAATATTAAAATATTGATCAAATATTTTTGTTAAAGCAATTTTGCATCAAAATCTATATTCCACCTTGCTGTTTAAGTAATATAGATATTGTAACTTATAAGCATAGAATCTTATAACATTGAGGATAATCAGCCCACTATGTTGGTACAGGCTCACTGGAGAAGTTATCCCATTCTCATGACTTCTCTCCAAATTCTCTTATATTTTTCCTTTTCAAATATGTCTCTATTTGCCTTTAAAAAGTCATTATGCTTCAAATACCATTTTTTGGTAGGACATACCATGCCCTAAGAACCCTCTTAGTTTCTCACATTGTTATTTTGATAATAATGTTAAACTTATTGTTATCTACGGTTGAAAATGATGAGATTTAAACTCGAAGCTTCATGATCAAATACAACTCACACACTCTCTAATCAAAGAACATGCCCTTGTCTTTCAACAACATTTTGCTGCTAAGTCTACTGTAGCAGGTGTCGGACCAGAACAGTTTACAGAATATTAATAAGCATGAAACACTTTGTTATATATAGAAATGATTTCTAAATTTGTTTTGGGGGCACCAATTATACAACTCCAAGTTCTGAACATTAAGATGTTTCACTGCACGTTTATTCTACTAGATGAAAAATTCTACATTCCAATCCAGAGATTGCAGACATCTCCTGTATTTCCATTAGACAACTCATTTTATGATGTTGGTTCTTCAATGGAGGCTCTCAGTGCAACTGATGTAGAAACCATTCTATTCATATTGCAGCAGGAACTGAATCAAAACAATAGGTCTCTTGCAAGCTTGTATTGCTGCCTTTCCAATTACAGGGAAAAGATTCATGCAGAAAAAAGAGAAAAAAATCTTTGTTGCCAGGACAGGGGTGGGAAAGAGTATTTCAAGCTAAGTATTATGGCTACCACTGGTTCCAATGGCTATATTTATCTTGGAGGCTTAGCTTAATATGAAGTTGAAAGCCATCTTCTGTGATGGAGCTCTCCACCTTTGACAATAGGAGTGTCACCACTCTTATTGTAAGCATTTTGCTCTTCAGGACTCCTGATAATAAGGAATAATAATCCTTGTATTTGGTATAATGTCAGAAGCATGTCTCAATGTGCTGGACAAGAGTTACGGTGAAATGGATGATTGTGTATTTGTAGGTGAACGTAGCAGCTCATTTGCTCAGAACAATGTCCCACAAACAGCGATCAAGAGATGACCAATTTTATTTGGGGGATTGGCGGCCAGAACATTGGGAGAAACTCCCCTGTGTGTCAGGGAGCACTCTTGCCTATGAGTCAGAAGGTCGTGGGTTCAAACACTACATTGGGATTTGGGACTCATATAGTCTAGTCTAACAATCCAATCGAGTACTAGGAATATTGTTGGAGGTGCCGTCCTTCAGATGAGAGTTTAAACCAAGGACCCACCTGTCTGTTCAGGTGGTAGTTAAAGATCTCATGGCAGTATTTGAAAAAATAGAGCTGGCCAAGGCCAAGTCTTGGCCAATTATCCCCCAAATAAAAGAAATTCACTTCATGGTTATTTGTGGGACATTGTTGTGCATAAATTAACTGCTGCATTCACCCACAAAATACAGTCACTCCATTTTACAGTATAACCTATGAAGTGCTTTGAGACATCCTCCTCATGTGAAAGGGACTATATCAAATGCAACAATTATTATTATATAAAAATGGGGTATAAGAGATGGTTTGCAACACTCCAGAAGATGTCCCTCTCTGATCAGTTAACATATTTCCCATTTCTCTCACCATGGGGAGGACAAGTTTGCAGGGCTATGGGGAGAGAACGGGGGAGTGGGATTGATTTGGAAGCTCTTTTCAAAGAGCCGCCAGAGACACGATGGGCCGAATGGCTTCCTTCTGCTGTATAATTCTATGATTCTATGATGTGTACATCTAACCTGAATAGATTTGAGAGCTAGCTGACTGGTTTCCTTTTAAAGGTGGGAAATGTATTTTCAACTTACCTTTGCTGCAGTGCCATTCTCTGTTAGACTCTTAACAACTACACCATCATGTGTACTCTCCTCACTGATCGCAATTCCTAATCCACCTTGATCCTGTACAAACAAAACCAGCAGTCAAATTTAAGATAGGTTTCATTCAATCTAGACAAATTAACACTCAATATAGAACTAGTAAAGAGATGAGAATGTATCTGGTTTGCCAGCTATGCCCAAAATTCAAATCAGAGAGATTACTTTCAAAGGACATTTACCATTACACGGCAGCTAAACCTGACCAATTCAAAGTGTAGAGGACTTGGATTCAGCAACTACACCAATAGGTATTTGTTGGCACACTGACTAATGTCTTGCACGGAAGATGGAAACAGCAGCAGAATATCCTAACTTGCAAGGATCTATCAGCAAAGAATTAGTCAGCATCCATCAACTACAAAGTGCAAAGTAGATTAACTTAAATCTTAAAATACTACGAAGACATATGCTTTCCTTATCTAGTTATGTGTACAACAGTGAACTTCCATAAATATTAGTCTCTACAACTATTTATGATAGGCTAAACAGTATTTCCATATTTCTCAACAAACTTGCCTTTGTGAGTATCACATGCTGAATGTTCTTAAACGATGCCAATTCAGGTCCAGTCTGAGATAAAGTACATGATTCATTCTGGAAAAAAGCAAAACATAATCACATCAAGATATTGCTCGATCCTAATGTAAAATTGTTAGTCAGGATCCATAATATCCCTACCCACAATAACAAGATCCAATCTCCAATTTTGTAACGTCACAAATCACATGACTGATGGGTTCCTTGCACATTGGTTGGGGAGGGTGGAGGGCAGGAGGGTGACTGAAGGCACGGTCGAAGAGGAGGGTCTTGAGACGGGTCTTGAAGGAAGCAAGGGAGGGAGCGAGGCATAGGGACTGCGGGATGGAGTTCCAGAGGGTGGAGACAGAGCGGCAGAAAGCCCACCCGCCAATGGTGGGGCAGGCGAGGTGGAGAACGTGAAGCAGGCCGAAGTCCACTGAGCGGAGGGAGCGGGCAGGTTGGTAGGGGTTTAGGAGGTTGCAGAGGTAGGGGAGAGCAAGGCTATGGAGGGCTTTGAAGTGACTACCCAGATCTTGAACTGTATCCTCTGTGTGATGGGAAGCCAGTGGAGTCGGGTGAGGATGGGGGTGATAGGGTTGCAGAGCCTATTGAATACTGACTAATTTAAATTAGGGCATTCTACTGCTGTTTTCAACCACACACTAATTGATGCAAAACAACAGACTAAAAATTACACCCGCTGGAAGTGTTGCAAAAAGACTAGCAGCAGCTTGGGAAGTAGGAAATTAATTTAAATGAGTAGCAATATTACTTCTTTATGAGCATTGTAAAAAAGTAATGCATTCTTATAAGTGAGATTAACACCATAAGCACAATATGACATTTAAATCAGAACAGGTGGGAAACTCACTAAAAAATGTACATTGTAAACAGGGACCATTGCATATTATTAATACAGTAAAGAACATAATTTTTGCAACTAGCTCAGTTGCTTGCAATCTTGCTTCTGAGTCAAGCCCCACTTTGAAATCACATAGCTAATGCTCCAACAAAGTGTTCGCAGCGCACTGCATTTTCAGAGGTGCTACCCTTCAGATGAGATACTATACCAAGGTCCATGTCATTATTCAAAGGAATAGGGTGTTTCTCCAGGCGCCCTGGCCAAAAGCCCACAGATAGAATTGCTCATTTACTTCATGGCTGTTTGTGGGACAAATGCAAGCTGTCGTATCGTGGTTAACGACAACAACAACTTGAATTCATATAGTGCTCTTCACGCGGGTAGAGTTTCGGACTGCTTAGCAGTGGTGTGGTTTGACGCCGAGCTGGAAAGGGAGAGAAGGTGACCGAAGGCACATCAAAGAGCAAAGTCTTCAGGAGTGATTTGAAGATGGGTAAAGGGTTTATATGTAAGATGGAGGGATTGAGCCAAGGAGTTCCGGAGATTTGGGACATGGTGGCTGTGTATTTTTTCACCTACATTATACAGTCACTAACTGTACAATAAACACTGTGGATTGCTTGAGAAGTCCTCAGGATGTAAAATCGGCTATATCAAATGTAACAATAATAATAATTGAGGCCAGTCTCACTGTAGATATGAAAAAAAGCATGATAATCATGTACCTCTTGCAGGGTGCCTGAAGTAGTCACAGTTGTGTCGGGCAATTTTACTGGGCTAACTGCCATTTGACTGACTGCATCGTTGTTTCTAGAAAACAAATACAAACGCATATGATAAAGCAGATACATGTTGCACATTTTCCAATCTGTGCTGGCTTTGTAAGATCATTCTTGTGGATTTCTACGTGAATCTTATTCTGGTGCATACAATTTAACATCCCTTTTTTCAGCAGTATAGTGATTTGGGATAGTGAATCCTAATTTATAATTTATATTTATTTATTATATTATATTATATTTACTCATTCTTGTGGTTTGAAAGCTTTGTGCCTACCTACTGTCCTTCAGATGAAATGTTAAACAAAGGTCCCTTCTGCCTGTTCAAGTGGACGTTAAAGATCTCATGGAAGCACTCGAAAAGAGATGGAGTTTCTCCATGTGTCCTGACCAATAATCCCCCAATAAAACTGGTCATTCACTTCACAGCTATTTGTGGGACTTTGATGTGCACAACTTCATTCACCCACACAAAAAAAACACACTTTACAGTATAACCTGTGAAGTGTTTTGGGATGTCTTCCTCATGTGAAAGGTGCTCTATTAAATGTAAATGGTTATTATTATCATACATTTAGCTCCAGTAAGCCCACTGCATTTTCATGTCGGACTTTGCTCCTTGAAGAAGCCACCCATCGTAATCCTCTGCTGTTTCCCTTACCTTTTTTTTGGTCAGCCAGGTGTCCTTAATATTGCAAGGTGCTTCTCTAATTCTTTTAAAAATGCTCCAATTGACTCTTCTCTAACAGCCATCTCTGAATCATTCCATATCCTGACAAACCTCAGGGAGAAGACTCTTCCAAATTTTTCCTTTTGCACCCCTAGTCACAATCCTGAATTCATGTTCTCTTGTCTTTGAATCTCTGAATCAATCTCCTTAAAACTTAAACATATACTGTAATGTATAATCTTGATCTGATGGAGAAAGTGCATTGAAGTAATGCTAACTATGTTGTATAAATGGGACTTTACATTGCTGTATATGTTGAATCTATTAAGAGAAAAGATTGCTATTTGGAGCACAATCAAGACATAAGCGATCTGCACAATTTTCCCTCTTTGTAGGAAGGGCTAATTCATGCATTAAAAATATGTCCCACATGGCCCAGGAAATAAGGTGATGTGTGAAATTTAGAATTTGGCATGCACATGTTTATTAGTGTTATTATGAAGAATAACACTGTTTATAAAAAAATTATGAAGTTCACCAGTTCAGTGTACTCTACACCTCAAAACATACAACAATGTTATTGCCAGATATGAACTAATCCAAGCAATTATATTTCACTCAATACTTACATTCCACATATTTTTGTCTAAAATAATGTGCCAGGCATTAAAAAATATTAAGGAAAAAAATGAGGTCCGAGTATAAACTTTCAAGCTATTATGTTCTCTGCTTACCCCCTTGTGTGACAGTCAGCAGTCCTTACTGGGTGCATTTAAAAAGCAGGTAAAAACGGGCTTTAAGTGGAACCAGAAAATCATTGCACTAATGGCAACATTACAAATTAGTGTATACACAAACAGTTTATATATAAGTATGGAACAGATGGCTTTGAACTACATAATTAGCTGCAAAATAAATAAGGGTTTCTGAAGACATAAGGGGAGGGGGAAATCACACAATCATTGTGTAATGCTCCAAAATCATGAGATTGTTATAAACTTGTATTTCACTCTAAAATCAGTTTATTTGGGGGTACTTTTTTTACTGATCAATAACATAGCAAAAAAAGTTATATTTAATGATTAGCATTCTTTAAACTTCCACTGTATCCTTTAAATTCTACCATAAAGGTTTGTATCCTGTTATCATCAACAGACGTTTCCACCTAAGTGGGAGATTTCTTGCCCTGGATTCTCACACTCAGAGGCAGTTGAATATGCAGATTGAATCAAATTATGGAGAACTGTGAGATCAGAGGAGGCAGCTAAGAACTCACAAATAGTTTGATAAAATACCCACTTCAGCTTACAACTGACAAATGAAGTTCAATATAGATAAATGTAAGGTAATGAATATAAAAGTAAAAGTAAAAACATGTATGTATCCCACGGAGGAGGGGGAAGCTGAAAAAGACTCAGGGATGTTAGTTTTCTCAATGCTTGCCATGTCCAAACAGTATGAGGATATAATAAACACAAGAAACCAATGAAGTTCAGATTCCCCAGAAGTTATGCTCAAGCATCACCTTGACTATTGTGTAGTTGATTGTTGTGAGTCAAGTGGCTGCCCTGGCTCTAGAGTGGATTAGAGCATTGAGAAGGCAAACCCAGATGAATACTCTTACCACCAAGGTAACAAGGCAACAACAACTTGCTTTTATATAGCCCCCTTCATGCGGGGTAGGACCCCAGAGCACTTCAAAGACACATAAGTTGAGAAGAGTAATTCCAGAGCGGATAACAGTATTTCTTTACATGAAGGAGTACAATCAACTGCTGGAGCGGGTTAATAGGAAGAATGTTTGAGACCAGGATTTTGGACTCCTTTAAACAAACAACTTAATGAAGGACGGTAGCATTGGTGTTATGGAAGGATAAAATACAACTGACTATCTTCATCCAAACCTTTCTTGAATCTTGTGCAGAACTATTTCCAGTTTTTGTGATCAAAGAAAGATTTTTACAAATCAATGTTTACAAATCTGTTAACTTCTTTGTGTACTAGATTTAATCTAATTGATAAACATTGTTTCAATTGATTTTCATCTAGTAAACATAAAAGGTCTAATTTGATAATCCTTTGAATAAATGTATTAAAATTACCACCAAAAGTTTACTTAGTCAGCAATAGGTTTGTAGTTACACAAGTTCACATCAATGAAGTCTGTTAAACAATATGGCAACATGAAGAAATGTTTTAAACATGTCAAGTAGATATTCTGCTACTTTCAGATATTCTAATACTAAAAAACACCCACCTGATGAAAATTATTTTGACTTTTGATGGTGCACTTTTGATTATTGAAGAGGCATTCTGATGACTACGTCCATACAGTAACTGCCCATTTATCTGCAAAAACAAAATATGAAATATTAAAGCCAAATATTATCAAAAGTGTTTAGATTTTAATCAGAGATTTTTTTTGCAATTAGAAAAATATTGTTCTGCAGAAAGTAAACAGAGCCAAAATCTCTCACAACAACTTGCAATTATATAGCGCCCTTCTCTCAGGGTAGCGTCCTGGAGCACTTACGTAGGAACAATACGCAGAGTTTTATAGTGTACCGATATAATTAAAAATAATGAACAACAAATTAAACTTATATAACGCCCTTCACATCAGAAAGACGTCCCAGGGCACTGGACAATCAAGGGTTTTAGACCCGAGCTGGGAGTTGGGGTCAGAAGGGGAGGATGTGGCGTGGGGGTGAGAGGGTGTCTGAACGATCAAAGAGGAAGGTCTTCAGATGGGATTTGCAGGAGGCAAGAGAGGCGGAGGGATTGCGGTATAGAGTTCCAGAGTGTGGGGGCAGAGATGCTGAATAACTGACCGCCAATGTTGGGGCAGGAAGTGCGGAGCATCTGAAGCAGGTGGAAGGAACGGACAGGCTGATATGGGGTTATGAAGTCGGAGAGGTAGGGGGGTGCAAGACTGTGGAGGGCCTTGAAGGCAAGAATGAGGATTTTGTACTCGATTCTCTGAGGAATGGGGAACCAGTGAAGCCGGGCAAGAACGGGGGTGATAGGTTCCCGGAGCCTGGTGCAGGAGAGGACATGAGCTGCAGAGTTCTGAATAATCTGCAGCTTGTGGAGGGAAGAGTTGGGAAGTCCAGTGAGCAGGCAGTTGGCGTTGTCAAGTCGGGACGTAACGAAAGCGTGGATCAGGGTGTCGGCGGCCTGCAGTGAAAGGCAGGGGCGGAGGTGGGCAACGTTGCAGAGGAGTGGAAAGGCGGAACAGGTCACGGCACGAATGTGGGGTTTGAAGGATGGCCGAGGGTCGAAAAGGACACTGAGGTTTCGGATTGGCTCGGTGAGGTGGAGTGCAGCCATAATAGTGATAGTTTCAGTTGCTGAGGTGAGGAGGGGTAGCCAAGCAGGAGGCCTCTGTCTTGCTAACACTGAGCTAGAGGAAGTTGACTCTTGTCCAGGTCTTGATATCAGAGAGAATTAGCCAGGACATCAACAGTCCTGGAATCGAGGGTGGAGGCGGCGAGATAAAGTTGGGTGTCATCCGCATACATGTAGAAATGTATACATACATATAATGAATATCAATGTAAACATCTAATAAATAATGCTTGTATTTGCTTTAGTACCTTTCATGTTGGAATGATGTGTCAAACCATTTCAAAGGATTTATTGTAAAGTTTAATGACTATTTCACAGGAATTTGCACCAGTCAATAAACAGTCATAAATTGAATGATCAATTTTATTACGGGGATTTGTTGGCTGGGAAACCTGAAGAAACTCTGTGTTTTTTATAATGCAAGGAATACAATTATCGTTAAATGTTACTGTGAAAGTAGTAGAGCCACCTTTTGAATTTACAATTTTTTTAAAACTGTAATTTGATGGGCAATTTAAAGCAAAGTTTTTAAGAGGCAGCTCAACTGTTGGTGCTCTATTCCTGCACACTGCAGACTAGAAGGATGTGAATTTGCATCCAGATGGTCTATGTGCCATTGTGTCAATTTCAGCTAGGCTCAAGGGGGGCAATGTCAAGTGAGGGCAAGGAGTGCTTAAAAATGCTGCATCAACACACACAACAGCTCATGTAGAGCAGAAAGGCAGCAAAGGTCTGCAAACTGTAAAAGTTCATGAACATCGTTAGTTCATGAAAATCTAGAATTGCAATTTATGGAAGTGAGGAACAGCCTTAGGTTACAGATAATTAATTTTTTGATAATGAATTAATGAACACATTAAATCTGGTCAGATATGGTCAAAGGAACACATAAGATTGTTGGAATAATCAGTGTAAATAACTGGTATGGTTGTACAATTTCAACAAAAGCACACACTGTAAAAAGACACTTGCCTCCAATAACTCATCTGCAATCTTTATCCAGCCGTCTTTGCCAGCTGCTCCACTTGCATCAATACCAACTACAAAAACACTCATTCTGGATCGGTCCTTGTTGCCAGCTAGACTGAGGCCCAGCCCACTCTTTCCCTTTTCCAATTCGATCATACGCAACTCTCCTGGCAAGTTTCCATATCGCTGTTTGATCTTCACTTCATGGGTAATAAAAATGAACATTAATAGTTAATCACTTATAATAATAATCCTTGCATTTGATATAGCACCTTATCACGTCGTTGAGACATCTTAAAGCACTTCACAGAATAAACTGTAAAGTGAATTGACTATATTTTGTGGTCGAAACGTGGCAACCAATTGTAAACAGCAGTTCATAGGTCATTGTAGTTGATTCAAGTACTCTTGCTTGATGCAATGGGCCAAATGGCCTTCTATGCTGCAAATTTCTAAGGTTCCTCCAGCATCTCTTCAGCAGTAGCTGGGTTTCAAATGTTTATGAAGCAAGAGCATGTTACTAAAAGTAACAATGCATTGATGGTGTGCAAAATGTATTTTTAAATCTAAAAACTGAATCTCCATAAATACGCTATACATATTGTACGGTCATTCAATATTTTTTCAAACATGGCACAGTGAATTAATTACCATCTTCATCAAAATAAATATGCTGTAATAATATTCTGACCTCATTAGGAACAGCGAGAAAATGGAATCTGTAGGTAGATTCAATTTATTCCATTAACACTCCTCTCATAGAAGTGACTTTTTGTTATTTTCATACGGAAGCAGACAGTGAAAATTGTTAAACCTAACTGAACATGCGGATATCCCTGCCAACCTGACCTCTCCACAAGTACAACTAGTGACTATCGTTCTTGTGGGAAAGTAAGTAAGATCTGCTTTGAGCTGAGCTGGCTCGAGGGTGATGTGCTTGGTAACAGAATGTTGTCATCAAGACAACCCTCTGATGTGTTTTTGGTGGTCCAATTCCTGAGCCAACTGGGTCTGCAGTATTCCAAGGCACTGCTGGTGACCGTCCAGCCTGATTTGCTGCTCGAACCTGGAATGCAGATTAGTAACTGGGACAGGGATTCTTCCTACCGAGTTACTTTTAACCCTACAAGCCAAAGCTAAAGTAGGCTGGTCCTAACTGGACAAACATAGAGTAGGCCATTCAGCCAACGAGACTGTTCCGCCATTCTATAAGATCATGGCTGATCTGTACCTCAAGTCCAATTATATCCGCCCTTGCCCCATATCCCTTAATACCCTGACCTAACAAATAGACCTCACTTTCAAGGAAAACATTGACATCCTCGCCCTCACCAAAACCTGGATCATCCCAGGCGACACCTTCCCCCGATTGAGACCACACCATCAGGCTATACATTCCACAATACCCCACAACCTAATCCGTGGTGGTGGTGTGACTCTCATCTCCAGGCCCTGCTCGACCTATCCCCTTAATCCTCCGGAATCTTCCCCTCCTTCAAACACCTTACCATTTATCATTCCTCCAATCTTTTCCTCAAAATGTCCTTTTTTACCGCACCCCAAACCCTCCCCTGCCTTCCACTCGGGCATCTTGGAGTCCTGGAACTCAGCGGTTAGAGCACTCGCCTTGCAAGCGAGAGATCTGGGGTCGATTCCTGGCATGGTGCTCTGTTTACCTAGCAGTAAGTAGGAACCCAGTTATCAGTCGAGTGGCAGATCGCTTATTTGAGGGTAATAATAAATTGGTCACTTCAATTCACGATTGTTTGTGGGACACTGCTGTGAGCAATTGGCTGCCGCATTTCGCCCACAAAATATACAATCAATTCACTTTACTTGTGAAGCGCTTTGAGATGTGTCGCAGAAACTTGGCTCTCCCCCAATCACCCCCATCCCCCCAGTTGAAGCCTCCCCTCCAGGCTACACCTTCCACCACACCCCCCCGTCCAAATCAACGAGGTGGCGGGGTGGCTCTCATCTCCAAAGCCTCCCTTGGTCTTACCCCCTACTCCTCTGGCTGCTTCCCCTCCTTTGAGCACCTCACCCTCTCTCCCACTGAAAATCCTCCTGGTCTACCGCCCCATAAGCCCCCAGCTCCTTCCACACAGACATCTCTACTCTCCTCTCTTCCCTGTCCCTCTTATCCGAACGTCTGCTCATAATGGGCGATTTCAACCTCCACCTAAACTCCCTTTGCACAACGTCTTCCGACTTCACTGCCCTCCTCTCCTCGATAAACCTCACCCTTCACATAAATTCACCAACCCACAACTGTGGCCCTCGACCTGCCCTCGACCACATTATTACCCACGGCCTTGACATTTCCGACCTTAGCATAGGGGACAAGGCCATCTCGAACCACTTCCTCATCTCTTTCTCCTCTCGCATCCCTCTCTCCTACACTAAGCCCTCTACCATTCTCTAGCGCCCATGGAAAAGGCTACCCCCTGAGACCCTCACAAAGGCCAACGCATCATCAAATATCCTATCCCTCTTGCCTTCTACCCGTGGAGATCCTGAAGCAGCCGTTCAGCTGCTCCATGATCGCTTCTCCTCCACCTTCAACTCCCTCGTCCCCCTGAAATCCAGGACCATCTCCAAACCCACCCGATCCCCCGATACAATAATCATCTCCGCTGCCTAAAAATCCAAACCCGGTGCTCGAGCGCAAATGGCGGAAAACTGGCCTGACAGTTCACCGCCAACTGTGGCTCGAGCATCTCCACTGCTACCGCCGTTCTTCGACTCCAACATCATCTTGGAGGCCAAAAACAATCCTAAAATCCTTTTTTCCACCACCCACTACCTCCTCCGTGCACCCCCTCAGGCCTCCTCAATCTTCACATCCAATGCCAAGTGCGAGGAGGTCATGGACTTCTTTTCATCCAAAATCCACAACATCCGCCAGGCAACCTCATCCGCCTGCCTCTTGTCACCCACCACCCCCCATCTCCGTCCCCCTCACCCTCCCCATCATCAGCTCCTGCCACGACCCTCATCCTACATTCCTTCCTACCCATCTCTCCCGCCTCCCTCTCACCCACTATCACCTCAATGAAACCCACCACCTGCTGCCTCGACCCCCTCCCCACCAACTTGCTGATCACCCAGTTCCCCCTCCTCTGGCCACTACTGGCTGACGTCATCAACCAGTCCCTAGCCTCTGGATCAGTCGCTGCCCCCCTCAAAATTGCTGTCATCACCCCCTCCTCAAAAAACCTTCCTTAGATCCCTCAAACCCCAGCCACTACCACCCTATTTCAAACCTGCCCTTCCTCGCAAAAGTCCTAGAACGCGTTGTTGCCAATCAACTCCGCGCACACCTCTCCTCCCACTCCCTCTTTGAACCCCTCCAGTCCGGTTTCCACCCTGCCCACAGGACAGAGACTGCGCTTGTGAAAGTAACAAATGACATCCTCTCTATCTGTGACCAGGGCTGCCTCTGCCTCCTTGCCCTCCTGGACCTCTCCGCCGGATTCGACACAATCGACCACGCCATCCTCCTCCACCGCCTTTCCTCCATCATCCGCCTCAGGAGACCGCACTCGCCTGGTTCGAGTCCTATCTCACAAATCGCCAGCAGTACATCTGCACAAACGGCTTCTCCTCCCGCTCTCACTCGGTTACCTGCTGGGTACCCCAAGGATCCATCCTTGGCCCCCTCCTCTTTCTGATCTACATGCTCCCTCTTGGGAATGTCATCCGCAGACATGGGGTACACTTCCACATGTATGCGGACGACACCCAACTCTATTTTTCCACCTCACTTTGCGACCCCCAGTCCCCTGATGTTCTTGAGCCTGTCTGTCAGACTTCAGGGGCTGGATGAGCACAAATTTCCTTCAGCTGAATATGGACAAGACGGAAGCCATACTCTGGCTCTCGTCAACGTCTAAAATCTCACGGTTCTCACCTCCTCCACCTACCCGACCTCCCCCTAAAACTATCCAAACCCGTACGCAACCTAGGCATCAGGTTCAACCCCCATTTATCCTTCCTGCCCCACATCCGGTCCTTCACCAGCACCGCTTTCTTCCACCTCCGTCGCATTGCCCGTCTCCGCCAATACCTCACTCCAAAAGCCACTGATACCCTGGTTCATGCCTTTGTCACCTCTCAGTTGGACTATTCAAATGCCCTCCTCTCGCCGGTCTCCCCTCTACTACCATTCATAAAATTCAGGTCATCCAAAACTCTGCTGCCCACATTCTTACCCGCACCAAACTGCGCTCCCCGATCACCCCAGTCCTTGCCAGACTGCACTGGCTGCCTGTCCCAGAGAGGATCGACTTTAAGATCCCTCACCCTTGTCTTCAAGTCCCTCCACTCCTCTTCAACCCCCTCCCTCTCTGACCTCCTCTCTCCTCACAACAGTGCCCATTGCCTTCGCTCCACCGGGTCTGGCCTCCTCCTTGTCCCCTGAGTCCTCCGCTCCACCCTCGGCAGCTGTGCTTTCAACCACTATGCCCCAAGGCTCTGGAACTCCCTTCCGCGCTCCCTTCGTCTTGCCCCCTCTCTTCCTATTTTCAGGTCTCGGCTGAAGACCTTTCTTTTCGACCACACCTTTGGTTACCTTCCTCCCCCTCCCCTTGCCTCGGCCCTTGGATCCGTTAATGTGAAGCACTCTGAGATGCCGTCCAGCGTGGAGGGCGCTATATAAATCCAAATTGTTGTTGTTGTCTTGAAGACGTGATAAGGCGCTATATCAAATGCAAGGATTATTATTATTAATTCTACCCTCCTATCCTCTCTCTCCTCTGCTCCGAATGCCTCCTCATCCTAGGCGACTTCAACCTCCACTTCACCCCCTACTGCTGTACCTCTGCTGACTTCTCCTCCCTCCTCTCCTTCCACATCAACCCCACGTCCACGTTCACAATCATCCCCTTGATCTGGTGATCTCCCGGGCCTCACCGTCTCGGACATCACCATCACTGAAAAAGCCATTTTGGACCACTATTTCATCCCCCTCAACTCCTCTATCCCCCTCCCCCACCACTCAATCCACCACCATCTCCTAACTTCCTGGAAAAAAATCTCTACCCCACTTCCTCTCAGCTGCCCTGGAGTCATCCGAACTCCTGCCCCTCTCTGGCCTTCTCATAATGATCTACCCACCTCGCTCCCTCTTCTCCACAACTCCTTCTCCTCCTTTCTTGACATTTTTGACTCCCTTGCCCCCTGCACCTCCCGAATTGTCTCCTAATCACGGAAATCTCCCTGGTACACCAACCATCTCCGATCCCTCAATCCACAAGTGCGTGTCGCCGAACGCACCTAGATCAAATCAAATGGCTCGACCATGCGAAAACCTGCCGCTCCGGAGAAGAGGAGCCAAGGACTACCCCAAGGTCCTCTTCTCCACAAGAAGCCGCCTCCTCCGTCCACCTTCCCACGCCTCGCCCATCCTCTCCTCCAATTCCAACTGCGAGGAGATGTTGTACTTCCGAGTCCAAAATCGAAGGGATTTGCTCGGCTATCTCTCCCGCGTTTACGCTAAGCCCTCCCCACCTCTGCCTCACACCCTGGCCCCTAGCCACCTCTCCTTACGCACTTTCAACCCTGTCTCCCCTTCTTCTCTCAACTCCATCATCTCAACAATGAAGCCCACCACCCTCTCCCTCGACCCCAACCCAGTTCCTGGCCCCTCTTTTAACCAACATCATCAACCACTCCTTATCCACTGCATTGCCACTGTTCCCATCCCTCTAAACACTGCTGCCATCACCCCCATCCTCAAAAAATCTTCCCTGGACTCATCACTACTTTCCAGCTACCGCCCCATCTCCAACCTCCCTTTCTTCTCCAAGGCCCTGGAACGAGTCGTTGCTTCACTCATTCCCCATCTGCTATTCCCTCAATGAACCCCTCCAATTGGGTTTCAGCCCTGGTTAAAGTCACTAACACATTCTGTCCAACTGCGACCAGGACTTTTTCTGCCTCCTCATTCTCCTCGACCTCTCTGCTGTCGACCATTCTATCCTCCTCCACCGCATCTCCTCTCAGCTCAACCTTCACGGACCTGTCCTTGCCTCCAGGACCACTGCTGTTCTCACAGACTATCTGTCGCACATCAAGTCCTGGATGAAAGCAAACTTCCTCCAGTTGAATGTGAACAAGACTGAGGCCCTCCTGCTTGGCTCCAGTCCGCGCCTCCCTACCTCGGGCATTGACAGCATCACCCTTCATGGATGCACTCTACACCTCATGGAGCCAATACGGAACCTCGGCGTCCTGTTTCACGCTCATTGTCCTTCATCCCCCACATCCGTGCTATGACCCGCTCTGCCTTTCCCCACCTCCTCAACATTGCCTCCTCTGCCCTCCAATTGGTGGGCGGGCCTTCTGCCACTCTGCCCCCACTCTCTGGAACTCCATCCCGCAGTCCCTCCACCTCACCCCCTCCCCTGCCTCCTTCAAGACCCATCTCAAGACCGTCCTCTTCGACCGTGCTTTTGATCACCCTGCTTCCCCCCCCTGCCCTCCACCCTCCCAAATCCTGAGCCCCAGCTTGGGTCTGAAACACTGACTGTCCAGCGCCTTGCAACGTCCTACTGACGTGAAAGGAGCTATACAAATGTGATTTTATTGTTGTTGTACTAGCCTCAATGTCTGATCCCTGAGGGGACTTGTTTATTGTTTTAATCCTGTATAGCTCCAATTGCACAATTGTTGAAAATCTGACATTTTAATGCAACACAGAGGCAAAATATTGATGCTATAAAAGTATAACTTGTTGCAAATCAATAAGAAAAAGCTGAAACAATACTTGCTGTAGTTCTATGACTAAAACTACAAACACTTGATTCCCATGAAAAATTGTGTGTTTGGTTGTTAACATTATTAAAAAAGTCATCTATTAAAGATTCTCTTTGATAACGTTAATAAAGAACATTAAATGTTCCCAGGCCTTCTAAGGCAATACTCAAAAGATTTGAAGGGATTTGCAAACCAAACATTGCAAATCCTCAAGGTCTATACAAATCTAATTTTGTTGTTGTTGTTCCAGTCATTAACTTCTCTAAATTAGAACCAAATGTTACTGCAGAGAAGGCAATTTAAAGTACTCATCCCATACAAAATGTTAATGTACAGATTAGAGCCAGAATGCTGATGTTCACTAATTTAGTTTTATTCACCAATGAGCAGCAATTACTCAGGCAACTTTCAGAAACCTGAAATATTGTGTTTCCAAACGCTGTACAAAATAAATTAAAATAAACTTTTTTCATTGCAAGTTTAGAAATGTTCCATTACACAATAGTACTTCTATTCTGTAAAATATTCCATGTTAATTTAGTAGTGTTATTATGGTTTGAACAAACCAAACTACAATGCAATATATACAATGTATACATTATACAACGTACCACATCGAATTTCTTAAAAAAACTGTAGAAAAATACATACTCCAGGAGTAACCAAATTCATCTTCTTCTTCAGTTGGATCCTCCGACTTCATTCCCAGCTTCTCTAGAGATCCTGTAATATTGGCTTCTGGAACAGGTTCAGGCGGTGATGGCTGAGAGAGTGGTTCTTCAAGTAGTGAATCCTTAAGTGCTGGCGTTATTTCAGTCTCAAAATCAGGCTGGCTGGAAGTCTGAATGTTGAAATAATAAAATATGGTGAGATAAAATTTTGTTGAAGTAAACAAGAAATAAGAGAAAGAGCCATGGAATTATATTAATTTGAGCATTCAATGTTCACTCTCATGTTGCAGAGTATTGAACTGATCTGGTTAAATAATTAAAAGAAAGTACTGCACACAGTAAAGCATATTAGGTTGCAATTTAAATAAAACAGGAAAAAAAGTTCAATAGAAGCAGAACAGGTGCATCTATTTCACTGAAGAGGTGGACTATAAAGTGCAATCTACAGTGGCTTGTAAATTATTGGCTGTAGGCACTTGCGGCAAATTTGACTTTAGATCTTCGAACCACATGAATTCAGAATATCCTAGATATGACCTTTTTACATGTATAAAACATCCATCCAATTTCAATCTATCTCAACACCATGTTGCTCAGTCTGCTTGAAGGAATTTTTAGCAGCAAATAAGCATGAAAGAAAAAAATGCCTGGACTGCTGTAAATTTCTACAGTGAAGTGACCAATTATTTTGTAAGCATAGCTTGGTATTTGTATACTTGATATAGTGAAACAAATAATTTCATGATCATTCATTTGCCTGAATGATTTTTAAGTCAATATATTTATCCTTTTGATGGCAAGACCTTAATCCCGCCACCCAAAAAAAAGTTATTTTCTCTCCTTTCTTGAGATTTCACACACCGTGCACCAGTTCAAAAAGTGACATTCCTCAGACCTTCATCAATACAATCATAAAATAATTAACTCGGGAGTGGAAAGAGCTGCTTGTAGTGACTTTGCGAATGAGTTTCTTACTCCTTGAGCAAAGCCACCCAGTTCCCCAACTTTATCAGTTCCAAAGCTGGAAACAGCACGAGGAAGCATGGCTTGTTCTGCCACATCACTTAATGTCAAAGAACCAAAAGTTTAACTGCAAAGTTAAGATGACCATCACCAAAGCCTGAATATTATCCAGATATGAATAACAATCTGGAGATTTTACTGAAATTATATTGCTAGGAAAACCATCATTAATTTGATTAAGCAAACACACATGCGGAGAGCTTTCCAACATGCTCAGAGTCAAAGAAACCCCTAAAAAATGCAAAGTAAATTTAAACACAAAAATCAAAAATTGCAAAAAAAATTCACCACAAAGATATACACAAACAATTTGAACAAGATAAGTAAAGAAAACGGTTGTCAATAGCACCAAGTGTTCAAAAATTAGCACTTCATACTCACAGGAAACCTTACTGGGTAGCTGTATTACTCTGTTACAGATCACTATCGCAGAACCTTCTTGCCTCAACAACCACATCATGCAAACTGAGACAGATGGATAAGTGATCATTACCGGTGATATGAAAAGATTGAAATAGGTACTAAGTGTACATTACAAGTTATTTAACTCAGGTACTGTAATTGGACACTGAACCAGTTATTAAACTGAAAGATAAAACTAGCAATAAATATGAGGTCTCCTATTAATTCAATATGTCTTAATTTAATATTCATAACTGCACATCATTAGGTGACAAGTTAACGTGGGGGGACCTGCTGACTCTGTCTCTTCAACCTCTCTCTCCCACCTTCCCTTCCTCTCTCTATGTCCACTGTCTTGTTTTTCACCCTGCTTCCTCCTTCACCCCAATAGCATAACCAGTTTGATGCATATTAATGGACAATAGTTATGATGTTTCTACGTCCCTTCCAAAGACATCTTTGTTTACTAAAAATAAACTTTATTAGACGTAAACACATAATTGAAACTAATAATTACTATACTTTTTTAATAATTCATTTGAGATTTATTACAAGAAGTTTGCATTTATCGAGCGCCTTTCACGTCGGGAGGACGTCCCAAGGCGCTGTACAGTTGGGTCAGGACCCGAGCAGGGGGGAAATGGTCAGGGTGAGGGCAGGGAAGGGAGGGAGCGAGGAGGGGGTAGAGAGTCGAGAGGGGAGCTGAAGGCACGGTCAAAGAGAAAGGTTTTGAGACCGGCCTTGAAGGAGGAGAGGGAGGAGGCAGCGAAGGCACTGGGGGATAGAGTTCCAGAGCCTCGGGGCTGAGAGGCTGAAGGCCCGACCACCGATGGTAGGATGGTTGGGGCGGGGGACGTGGAGCAGACCGGAGCCAGAGGAACGGAGGGTATGGGCAGGTAAGTAGGGGATAGTAGGTTGGAGAGGTAGGAGGGAGCAAGGCCGTGAATGGCCTTGTAGGTGAGGATGAGGATCTTGAAATCAATCCTCTGGGGGATGGGGAGCCAGTGGAGGCGAGCGAGGGTGGGAGTGATGTGGTCGCGAAGCCTGGTGCGGGACAGTACACGAGCTGCAGAGTTCTGAATGACCTGCAGCTTGTGGAGGGAGGTGCCGGGATGGCCGGCGAGGAGAGAGTTCCTGTAGTCCAGCCTTGAGGTGATAAAGGCGTGGACCAGGGTTTCAGCAGCGTGAGGGGTGAGGTAGTGCCGTAGTCTGGCGATGTTCCAGAGGTGATGGAAGGCGGTGCCAGTTGTGGTGCGGATATGAGGGAGAAAGGACAGCTCAGGGTCAAACAGAACCCCGAGGTTCCTGACTGGCTTTGAGAGGTGGAGAGTCCGGCCTGGATGCTGATGGTGTCAGCGCCTGAGGTGCGGAGGCGCTGACGTGAGCCAATCAGGAGGGCCTCGGTTTTTCGCACGTTGAGCTGAAGAAAGTTGTCTCTCGTCCAGGACTCGATGTCGGACAGGCAGCTGTCAGGACATCGGTGGTCGTGGAGTTGAGGGTAGAGGAGGAAAGGTAGAGTTGGGTGTCATCCGCATACATATGGAAGTTAACCCCATGTCTGCGGATGATGTCACTGAGTGAGAGCATATAGAGGGTGAAGAGGAGGGGCCCGAGGACAGAGCCTTGAGGGACACAGCACGAGACAGTGCGGGGGCTGGAGGAAAAGCCGTTAGCGGAGATAAAATGAAGACGGTGGGAGAGGTAGGACCTAAACCACTCAAGGACAGGGCTTTGAAGGTTGAGGAGGAGCTATGGGCAGCACAGAAACCCGACTGGAGGGGTTCAAAAAGTGAATGGGTGGAGAGGAAAGAGCGCAGCTGGGAGGCGACGACTCTTTCGAGAACCTTGGACAGGAAGGGGAGGTTGGAGGTGGGCCGGTAGCTTGATAGCTGCGACGCATCAAGGGAGGGTTTTTTCAGTGTGGGAATGATGGTGGCAGTTTTGAGGGGAATGGGAACAGAGCCAGAGGAGAGGGACAGGTTAATGGTGTCTGTGAAAAGTGGGGCAAGGAGGTGGAGCTGGGAGATAAGGAGTGGAGTGGGGATGGGGTCAAGGGAGCAGGTGGTGGGTTTCAAGGACAGGATGAGGTTGGTGACAGAGGGTGGGGAAACGGGTTTGAAGGTGTGTAGGGGAGGATGGGTAGGAGTCGGCGTGTGGGAGGGAAGGGGTGGGGGGTGGGGGGAAGTTGAAGGGGCAGTGATCGCGGAGCGGATTCCCTTGATTTTGGATTCAAGGAAATCCAGCATCTCCTCGCAGTGAAGGTTGGAGGAGATGACCTGCATGGGGTGGCGGTGGGGGACGGATGTGGTGGAGAACAGAAGCCTGGGGTTGTTCTTTGCCTCCAGGATTATCCTGGAGTAGAAGGACGACTTGGCCGAGGCTAGATAGAGTGGAGCGGTAGGTTTTGAGGCGGTCCAGCCAGATTTGCCGGTGGATTTATAGGCCAGATTTGAGGCAGGTGCGTTCAGCGGCCCGCACCTGGCTCTTCAGTGAGCAGAGGTGGATGGTGAACCAGGGGGAGGAGTGAGAGTAAGGGACAGTACGGGAGGTGATGGGGGCAAAAGTGTCGAGTGTGGAGGAGAGGGTGTTGTGGAGGAGGGTGAGAGCAGAAGAGGGGTCAGTGAGGGTTGAAGGCCAGAGGGAGAGGAGTTCAGAGGACTCCAAGGAAGCGGTTAAAAATTGTGGGGGTAACTTCTTCCAGGGGCAGTAGAAGATGGTGGTGGGTCTGGTGGAGGTAGGGAGGGGGGTGGAGGTGGTGAAGGAGATGAAGTGGTGATCAAAGACGGCGTTATCGGTAATGGTGACATCCAAGACACTGAGGCCTTGGGTGATCACCAAATCGAGTGGTTGGCCGTGAATGTGAGTGATGGAGTTGATGTGCAGGGAGAGGTTGAGCGAGGAGAGAAGGGAGGAGAAGTCCGAGGAGGTGGAGCAGGAGGGGGTGAAGTGCAAGTTGAAGTCGCCCAGGATGATGAGGCGATCAGAGCAGAAACAGAGAGATGTTAGGAGGGTAGAAATGTCAGAGATGAAGGTGGGAGAGGTTTTAGGGGGCCGGTAGAGGAGGAGAAGTTTGAGTGAGAGATGGGACGGGTGGGAGAGGGTGAGGTGCTCAAAAGAAGGGAAAGAGCCAGAGGAGTAGGGGGATAGGGCAAGTTGTGTCCTTGAGATAAGGGCTACACCATCGCCACAGCGGTTGGGGCGAGGGATGTGGTGGGAGGTGTAGCCGGGTGGTGTGGTCTCCGTGAGGGGGAAGATGAGGACATCAAAGCTAATTCGCGGATGACACAAAACTAGGAGGAAGTGCCAACACAGAGGACGACATTAGAAAAATGCAGCGAGACATAGATAGGTTAGCTGATTGGGCAGGTAGGTGGCAGATGACGTATACTGTAGGGAAGTGCGAAGTCATCCACCTAGGTAGCAAAAACAGTAGAGGGGGTTATTTTTTTAGAAGGGGAGAGATTGGAATGTGTTAGCGTCCAGAGGGACTTGGGTGTCCTTGTACACCAATCACAGAAAGTTAGTCTGTAGGTGCAGCAGCAATTAGGAAGGCGAACAGTATGTTAGCATTCATTATGAAAGGATTAGAGTATAAGAGTAGGGAAGTCTTGCTGCAACTGTATAGGGCCCTGGTGAGACCACACCTGGAATACTGTGTCCAGTTTTGGTCTCCTCGTTTAAGGAAGGATGTACTTGCCTTGGAGGGGGTGCAGCGTAGATTTACTAGGTTAGTGCCTGGGATGAAGGGGATGAGTTACGAGGATAGGCTGACCAATTTGGGCTGATATTCTCTAGAATATAGAAGAATTAGAGGGGATCTTATAGAAACCTATAAGATCATCAAAGGGCATAATAGAGTAGATAGTGGGAGATTGTTTCCCCTGGTTGGAGAAACTAAAACCAGGGGTCATAACCTTGAAATCAGAGGCCAGCCCTTTCGCACTGAGTTGAGGAAGAACGTCTTCACTCAAAGGGTGGTGAATGTATGGAACTCATTACCCCAAAGGGCTGTTGACGCTCAGTCCTTGAACATATTCAAGACTGAGATAGATATATTTCTTATTGCAAAAGGGATTAAGGGATATGGGGATAAGGCAGGATTAAGGTTATTAGCTGGAGTTAGATTAGAAGATCAGCCATGATTGAATGGCGGGGCAGGCTCGAAGGGCCGAATGGCCTACTCCTGCTCCTACATGTTATGTTATGTGACTTGGGGTGAGCCAGGTTTCAGTTAAGGCCATGATGTCAACGCTCTCATCAAGGATGAGTTCGTTGATGACCAGGGCCTTATTACAGAGGGAGCGGACATTTTGTAGTCCGATGTGGTTGACAGAAAGGTGTGTGGGAGGGGAGGGGGGTCCAGATTGTGAGGCAGGGGTGGGGGGGATGGGGATGAGGGAGGAGAGATTGGTTCCCTGGGTCTGTGTCCGGGGTGGCTGGCGAGTGTGGTGGGGAATGGGGCAGTTGGAGTGGCTGCTGCTGGACAGCCAACGCCGAGTTCCACGGTGAGCCCGGCGGAGGATTCCCAGGCTGGAGCAGAGGGAGGTTGTAGGAGGGTCAAGTGGGGATAGAAGGCGAGGGGGACAGAGAGAGAGGAGGAGAGAGCGGGAGAGATGCAGAGGGGGGAATGTTTGGGGGAAGGGAGGAGGGAGGGAGGGGTGAGGGGGTGAGGGTCAGAGCGGCAGCCATAATGTGCACGCGGGGACCGGGAGCGAGCGGTCAGGCAGACAACATTAGCCCATAGGCTGGGTCTGGGGCAGCCAACCCAACAGGAACATGGTGTTCCCTGATGCGAGCCCTAGGGTGGGCGCAGAGGATTTTTTTTTTTTTTTTTTTTGCGCGCGCACACTCCTGAAACTAAACCATGATGTCAGCGGTTCCCCCGCTCTACCCTCCCCCCACCCCCCCGAGCTGAACTCCCTGCCGCCTCGAGCTTTATACTACCTGAAAGTAGGCCCAGGCTCCTCCCCGCGCTCTCCTGCCGCCGCCTCCCAACATTAATATCACCCCGTGTCATCTATCCTATAATTAAATAGCCAGACTCTTTCTAATCCTACTTGCTTTTAATGAATTGGCAATGATTGAGGAACCTCCGTGAAATACTTTTGCTTGTTTTATAAATGCTCTCGAGAATGAAATACATAGAATTTTACAGTTTACCTTTAAAAACTATGAATACAGAAAGGTGAATGTAGTGGAAGAACTTTCAGTGTAAAATATTTGCCCAATTTAGTTACCGGAAAACAGTACAATTTATATTAAAGTAGCATTGTTCACGTTGGGAGGACATCTCAAAATGCTTCAAATAAAGCATATTCTACCAGGTTACTTATCTCAGATATAGTCTTCGGTCATTCTGTATACATAAAAACTTTACAAGTTCAGCAATACTTGTTCATGTAAAAGGAGTATTACAAAATGTATGTCTTCTTTCCTTCCCTGAAGACATTGGAAGAGATTCTGGAGAGCATCCAGCTCTGTTACCTCTTTGAAATGGTCATCCATTATGAGTCAAATGAGATAGCAAAGTGCAATCAATTTTTTTGTTTGTGGATGAAATCTAAACTTACTCATTCTGTCCTCACTTATATGCTTTCCAGCAGGCATCAATGCATGGAAATTGGGAATGAACAGTTGGTCTCCCTTGTCCGCAAAAACAGACATCAGTTGTAGGGGAAAACCATAAGTGTTGAACATTTAAAGGGACAGTGTCCCAGTTCCCAGAAAATACAAGTACAAAAGGAAAGCCGATACCCTTAATGTTACCCATTCTTACATTTAACTGATACATTTTATGTTTATAATGTAGAGGTTGGACAAGGAAGCATCTTAAGACTCAACTAAGAAACTTCATATAAATTAAACAATAAACACAATTTTGTTCAAACTACAGTTTTAAATATAGGATTCAATTAGAACAAATTATGGCGGCATTCTAATTGTAAATTTCTTGAGAAGTTTAAATTTTAAAAATTACATGTCAAAGATGAAAGGGGAACTGAATAATTTATGTACTAAGTACACACACTGCCAAACTATTGCTAGTTTTGGAAATTGATTTGGGTATAAAACTACCATTTTTTAAATAAAATAACATTAATTCGGATCTAGAATTTAGCGATGAAACATTAATTGTACAAAAAGACACCCTAACAACACACCTTAGCCAATTTAATTAATCTTTTCACATCACCTTTAAGAATCACACATTTACAGCACATGGAATAGCCAACCATCATTAACATCCAAAATCCTGCAGGAATCCACAAACCTTAAAGGGATTAGTTGGGAAAGGGAGCGTATAGGTTCTAGCTTGATATGCAGAATCCTAGTACAAAACAAAAACAAATGGTTGCATAGAAACCAGAAGACCTCATCCTCAGGTGTTAGCAAACTTTTTAAAAGATTTATTAAGAAGTAAAAACAAACTACATGTTGATGTAGACACTGAAACATTGTGTTAATGTATCACTTTTAGTTGCGTAGAGCACTTCTTGCATTAAAATCATAAAGATGTGATCTTCATTGATAGCCTAGTGGGTAAAGGCACTGTCTTGTGTTATACCAAACCATACAGACCAGAAAGTCACAGATGCAATTCCCTATCTGTGCTAATTTAGCTGAGCTCAATGAGAGTGCTACAGTTAACTTAGTACCCTGGAACAGGGAAGGGCAAAACAAATCAGCTAAGATTTCCATTCCTAATGATTATAAAGTACTTACTCTTTTGGATGAGATGTTAAACCGAGGTCCTATCTACCTGTTAGGTGGACATGAAAGATGTAAGGAGTTTCTCCCAGTATGCTGTCCAACATATCCCCCCAAAATAAAATTGGTCACTCACTCCATGTCTGTTTGTGGGACATTGCTGTGCGCAACTGGCTGACGCAACACACAGTCGATCCACTTTACAGTATATCCTGTGAAGCGCTTTGAGACGTCTCAAAGACGTGATAAGGCACTCATATCAGAAAGATGCAAATTACAAGGAATAGCAGCTCTGCTGAAAAGCATGAATGATAAGAAGGAATCAGATGGGACCTGGTCCTACAAGATCAAATAACTTAACCACATTCACTACAAGGGTCAAATACCCTGCTAACATTCACTGTGTGCCGGATCACATATGAAAAATTGTAACTTTAGCAAGGTGCTGAAGAGTTACCAATCCAACACTCAGTGCCCTCAAAGAGGAATAGAGAGTAAAAGAGGAAAAAAATTATGACAAAAAACAATCAATCGTTGCCAGTCCACATCAACGTGACTCACTAACCTTCAATTTATTTTCGTAAAATGTTTTTTTGGTCATATAATAAGGCATTTGGCAGGCCTTCTCACCATTTGAAGCTGCAGAAGTCTATTAAAATGCACAAATGCAATAAGAAAAATAATATTGAAGACCTGTCCAATAACAACAGAACTTTCTCATTCAGTAAATCACACTGAATCAAAAGGGAATAACTATGTTTGAATAATTATGACAAAGACATTTTCTTTTCCCAAATACAGTACCAATGTTACTATGTTGAAGGGATTATATTTTCTGCTCAAAGCACGTTTGACCCATCAGTAAATTGAACGCTTTCCTACATTTTGTAGCTATCTTTACTGTCCATATCGGTGAATACAATACCAATTTTTGTGATGTTATGGTCATTGTGGTCACTCTCATTAAGAATCTGAGATAGCCCAAATTCAACAGATAGTGGAGCCCTCAAATCAAAATCTTAATAGGTAAAAGGGAACAGGTTCTAACATTGTGCCTCCTCCTCAGAGTATATTTACACAATATTTTGAGATTTTAAAGGGTTCTGAAGCAGATTTTCTTTTAAACAAAAAGAAATGTAGAAAATAGAACATGCAGACCAAGACTAAAGTCTTTAGAGACAAGATAATATTCAGTGGTTTAGGCAACACGTTGAGATATTAATACATGGCCCAGAAGAAATCTTTACTAAAACATAACAATAGCTCTGCACTTTATTTAATTTACAAGTTTACAAATTTAATTTCTAGAAAGAATAATCTCATAATAAGAGACATACTAAAAGGCACAGAATGAAGAGAGAACACACAAGCGTTATCCAACCTGGCTAATACGGGTCTGAAAAGATTCAGCAAATGGGTTAGTATTGCCGCTGCTGCATTCGGGCAAGGTGTTAGACTGCAGGAAAGACAAAGGTCGTTTCTGAAACCAAGACAAAAACAACATTTCATCATTTGCATCAAAACATGTGCAGGCACGTTATCATCCCTGGTGCATATATTACATTTACTGAGATAAAACACGACTTAGAAATTGTTAGCACTACATTTTTGATTGGGTTGTACTCCACCATAACATGTTCAGAGAGTCATTTTCTGATTAGAACAAAGTAATGTAGGAATGAGAAAAGGCCATTCACTCCATTGTATTTTTTTCATCTTCCTTAAGGACCAGAATGACTCATTTTAATCTCCTCAAACTAGCACTGACTTATTTACTATTGAATCAGAATCAAGTTTTTATTTGCACTCCAAATTTAAGGAGAGCAAAGTGAAACTATGACAACATCAAGCTTATCTCAATAACTGCTTCAATTTCAGCACACACTTGCATTTCCCAAAACAGTATCTTCACTTAAAAGCTAAGAAATGTACAACTGATACCACACTCTGCAATGAGGCTGCGTAACATAAGTTCACGTGCAATGTGTATTAGTGAGAACTGCTGTTAATTGAAAATTATGCAAGATTACAAGCTGTTCTGATCATCTCATTGGGGAGTTTTATGTTGATGAATACTCTATTTGTTTAGTTTTAAAGAAGCAAAATATAAAATGCCCACTAAACAGATATGTTTAAATGGTAAAGAAGAAACCAATATCTTTCAAAGGGGTCTACCATCACAAATGAAATGATACATTTACCTTAGTTGAATCAAGGGAGAATGGGTTAGTGGAGGTAGGTTACTGCCCTCTAAGAGCAAATATTGATGAACAATTACACAGGGATTCTGGCTGGGAACACAAAGGCATGAAATGGAGGGAAAATTTGAATGAAAATAGTAAAAGATGAAATATGCTCTAAAAATTAGCACTATAGGGGTCAACTACATTAGTACACCTGATTTAGGAACATCTGTGCAGAACTATCCATACAGCTGAATCATAAAGAAGTACAAGAAGTAATCACAAAATATGCTTTTTTATACTGGGTTTGCTGCACACATCTGGTGAACAAATCTCTTTTGAAAAGAAAGGCGAAACGTATTATTATACAGTAAACTAGCACTTAATTAATGTGATTGCTACTTTTGGCACTATAGATAAATAAAAAATAAATTTAATATCAGAGCATAAAATTTGACTGACATGATTCTGGGGCATCTTGACATCTCAGTGACTGAAAATTGGTTAAGGTTGCACCAGTGATAAAGCTACACATAGCAACATCATGTCAAAAAAAAAACTTAATGAAGAAGATAGAATAGGTTGACTAATTTTCAGTAGTGGATGAAAACTGGAAAATATGAAAAACGCAAAAATCAGTGTTTTTTTTGCTAGGCAGATTCTGTAAAGTATGTTACAGTAACAATATGGTTCTATTATGTATGCCTTTTTCTGTGGAAGATGCATTATATGAAGGTATGGCCAGTTTGTTATATTTTAAAACCTACTGGACATTATCCATTTGTTCTGAACGTTTGGGCTAACAGACTAACATTTAAGCAAATGACACTGTTAAATTGTAGAGGTAAATTAAATAAATTGTTAATTTATAAATAGCTCTAAATAGTTGCCCTTGAAAAAATTACATAATTTATTTAAGATAAAAAATGAGTTCCACTAAAGCTTAGGATTCTTCAATAACTAATATCTAAACAAACTGTTGATCCGATGCATCTATCTTCCTTCCAATATTTTCTAATAGAGAATGGACACATTGGGAACTTTTTACTTTACCCAAATGTGCAACTGATCAGAAATCGTGAATACCTATGGGATCGCATACCACAAATTATATTATTAGCATAGCCACTCATTTTCAACACCGTTTACAATTTCTTTATCCTTAGAAGTTTGCATATGTTGAAAACTGGACCTTCAGCCACATATGTTTTTACCATAGTACTGTATACTGCAGGTCATTGAGTCAAAGACATAAAATGTTGAAACAAAAAGTAGAATGATCTTTGTGTAAGTGTATACTACACAAATTAAAGGTTTAATCCAGTTCAGGAGGCAGCTTTGACAGTATACTTTGCCATTTTTTATGCTTTTCATAGCATACGTACCTGAGGCCTGGTTATTAAACTCTGGACTAAAAATACCACTGGGCTGCCTGCTTTTCTAATTGCTTCAACTGCCTGCTCATGGCTGGCATCTCGCAAGTCAACTCCATCCACCTACAAAACAAGGCTTGGTTAAGCAATTCCTCATATTTCTAGTTTGTAAGACACAGAATAACAGATCAGCCTATAAAATATGAAACTGCGCATATAACTCCTTTTATATACTAATCAAGTTTAGATTTTCTAAGAATCAAAACTATAACGGCTCCATGTCTTTACTAATGAATCTTCCTCAATTAATTCAGATCATCGTAAAATGCAATGCTTGGCTCCCACCCCCAGCTCGAGTGTCTGGCCAGTACTGTCAAACGTTTTGGGACGTCCAAGCGCTCCGAGATGCTAACCACATGAAGGGCACTACATAAATGGGACGTCCTCCCGACGTGAAAGGCGCTATACAAATGTAATCTTCTTGTTGTTGTTATTATTGTATTGTACAGATACCTCTACAATTCTGTCTCCTGTTTTTAATGTTCCATTTCTTCCAGCTGGACTGTCCTCCAGAATGTGTTTGATGAAAATTCCCCTCATGACTTCACCATTGCTCAGTCGACTTCCCATTCCTCGACCACCAACAATGCTAATTCCTAAGGACTTTCCAGGCTCACGCCATAGCTCAACACTGAAATAAAAATGAAATGAATGAAACGGTAACACTGGGGAAATATTACATTTCCTTCTTGAACATGCATTGAAAATTTGGTATAATTCCATAAATGTTTGGCTGTGAAACACCAGAGATAGATATTTAATCTGCAACCAATTAAAGGAACCAAAATAATTGCATCACATTCAAAAATGTCCTATGTCCTCAAGAAGATATTGATCAGTCTTCCTTGGGTTTGAAGATTTAGATTTGAATAGAATGTTGCAGGAAGGTGCACCTACTCTAGGGATTCAACTGTTGGGAGTATCCATTGAAAGGAAATGCATTAAGGTGCTATTTGACCAGCTGATCAATGCTAATTCAGCAGCAGGCTTCTTGTAAAGGTCTCATCTATTCTTGTGCTAACTACAAGATCACTTGACAGTGGACCCGAGGAAACAGGGAAAAAACACAAGAGACTCTCAGTGGGAATTGTTTGTGAGAGCCTGAGCACTATCAGTAGTGCTATCCACAATGGATATATTCCGATTCTGGGCCGCCCAAAGGTGTTAAAAGTGTCATTGAACTTTCCTGACTGGTGGAGGAGTTTTCAGTAGAAGCTAAATTATTTTTCTCTTTCTCATGTTAAATTCTCAAGTTTCCCGATAAGACTCAGATACTCAACAATATCACCTACCGCCGAGCTTGTTTCCAGTTGTTATAAGATGAACTCTGTAGTTCACTCTCTTCTCCTTCTCCCTCTTCCCTCTCTGGGAGCTCAGTGCTGAAACAGAGCCAAGTGTTTTTTAATAGATTTTACTTTCAGGAATAATATTGGGTGTCCAAATCACTTGCAATTAAAAAACTGTAGATAAAATACATTGGTTATTATCCTTTAACATCTACATTTCTCTGACATAATAGCAATAGTTTTCATTCAGATTAAAATGCCAATAAATGTATTACATTTGAATCACAAAGGGGTTAGAGACTACCGCAATGGGTCAGACAGTCCATTTGATTTTTGGCCCTTATTTTATTAAGCCCATCCTAGTAGGTGTGGGCCCACATCAGTAAAACGTCCATAACTAATTCAAAACAAACTGACAATCTCACTCAATAAAATCATGATAGCTGGTTTAGAAAACCAAGAGTCATCGGTCCTGAAAGTAACATTGCAAGAAGGTGCTATTTTATTGTACGAGAGAACTGTAGATAGAAATCAGCTAAATCAGCAACAGCCTTCATGTAGAGGAAAACCGATGACCTCATAGGTTTTGTCTATAGAGGTAGATGAAAGGAGAAGGAGAAGAGAGCAAATTAGTATTCTGGTGGATCAGAAGGTTCTCTTCTGAGATTAGGGAACTACTATTGAAGCATTCAAGAAAGCCTAACTGTACATCTGATCCAGCTGCTTATGCATCTGAGTCTTTAATATGGACAACATATCTCAAAAGCAAAATATTCTGTTCCCCAGTGTTTGTGGGACACAATTGGCTGCTGTGTTTCGCTCACCCAATACACAGTCAATTCACTTTAAAATGTATTCTGTGAAGCTCTTTCAGATGTCTCAACAACTGCCATTAGGTGAAGAAAATACGAGGAAATGGTATTACCTGGCAGCTGGCAATGATGAGGCATTAGCTGTGGCGATTCCCTCAAGTTGCTGACCCATGCTGGTTCTATACTTCGCCAGGTTTTCTGCAGGCACATATGTAACACTACAACAAAATATAAGGAAATAATTTTAAACAAAATCATAGCCCTCATTCATTGACAGGATTACATGCTTTATCAGCCTGTTTTCATGGATGTATAAGCCAATAGGACTGTCATGGCCTACAATGATACCAGGTCAACTGTAATACATATTTTAGTATGAAAGAAGTGATTTGATAATCAATCAACTATGGCATATTGATACTAAGTAACGTGACCTCTTTAATGAATTTTAGAAAAATGTAAATTATGTTGATCAGATTTGTAACCAAATACAAAACTTTTAAGCTACTGTAACAATGTGTACTGTGGTTTTCACATCTGTAACATTTGTGTTATATTATTGACAGAGGTTAAAACAAAAATCTGACAAGTAAGTTGTACAGATCATTTTAGGATTAAAATGAAATAAAAGGGTTAAGAGTTTCTAATCTGTAATGTTTAGTATGTTTGTACCCAAGAAAACCTTATTTTAAAATCCTGCCAATTTATAAGCAACATTTTAATAAAGTTAGGCAATGGCCAAAGCACATGTATTTCAAGTCATAAAATTTGGTGACCTACACTAAAATTCAAATCTTCAATAAACTCCAATATATTCAATGGGATATTTATTTAAGATTAAGTGACCATGACATCTCCTAAATGACAGTGCATGCAAAAGAATATACACTTAACCTAAACTCAATTTGCCATAGATACAGCAGACGAAATAATTATTTGTCATGCAAAATTATTTAATCTAAGAATAATTAATTTTTTCCAAACTAATATGTGGGATAATTTACATGCCTAATCTCTTACCCATTACTGATAAACTCACCTTGAATCAATCCATATCACTGAAATTAATTAGCTGTGACAAATGATTACAAATTTTCAAGATACATTTCCATTTACCGTCGTAGACACATAACAGTAACATAAAACTCAATCATATAGTCTTGTTAATTAGCGATGATGAGATTGCTGTTAGTTTTAAGAATGCAAATAAATCTTGAAATTTATCCAGATACCTTTCAATCTTTACAACATTTGAATTTTTTTGACAGTTCATCTTCAAATATGTAGAAATAATTGAATAATTGCATTAATTGTCAGTGTTTGAAAAAGAACATGACTTTTTAATTCTGAAAGGGGAGTCATACTAAACATCTGACTAGACATCTGATAGTGAAACTCAGCTTCGCTACTAAGTAATATAGTGCCTTGGTGATATTATTTTGATTTTTATATTTTGATTTAAATAAAGTCAGTATTTTTCTTAAGTCTGTAATTTCCTGTTGTCTGTCATACTAACTGCTATTTGGAGAGAATTTGAAAATGCCACAAGACCACAATAAATGCAGTACACAAAATAAATGGTTTGGGTTAATTCTTAATCTCTTAAATGCAGCAAAGCAGGCACTGATGAGCAGAAACACAGATAGTAACGTTGCAGTGAATAAGGATGTGGTTTGTGGGATCCTTGCTAGCCTATTATGAAAGGTAAATGGAACTCAAGAGCACAAACATTGGAAGTCAACTTGCCTGTCAAGACATATTCAACTATTATGCCGCCTTCCTTTACCGTTAACAAATTGGTACAAAAAAATTTCCCATTTCAAAATGAGAATTTTTTGAATGTAAATGTAAATGTAACTTTACAGTGTTGAAAGGAACAGACATTTTTCAAAATGTTTACTGCTTTTATGGTTAGTTAATCATTTACACTGCAGCAGTCTTGGGAAAAGACATACAACTGTAATCTGCAATCTACAATTGTAACACTTTTAACTGGCCCAACTGTACACTTAAATCTGCAGCTGATTGCCTCATGTCAGATGTGGAATATTAAGCTCTAGTTCTGTAAGATTGAAAGTATAATGTATCTGGATAAAACGTAAAAGTGAAACACACTATTAAAGCATGCTTCTAAATTAATAAAATGTGATGTACTGCTGTATTGGATTCTATGATTTACCATACTCGCAGCAGTTTCTCAAAACTAATACTCACACATAAAAATGGGACTGGTCATCACCAGGTGCACAAGGGGATCTAGAATGTGAAAAGCATATGACGCAGGAACTTTTATACTGATGTCACATACCATGTGTTCATGCCAGAGTCATCATGATGCACAGACATTACACAAATTAATAATACTTACAAGGTTTGGTTGGTCATTCATTTATGTAAAAAAAATCAAATTGTGCCCTTCACTTTAGAGTTTATTTCTTGTTTTATTTGTTAATTGTTCTCAAGAGATTCTTCTGAATTCAAGAGTCCATCACCATGTGAAAATTGTAAAATATAATCACTCTTAATACTAAAATTTATTATTTGAGCTGCGAGATGAAATTTCACGCAGAAATAATAAATGAAACGACATTTTTGTATATAATATGCAATATTCTTTTGATAAAACTTTCAACAAACAATACAAATATGTAATTCATCCACAGAAATTCAGATTTTTTAAAAAAATACATAGATCACTGCAGTGACAGTTTCAATGAACAAAACCAGAGAATGCTTGTTCTCTCTTCTCTTTTTCCTCCCAACCCTTGGCAAGAATCAGTTAATTTTCAATCGAGTGAAGGTAGATCTAGATCTATTTGTAGAGCCGAAAATGAATTTTGAAACTGAATTAAGAAAGATTCTAAAGGTTCTTCAAAATGCAAAGAGGTGAGAATTCTGGTTTTCTACTCAATTCTAAAGTTGAGAACATTTAAAGCATAGGGCCAAAATATTAAGGCAGATCATGCAACTGGAAAGTTGGATTAATAAAAAAGGCAACTATATTCAATGCAAATTCATGTTATGTGGGCAAAGGTGGCAGCCAATTTACTCCAGTAACACAGCACATCTTTTGTGTGAATTTAAATGAGAGGAATGTTGACAAGAACAAGAGAATTCCCTACTCCTCTCGAAAGTGTCAGGTGGATCTTTAACATCTACCTGAACAGGTAGACCTGTTCTTAGTTTATCATATCATACAAAAGACTGCACCTCTAAAAATTCAGCATATCTTCGGTTATGTGTTGGAAATTAGAATATTTCAGACCATAAGCTGATGTCAAGGAATTATGGTGGATATATACGTTCCTGATCAAAACAGGGATATATTTAAGATATTTGTGGCTCTTAATATTGTAGTCTATTCATATCAGATACACTTCAAATAATATTTAAATGGAGAACTTAAATGACTCCAAACTTGTCAGTTAGTCTTAACAAATGAAAAAGGCAAAATACAATAAATGGAATGTAAAGACCTGTATTGCATAGGTAACTGCATATGATCAACATTACCACTGGCTAACACAACTTGTGAGTTTAATTTGAAAATGTAACTGTTAGATATTTCTTCCGAATATTCATTTAATTATTTTCTAAGCAAATTAGATTTTTTTTGCTTTTATACACAGATTTCAGGATGTTATGAGAAAGATATTTTTCAAAATGCCTGTCTTTATATTCACATTTAGCAAAGGCATAACATCACAATAGCATAAATACCAATATCTTATACTTTTCACAAGCCAGACAAAGGGGAAATTAGTGGTCCTGCTGCTCTGCAATCTCTTCAACTAACATGTCCGAGACAGAAAATCTAAGTTTAAAGTTTGCTTAAGCTACAGAATATTATTTTTGGATCCCCACCTTCTCCAAGATATATTGTAAGTCTCACGAGTTGCCCTTTTCACTTAAATCATCCTCTATTTGTGCGCAGCTCAATTTATAATAATTAACAATCTGTTCATTAGAAATTCATCAATCTATTATGATCCAGCTTGATTTCAAACTGCAATCTCAGTATGAAGGCAGGGCCAAATATTTATCCTAGTGAGCATGCAGAAACATACTGACAGCTGCCAAGATTACCCACATTTTGGAAATTTTATTCTACTTCTGAATAAATAAATTTCAATATCCATCAATCTGTTGACATCTCTTTTATTTTTCAAATGCTTGTCAAAGTTGGATCAGGTCCATCAATAGCACTAACTTCAAAAATATTGAAATAATTCCCTTGAAGTATGAACAATTACTATTAACAAATATAAAGTATTGCAGTATTATCTAAAAATTTAGCTGGTTAGTTGATCATACTTTAATCCCCCAAATAGATTTCTAATGCTAGGATTTGTCCACTTACGTTATTTCTGGTCCAATCAGAGAATGTTTTCGCAGCATTGCACGGGACTGGGCATTGGTGAGGTCTGTTGTTGGCTCCCCATTGATTGCCAAGATGCAGTCACCTACCCCAATGCGGCCATCACGACTGATGGATCCACCATGAATAATATTTCGCACAATCATTCCTAATCCATCCTTACTGGCACTGACAGTCATACCTACACACAACATAAAAATGTGCATCAACAAGTTTGGACCACCAAGCTCACACCAATAAAATATGTTCGTTCCATTTGCAATCATAGATATTATTGAATGAGGAAGAGGAAAATGATGTACAGCTGGATCTTCCAATTCCCAACAAAATGTTAGGGAGAAATCAGGATTATCAAGAAAATTAGGAAAGCATCTAGCCTCAGTCTTCTTGTATTCCTCAGCTATGCTAAACCACTGTATTTAAAATAATGAAAGGAATTGACAGGTTAAATAGCGTACAACACTTTGGTAGAGGAACTCATTACAAGAGGACATAGCCTTAAAATCAGAGCCAAAAGTTAGAACTGAGGTCAGGAAACATTTCTTCACACAGGTTATGAAAATGTGGAATGTTTTGGCCCAAAAAGCAGTAAGGAATCAATACGGTGTTTAATATGCAGATATTTGGTTTGTAATATTATATTTGGTTTGTAGAGGTGTTAAAAGGTATGGTGGAATGGTGGGGCATTAGGATTAAAAGATCTAATTTGCTAAATTTTGATCAACTGGTAGAAAAGGTTTAATAGCTAAATGCATCAACGTTATAACCCTTTATATGACACAAAAACATTTTTTATTTAAACATAAAGAAGTCTCAGCAGGAATCAACCTTTGGTCACTATGGTCTATCCATGAAACTTCTCACAGGATTAATTTGCTACATTTATATCAACATCAAATCATTTTAGTTCCCAAGAGTTGGACTGGTTTTCTTTTTGAAACCCTTACAAATTTCTCCCGATATCCTGGCCAACAATCTCCCAAATAAAATTGTCACGTGTTTCATCGCTGTCACTACACAGTTATTCCACTTCACAGTTAATCTTACAAAGCGCTTTGAGACGTTCTACCGATGTGAAAGGTGCTATACCAAATGTAAGAATGATTATCATTTACAGATCCTTCATCCACCAAAAATTAAACCTGTATTGAAACTGGGCTTGGGAAAAGCAAATTTTTAAATGGGTTACAAATAAATGAGTAGAACTTAAAATACATTGACAGGAAGGACTAGCAAATAATTGCCTTGGTGTGAGTTGTGCTACTGGGTTTTGTATTGCAGAAAGCAGCATCATGAAGATGTCAGGTGATTGTGGGTAAAGGCCCCAACAGCTGTTTAATTTGTACAGATGTTCAGGAACAATTAACTTAGTATATTTTGATAATTCCCTAAATAAAAGGATTACAATCATTTTACACCTGGAATGTAGAAATTGACAGCCATGGAACAGCAGTGCACCTGTTCATCAGTTATTTTTTGGCCTTGTTTAATATTGTATTATTTTTTGGCCTTGTTTAAGAGGAGAATCCCAAGCTCCTCTTCTCCACCACTAACCACCTACTCCGCGTCTCGCCCATCCTCTCCTCTAATTCCAATTGCGAGGAGATGTTGGATTTCCTCAAATCCAAAATCGAGGGGATTCATTCGACTACCTCTGCCCGGTCCACTGCTACCCCTTCGCCACCTTCCCCTCACGCCACAGCACCCATCCATCCCTCCGTATACATCTTTGATCTTGTCTCCCCCCCTTCCCTCACCTTCATCATCTCAATAATGAAGCCGACCACCTGCTTCCTCGACCCCATCTCCACCCCTCTCACCTCCACCTCTCTTAACCAACATCATCAACCTCTCCTTATCCACTGGCACTGTTCCCACCCCTGTAAAATTACCCCCATCCTCAAAATATCTTCCCTGGACCCATCCCTACTTTCCAGTTATCTCCTTATCTCCAACTTCCCATTCTTCTCCAAGGCCCTAGAACAAGTCGTTGCATCCTAGCTTCGCGCTCTCCTCTCCTGCCATTCCCTCTCTGAACCCCTCCATTCGGGGTATTGTGCTGCCTACAGCACGGAAACGGCATGGTCAAAGTCAACAACGACATGCTGAACATCTGCGACCAGGGATCTCTCTGCCTCCTTGTCCTCCCCGACCTCTCTGCTTCCTTCAACACTGTCGACCATTCTATCCTCCTACACCGCCTCTCCTCTCAGCTCAATCTTCGTGGCCCTGCCCTTGCCTGGTTTGAATCCTAACTCGCCCACCATCTCCACTTTGTCAACGATTTCTCTTCCAGCCTCCGCACCGTCACGTGTGGCATCCCTCAGAGCTCTGTCCTTGGCCCTCTCCTTTTCAATATCTATATGCTCCCTCTTGGTGACATCATACGCAGACATGGGGTCAACTTCCACATGTATGCGGATGACACCCAACTCAACCTCTCTACCTCCACCCTCGATTCCAGGACCAGTGCGTGCAGTTGAATGTCAATAAGACCAAGGCCCTCCTACTTGACTCCCGTCAGCGCCTCCACACCTTGGGCACTGACAACATCTCCCTCCATGGATGCACTTACATCTCATGGAGCCAATACAGAACCTCGGCATCCTGTTCGACACTCAACTGGCCTTGATACCCCACATCGGTACCATGACCAGCTCCGCCTTTCCCCATCTCTGCAACATTGCTTGGCTCCGCCACTGTCACACCGAAGACCTCCGAGACCCTCATACACGCATTCATAACATCCAGGCTCGACTACGCAAACTTCCTGCTTGTCAGCCTCCCCAACTCCTCCCTCGATAGGTTGCAGATCATCTAGAACTCTGCAACTCGTGTCTTCACCCGCACGAGGCTCCGCGACCCTATCAACCCCACCCTTGCCCGATTCCACTGGCATCCCATCACACAGAGGATACATTTAAAGACCCTGATTCTCACTTTCAAAGCCCTCCAAGTGACCTCCTATGTGACCTCCTAACTCCTTACCACGGATGGGCCTACAGCCACTCTGCCCCCACCCTCTGGAACTCCATCCTGCAGTCCTAGCTTCGCTCTCTCCTCTCCACTTGACCTGACTTAATGCAGAGGCATTTCCCAGTGATCAGAAATTAGAATAATTGGACACAATTTTTCAATGCAAAAGATCTAATAAAACAACCAAATGGAGCAGCCTGCAAAAGTTACATGCTCGTTAATTCTTTTTGCTATTATCTTAAATCTGTTGCCATTTTCTCTCTTGCCAATGACTCATCGAGCAGAAGAAATAATCCATTACTGTTTACTAAATATATCTTGGTTCTCTCTCCCATAGCAAATAATTATTTAGTAAATTTAAGGCTTTAACTTCATGTTGCAATGGCTACCTTTAATCGCTAAGGTATTAAATGCAAATATTATCATTTTTTCTTCTTATTAAAGCAAAAATAATCAAATAAAATCTGATGAAAGTGAAATATTTGTTGCTGAATTCAGTTTCAAGCCTTCCATTTTGGTTTCATGTACTGAACATGAACTGATTTGTAGCCATTTTCTCATCATTATTGCACATCCTTCCCCAATGCTGTTTTCTTCACAATTTTCCCATCCCTCTGGTCTAAGTTATTACATAGCTGTGACTCTGACATGACAGCCAATCAACTAATTCACCCTGAACATTTCTTTAGAAAAGCAAAATATGAATAATCTAAGAGGGCATTTTGAGTCGCTTTTATTCCCTGACTGGTCCCCACCTCATCAGCTTTTTTTTGCAATTATCATTCTTGTGTACAATCCTGTCCCTTGTAAATAACTGACTAGGCAGTCAACATATCCAGGACTGAAAGGCACAACATGTTGTAAGTTACTGTTATTCAGGAGTGAAGGAAAAGCTTAGAAACCCCATTTGCTTGTAATTGCAGGAATAATTTGATTGGAACAGTATTGTTTTACTTTTATTTCAAATTATTTCTAGCTGTGTGTGAGCATTAAAAAAATGAAAGATTCACATTAAAAATTTGAATGCTTTATATTTAACTGTAGTGATCCCTCTGTCCTACAAACAGTTGTGTTACTTGGACAAATCCCTTTAACAAATCAATGAAGCAATAAAGCTTTGGATTGCGTTATATTATATACAAGCAGCAGATGGCAGCAAAACACTGGTTATTAAGTCAATTTCATTTTGGAACACAGCTCAGATAAATTAAAATGCTGTTGTGCTCCTGCAGCATACGGTGCAGACATTAGTGGTTCTGCACGCGGTCAGTGTATGCAGATTTTAAGCAAGGATATTCCTTTTCTACATCACACAGGAAATTATGAAGATGGTTTTAAATAAGAATGCCAAGAAAGAAAAAGGTATCTCCTCAGTGCCTTTATTTCTGAATCATGTGAACTGGATGGTGAAACTGGCAGCAGAAGGTCAATGACAAGTAACCATGCAGTAACCATCTAATAAGGACAAACCCAGCAGCTGGCAAATATTACCAACAGAAGGCTGTGAGAAAGACTGAGGCTTCAGATTCAATCTAACTTGATAGTAGGAACAGAAGGCCTAGGCTTCTCTCTGTCAGATCCTTCTTATTTAAATCTGGCCCAGATGGCCCACTGAGTCACATATTCAACCATTTGAACTTTTCGCCAACAAAATATACAGTCAATTCACTTTACAGTATATTCTGTGAAGCACTTTGAGATGCCTCGAAGATGTGATAAGGCGCTATATCAAATGCAAGGATTATTATTATTATCTAAATGCTCCAACAGCAATTCTATTCCTCAATGGTTGGCAGGTAACTGCTGATTTCATTCTTTAAACTTGTTGGCAGAAACCTCTATCCCCATTATAACCTGTTAACCATTTACTGTAAGTAAATTGAAAATTCTTATGCCTTCAAAAATGTAACAAATTTTTTTTCCAAAAGGACTTTTAAAAAAAACATAATTATCCTTGCATTTGTATTTGCAATAGTCTCCTTCACTTTGGGAGGATGTCTTTACTCTAAAGTATACTGTGTATTTTACAGATAAATATGGCAGCCAATTTATGCCCAGTAATGTCCCACAAACAGCCACGAGGTGAATGACCAATTTTATCTGGGGGACTCTTGGCTAGAACACCAGGGGAAACTCTCTTCTCTTTTCAAATAGTGCCATGGGATAATTTATGTCAACAAGCAGATGGGTCCTCGATTAACAGCTCATCCGAAGGACGTAACCTCCAACAAAGCAGCAATCCGCAGATCTCAGTTGGGAGTGTCAGCTTAGACATATATAGATAGATATATCAGCAAAACATGTAAAATAACATCTTCAAATCAGATCCACCAGAAAAAAAAACTCTTAGAAGTTTAATAAATATATATCCTTATAAACTTACCAAGGCTAGCATTCCCTTTTGCAATAGTGATAGTTTTTTCAAATGTGCTAGTAGGGGACATCTGCTTCTCAACACTCTCTTCCAGTGAGGATACACTGCATTCACCCGCTGAGTTTTCCTGTACATCCTTAGAAGTAAAACACAATCTTCAATAAACCTTGAAAGTGAAGTGTTCATAAAGCAGCATCATTCCAAACTAGTTAAAGAACAATCTATTGTCATTGCCTTATCATGTCAAAACGTCTCAAAGCGCTTCACAGATATCTACTATCAAGTGCTATGAATTAAGAAATAACCCTTTAAACAAACTTTTACAATTTCTCTTACTGACAAGGGTACTGACACCTTTCTCAGATTAGAAGCAAACATGCCCAGCCCCAAAACACCCCATTTAGGTAATGGGTCTCATTCATTAATTTATTCTTCTGACATTCATTCATTCTCATTCTTCCAAGTACTGCTTCAAAATGTACTGCTACAATTTAATTAATGTTCTCATGTGTTCTGCATGTGTCAAGACAGCTGGCTGACAAAAAAAAGTTACGAAAATTCTTATCTTGCTATCTTTGTTTATTAAATGCTCATTTTTGTAAACAGTGTACTTGATACTTCTCAGTTTCAACATGAAACATTGGCATAATATTTTCAAAAATATATTAATTTTCACTGCTGATCATTTAAAAGTCTTAGCACTATGTACTAAGACTTTTAACTCAACTTGTGTGGAGTATAAACACCGTATTGAGTCGAATGACTGGTTTCCATGCTGTACATTCTTTGTAAATTAAAGGAATACATTATTAGCTTTCAAAATCCTCTCAATGCAAAAAGCACATCTGCAAACATTTTTAATAATAATAATCCTTACATTTTGGTGTAGCCGCTTTCTTGTTGGGAGGACATCCAAAGGAAGTGCTTTACATGATATATTGTAAATTGAAGTGGCTGTGTGTTTTGTGGGCAACCGCGATAGCTAAGTTGTGCAGTTTTTTTTGTCAGCCTACTGTCTGACACATGCAGGAACCCATTACCATGCTTAATAGTATCCAAACCAAGCTAAGGTTTCCATGCATCCCACCTACACATGGAAATCCCAGAGATAGATTATTGTGCACTCTCTCCCTGGAGGGATGCATCCCGCTTACCTAATTCCGGAAACTGATAGGCAGAGGCTGGCAAGAGCCAAGGCTTGGGGACCCCAGAGTGTGCATTGGGATATTGCTGGAGTTTAACCAGCTAAAACCACATAGCTTGCCAATGATATTGCTGTCTGGCAAGCTGTCTCATTGCTTGCCCAGCTAGGACCACCCTACCCGCTAGTGCTTTGGCTTGCAGGGTTAGCAGGAGCTGAGTGGGATGACTCCCTGCCCCCAGTGATTAGTCTGCCTTCCTGGTCCTGCCGATGAGCCAGGCCGGCTGTGCTGTTATCAGCAGTGCCCTGGAATACTGCAGACCGCCAGGCGACCAAGACTGCCAGTTTGATTCTGACATTCCATTGACAGGCATGTCACCTTGAAGCCAGTTCAGCTCGAAGGAGACCCAGGAAAGGAATGTCCCACAAATAGCCATGAAGTCCTGTAGGAGTCCTGTAGCTCAGTGGTTAGAGCACTCGCTTTGCAAGTGAGAGACCTGAGTTCAATTCCAGGCAGAGGGCGAAACCTTGGGCAAGTTTCCTTACTCCACACAGAGCCTAATAATAATCCCTCCAAAAACCAAAAACAATAATAAATTGGTCATTTTCAATCTACGACTGTTTGTGGGACATTGCTGTGCGCAATTGGCTGCCGCGTTCGCCCACAAATATACAGTCAATTCACTTTACAGCGTTCTGTGAAGCGCTTTGGGACGTCCTCCCGACGTGAAAAGCGCTATATCAAATGCAAGGATTATTATTATAGGATTATTATTATGAAGTGAATGACCAATTGTATTTGGAGTATTGTTGGCCAGGACACGAGGAGAGAGAAACTCCCTTCTCTTTTAGAATATTGCCATGAGATGATTTGAAAAAGCAGTCGGGGTCTTAGTTTAACATCTCATCAGAAGAAAGGCACCTTCAACCATGCAGCATATCCCCTGCACTGAATTGGAGTGTCAGCTTAAACTGTATGAGTTCCAAGTCCCAAAGTGGGGGCTTGAACCCACAACCTTCTGAAGCAGAGGCGAGAGTGCTACCAACTGAGCTAAGGCAATACATTTTTTAAAAAAAACGTTTTAAAAAAACTAAAATCCGATTATTATTTATCAATAATAATGAATATTACTCAAACCTTAGCCATCCATTACAATAACCTAGAGAACATTCCTTACATTGAATTTTTTTATCCAAAACCTTAGCATTCATTCATGGTTCCTAAGCTTGCTTTCCAAATTGATTGTTGATTGCTTTTGAAAATTATAATGTACTCAGATCTTCAGGTCTTAGAGAAATTAAAACAAGCCTTCATCCAGTTAATTAAACAGAGCTTAAAATGCTCCATAGGTTCTGAATGTTTGCACTGACCTAAAGTATTTGACTCCTCAGTCCTACAAATATGGTTCAGTTTTATGGTACTTAGCATTTTTTGAATTTGCCTTGAAGTGGAACTTAGACCAAGATCATTTCAAGAAAAACATAACAGCTGGTGGAAAGTGGTTGCAAATGTAATTCCACTGCTTCAGGTCTCCATGATGCATGGAACATCAATTTCTACAAATTCTGCAAACTGTGAGGAAATTAGCAACACTATAATTACAATTACGCTGGTCGACATTTAATGCCTTTTCACAATAGCCACAATTTACATAAGCAAATAACAAGGAAGTTACACTATATACTTTACATTTCTGTATTTTTTTAATTCTTTTTTAATCTGCACACACAGAAGAATAACAAATGAAAGAGTAAGACATCCACTGGGACACTGTTCCTTTAAAAACTTAGACAGCATTTCATCCACAAAGGTAATGAGAGATGGACAGAAGATTGGTTGTGTTGGCTGCAGTCTGTATAACCGTACACTTTTCAAGCAAACTACTCAGTATTCTACATATACATTTTTCATTTGTCTGGTCTGGTATGAGGACTCTGTCCCCTGTGGGTCGCCCTGCTTACCTAATCCCAGCCTAGTTTGTCAGTAGGACTTGGAGGAGCAGACCAGTCACTGAGATTCTTCTCACTCAACTCCTGTTTAACTCAATACTCCAACACGAAGGTTGGTCCTAGTTGGATAGGCAGCACAGTTTCAGCTGGTTACCCTCAAGGAGTACCAAAGATCACACTCTGGATTCTCCAAGCCTTGGCTCTTGCACCTAAATTCTCAGAGATGAGATAAGCAGCATATCCTTCAGGGGTCAAGAGTCCGCATGCCATGCCAGACAAATGGAAACCATACATATGGTATGGTGATGTGCTTTTACGAGTGTTAGATGCCTGGCAGGATCAGGATCAGAAGCTGGAACAGGATGCTGATTACATAAGTGATGATTAAGGAACAGTGGCACTAATTAATTAAGAAAATTGCAGTTATTTCTTGACCCATTCCTTGTGCTAAATAACACAACAAAAATTGGTTAAAAAAAACAATTATTTCTATTTAACCATGCCCCATTTAATTCAGGATTTATGAAAATGAACGCAAATTAAGGAATTTTTTTAAAGTTTCAATATTTCAAATGAAATCCTCACTTCACTTATACTTTACTATGTGCGAGCACTAACATTTAAGTCTTTTTTTAATTACATGATGGTGTGAATTGTAACAGAATTTGCCCGACCATTTTACAGCCATCCGTACATGGCACTAGATTGTGGCTTTTGGTGTAACCAGATGTTAAAGCTTCTGTTTAGAATATTGTGCCAGAATGGAGCAGTGTCTCTGATGTAATATCACCTACCCTTTCACATTTCTTAAATGTGCAGATATGAGAAAAAAATCTTTCTCTAATGCTTGCATTTGTTATAGAGCCTTATCACATTGCCGAGACATCTAAAAGCACTTAACAGGATATACTGTAAACTGGATTGACTGTGTATTTTTAAGCAAAACATGGCAGACAGTTTCTGCACAGCAATGTCCCACAAACAGGCATGAAACAAGTGACCAATTTTATTTGGGAATTTGTTGGCCAGGACACTGGGATAAACTCCCTTCTCTTTTTGAAGTGCTGTGGGATCTTTAAACCGAGGTCCTGTCTGCCTGTTCAGGTCGACATTAATGTTTCATCCAAAGGATGGCACATTCTACAATGCAACACCCACCCAGCACTGCACTGGAGTGTCAGCTTAGACAATGCGATTCCAAGTCCCAAGGTGGAACATGAAACCAAAATCTTTTGACTCAGAGATGAGAGTGCTACCAGAGTCAGGCTGACAGGATTTATTTTTGAGAATTTTCTGATTTCAAAAAAATGCCAATCTTACAGCTTAGGTTCAGGATCTATACCACAGATTTCCTGGGTTACATTCAGAATTGAAACAAATCTTTTCACCAATTTAAAAATAACCCCCTTGGTCACCTCCTCCTTGCACCAAGCACCTTGCACGTTGGGAGGATGCCCCAAAGCGCTTCATAGGATACAATGTAAAGAGGAGTGACTATGTTTTATGGACGCCTTATCATGCCTTATATAGCGTCTTATCACGCTGTCAAGATGCCTCAAAGTGTTTCACAGGAATTACTGTAAACTGTTGTTACTGTGTATTTGGAAGCAAACACAGCAATCAATTTGTGCACAGCAAGTCTCATCCGAAGGACAATACTCCAGCAATTAATATATTGATACCATGCAGCGTTACAATATTCCATTAATAAGTGGATGTACATTTTGTGAAATTGCAAATAGCATTTAAAAGCAAACATAAGATTCACTATCTTGGGATAAACCACATGTTTGAATGAACTCAGGTGTTTATACTGTCCATTGATTTATATATGGAGGTTAAATGAATAAAGAAGAATTTAATACATCCATTAATAATTTTGGTACGACATAAATACTAGGAAATAGCCATTATTCTCAGCAAATCTGTTGTTCTGTAGTATTATAAGAATTATAAAGTAACATTTTCACTTGAAATATATGTATTACCTTGCAAATCAATGATGGAATTGAGAGGTTAATACTTAAGTCTTCACTACAAGTACTGCCATGCATGGCAATAGTGGAGGCATGAAGAATGTCCTCAGCTTCTTGGGATAATTTCCCATTAAATATCTGTTCTTCACCAAAGTCTGGCTCAGTTGTTTCTACCTAGAAATTAGTATTCAAAAATATTAATTTTATTTTCCACATAAAACAAAAGGAAAAAATATTACATGTATCCAAAGTTTTCATACTGTCCAAATAAGCCGTTATCAAATCAGATATGGTTCCCATCATCAATACCTTTGGCACCTCTCCTGAGAAGAATTAGAAGCTAAAACCACGTTGGATTAGTCATGTGCTGCAAAAGAATCACCACAATACATGTTAATGTTACATTAGTGCAAACAAACCTAGTGGTTAAGTGACATAAGCACTCGTAAAAGATGGTCCTGGTTTCTCCACTGGCCACGCAAATTCCACACATTTTATTAAATTGACACTTTCCTCCACGTTTTTCAAAAGTGCTAATTTTTTAATATTGCAAGTTGACCTTTCCATCTGCATATCTCAGGAATTTAGGTTGAGTAACACAAATAGTATATACAGCTAGCTATCTCCTAAACAAATGTACATCAAACAGCTTATAAATCATAATCAGGAGAGAATAATAGATTTGTTACTGAATGCTTTTGTTTATGAAGTGTGTGGATTTGTTCCCAAATGCTATTTACAGTAATACTATCTAACCAACCAGGTGATTCATTTAATTTGTTGCATCATCACACTAACAATGGCACTAACTGAGCCACAGAATAATAAAAGCAGACAGCACTTGGAACATTTGGTGGTTGGTTTGGACATGGTCCAAGTTAACTTACACGTGCTCGCACTGGAACATGCACAAGGAATTTAGCATCTGGGTTCATGGCAGGCAATGGGTGAACAAAAGGCATGATAGTGCAAGTTTCTTGTATAGCAGTTTTCAACTACTTAACAATTTCAAGCAGGAATCCAAAAATTGTGTTGACATGGTTGGAATGTAGTATCCATTCCTTATGTTGGACACACTGATAATGTATTCTGTCATATCACCAAATACATTACAAATTTACATTGATGTAGCACCTTTCATGCTAGGAGAACGTCCCAAATGGCTTAGCGTCCCAATTGCCTAGTAACAGGCTGGACACCCAAGCTGGGAGTCGGAGCCGCTGGGGGTGGGAGCCAAGGGGGGTTGGGAAGGGGAAAGGTAACCAAAAGCACGGTCAAAGAGGTAGGTCTTGAGATGGACCTTGAATGAGGTGAAGGACGGAACAAGTTAGAGGGACTCCAGGAAGGAATAAATAATTTAAACCAAATACCAGTATTACAATAACACCACTTATGTTTTTATTTTGCATTTTCTTGATGTTTTTCTATGTCCTCTCAATAAAAATAAATAAGAATGCACTGTATTTCTCTGTTCCTCTCCTTGCAGCAGTTTGGGATAAGAAAAAATCTAGGCCACTAAAACATTTAGTCTGATGGAATGGAAGGTTAAATAACATGATGAAGCATATGAAAAAGGGGTCTATCTGCAGCAAAGAATATATCAAATGATTCTGTACTGCTTTATTTAAAAATGGTTATCTGAGGGATTCCTATAAGAAAATATACAACCAGACATAGTAACAAAATGGGTCTTTTTATACTGCAGATGTGTGTGGATTGGCAGGGAGCACTCAGGACGTGATGTCAGTGGTGCCGGCACTACATTATAATGCAAGTCTGATTTTATCGACCCAAACCACCGCATTATAAGAAGCTCCAACTGTATAAAATTCAGTCAATTTCTCTGCAAATCTTACAGATTAACCTGGCCAACCATTTTAATTTAGCCATCTTCAGTTTAGAAATGAAAATCAAAGGTTAAATATCTTAGAATAGAATCTGTTTCTATTTTCTTGCCTAAACTGGTATTCATGAAGATAGGAGGGCACTGTTTTTCTTATTCAGTGGCAATGAACACCAGGAGGGTAGAACTGTTTTGTCTTAGCCTTTAATGTTTGCAAGCACACACTTGATTATTTGATAGCTTGACAACTAATGTTTACTGTCATTACCTATTGCTCTCATCCGCTTCCAACAGCTGATTTTGACTCACAATCTTTTTGTTAATGCCAATCCAGGACACAATAATTAGTTGATGCCCAATTGGGACTTGCGTGGCTTAGTGTTCTCCCATTTAATGATGCTGGTTAGTAGACAACTACACATGCAGATTTCATGTGCAGCTCAGAACTTAAAGATAACTAACCAGTGCCAGTTCTGCATGAAAGAGAGCAGCATCGGCTGCTTCCTCCTCATCAATGCCATAAGGCTGACCCAGGTAGAGCAGAGAGTCCTCTTTAATAGGCACATCCCCCTCCTCTGGAGAAAACTGCTGAGAGAGTGGAGTTTTCAGTATACCACAATTAGCAGGCATGCAAATGAAATAAACCTGTAAAGCTCTATTGTTATAGCTAAAAGCGTCTGGGTTAGTATGAAAGTCCAGATTTCATCCTTAACGTAATTTGCATGTTTCTGTGGCGATTTCATCACTTCCAATCTTCTTGAGAACATAAGCAAGTCACAATCAGAAGAAACATTTTTGGTTTGTCTGATAAAACACCTCAGGTGTTCTGTAAAAGCACTAGCATACGAATGGTCTTTGAAAGGACTAAAAACACCATCCTAAATAAAGTGAACTATCCAGCTTCAGCCCAACTTTACACGCAGCAATTAACATATTCGTTTCTAACTGAAGCTCATACAGCATATTTCATGTTGGAGTTCTAGTCTCTTGATTTAAATCTCCACAAATAGTAATGAAACTACAGCAAAGCACATAAAAAAGGAAATGAATTTAGACACATGCAAATTTTACTTGAACCCTGAAACCATATTGTATATTAAAAACTAAACTCATAAGACAGGTTATTAAAACAGCATGTACATTCAATTAACTATAAATGAGAGCTGTAAAGACGTTGCACCAGCACTAATAAACCAACTTTAGATAAAGATTCACACACATACACCACACCTTGTGGCAGACATGACTGGTTCTGTGGATCTTCAACCCCAAGTACAAGTATTTCAAAAATGATAACTCACAGGTTATATCTGTCTTAGCTCTAACAATTAATTATTTTTTCTGCCAATATACGGGAAGTCTGAACTCAATTAAACACATGTTCGTGCAATAACAATAACAATCAGAAAAACAAGATAAAATTTGCTCTTTATGCACTTTCACAAAAACAATTAACTGATCACCTCAAGGCAGATTTTTAAACAACAACAGAATTACATTTGTAAAGCGCCTTTCACGTCGGGAGGATATCCCAAGGTGCTGAACAGTTGGAGATCAGGCCCCGAGCGTGGGAGGACAGGGTTGGGATGAGGGAGGGCAGACAGGTAGGAGGGCAGCTGAAGGCACGGTCGAAAAGGAGGGTCTTGAGTCGTGCCTTGAAAGAGGCAAGGGATGGAGCAAGGCGAAGGGATTATTGGATGGAGTTCCAAAGAGTGGGTGCAGAGAGGCTGAAAGACAGCTGCTAAAGCCAAGTCAAAAGGTGAATTTTGCTGCTATAATTGTATTAGCTAATAATGTCCAAAATAACCTGTCAATCTCATTACATAAAAATTACCTGTCGACTGCACTGACATTCTGCTGGGTCAAACTAGGATTCATGGCTACGTAAGCAGCACAGGATTTGTATTTCAGTATCAGAATTCTTGAGATTACACAAGTTGAGCCTTGTACTATATTTACACCTAGCTGGTTGAGATGTTCAAATTACCTGCACTAGATAAAGGGGTGATCCTGCAGCTGACAATATTGTGTAACAGCCTTCAATACTGTGCAACATGTTTTCAGATTAATTTAGAACACCTTTAAAAATATGAAACTTGTTTCCTGCGACACTATACTAGAGTAAGCATCCTATTTAACTAGTAAAGTGATCTGTCTCAGGTTGGGCAATCGAGAGTAGGTCTCATCTGCGAAAGAAGGTTTGTATTAGCAAACTGTTGGCAGTGAGCATAAGTGTGCTTGGTTTGTAAATGAGAATCTATCCTGTTTGTCTACATGTATCTTTTTGCCCCTCTAGTTTTCTGTCTTCCTCTTTATTGCTATTTCTCACCCACTACTTCCTCCCCCTCTCCTTCAACTCCCTCTCACATTTACACATAATCATTCCCCTCAGTTTTCTAACTATCTCTCACTCTCTCTGTTCTCCAGATCTCCCATGCTCCACCTTCTCCATGGCATTCACTTGATACTTTGGTTAATTTTAAAAATGTGTACTATTTTTAAAGCTGAGGGAGGCAGTTATTGTAGATCTTTAAGGATTACAATAGTTAAAATACTGGGAGCCGGGTACAATTGTTCACATTAGAGATTCAACAACAAAATACATTTGTATTGCACTTTTCACATCAGGAGAACGTCCCAAAGCACTGGACAGTCAAGAATGCGCATCCGAGCTGGGGGATGGAATCGGGAGGGGTGAAGGTCAGGGAGGGAAGGGGTAGGAGGCTGACCAAGGAGGATTCAGCCAAAGAGTTTGATCGATCAGAAGGGTTTTTGCTTGAGTTCTTTTTGGGTTTCTCTGGAAAGTTCCAGGAAAGATTTTTTGTAATGAGTCTAAATCCTTACAGAATAGGATACAGTTATGTAATCTATACATTTTAACACAATTTTTGTGAAGAGAGAAAAATCTGAAAAATGTGTGTTGGCCTCTACCAAAATGATACATAAATATTCCTATCTTGCAGCCCATGCTGTGATAAATAGATGTACAATTGATTAAACAATAGCAAACTAACAAATGCACGAACATTTCTTGAGCCATCACTTTTGCACAGGAATCAAAATAATTAACAGAACAGGCTAAACAAGTGTAAAGCCATAATTCATACTACATCAGCTTGGATGTAAAAATGAAATCAACTTACTGGTAAAGGCTTGGCTACTCCAATTCTAACTTTGCCTGCTGTTGCACCTTTCAGTGCCTGAACAGCTTCCTCAAGAGCAGCATTCTCTAAGTTGGTGTTGTTTACAAACATGAGTCGATCTCCAGGAAGTAATCGGCCATCTCGTTCCGCTACCCCATCGGGTACCAATGAACGAATCACAATAACGGTCTGTATTGGGTCAACTGGATCCTGTGGTTTAATATAAAATTATATTACTATTAATATAAAATTATATTACCATTAATAGTTCATATCAGTTGTAAAATCTCTTCTGAAAAGATGGACAATCACAAATTGCATTTATACAGCGCCTCAGGGTAGCATCTCATAGCGCTTTAACAATGGTGGAGTTTGATACCAAGCCAGGGAGAAAGGGGACATGACCATAGCCACAGTCAAAGAGGAAAGTCTTCAGATGTCAGAAGATGGGCAAAGAGGGGGCAAGGTGGAGATTAGGCAGACTTCCAGAGTTTCGGGGCATAGTGGATGAAAGCATGGTTGCCAATGATGAAGGGGAGAGATGAGGGACTTGCAGAAGGCCGGAGCCACCTGAATGAAGGGTGCAGGCATTGAAGTGAGGTGCAAGCAGGCCAGAGAGGTAGGGAGTTGCTAGGGCATGAAGTGATTCAGACATTTCAGATGAGACCATTTCATAAACGCTCTAAGACGTTATCCTGCATCGAGGCTGCTATATAAGTGCAAGTTGTTGTTGTTATATTTCCTTTTAGTTTGAACTACAGTGCAGCAATTTAGATCTCATTTTAATTGTTTTTTAAAAAAATAATACAACTCTCATAACCTCTGATGAGCAAAACATGTTGGACACGAATAATCAAATTATATTTACATACCTGGTAGTCAAGAATACTGAACCCAAGACCTGAATTGCCCTTCTCCAATTCTATGTCTTGGATTTCTGCTTCCCACATTGCTAAGTGAGACCCAGGTGCATCTATACCACTCTGTCTTGTATCAATCTCATCTGTATCAGTCTCAGAAGGTACAGTAAGCCCATCTAGATCTACATGCACCTTGAAAAACAATATTTTTTATAAGTTATAATTTGCATTCAATAACAAACAAGATCCATAAAAAGGTTTAAAGAATGCATTGTACAAACTTTCAACTAATAATTGTCTTCCTCATACTTTGAAAGAAACTCAACCTTCACAAAAAAAACTCCTCGAAAACTGCCCTCTTAAGAATTTCACGTCTTGAGTAAGTCAGGTGACTTTAATCATCCTTACATTTGATATCACCCCTTATCACGTTGTTGAGATATCTCAAAGTGTTTATTTACCCCACTCTGCAGTAAATATAAGTTTATTCTGGACATTACTCCAAAACAACACACAATACAATAAAATGGAACAGTTTTGTTGCTCTAAACCACAGGTCAGGACAAAAAGAAACAGGAAGGCTTTTTTTGGTCAGCTGGGTAACTGACACATGCGGAAACCAATCACCATGTTTAACTGTGTCCAAGTCAAACTGAGATTCCATTCCCCCCCCCTTTACACATGGAAATTATATTTATTGGAATGGACTGCGCACTCTCCCTGTAGGGACACATCACGCTTACCTCATTTTGGAAAGTATTATGGCGGAGGTTGCAATAGCCAAGGCTTGGGGACCCCAGTGAGTGCATTGGGTAATGCTGGAGTTTAAGCAGCTGTGTTTTTCCTATTAGAATGATGTCTAACTCATTTGTGCATGGAAGTTAATGAATAAGGAACCATAATCTTCATAAAAATAAAATAAAAAAGGTCAAAATTGTTTCTCCAAAACAGATCACTAACCAGAAGCTGTAGCTACATATTAAAATGGAAGGGAACCAATAATATTGCGAAAAATTAAATTTTACAAGTTGGATATTAACAAACCTTACATTCCATATAGCATCTTATCATGACTTGGAGGCGTGTCAAAAGCTATTCACAGGATATACCGTACAATGGTATGGTGTGACCATGTGTATCTTATGGGTGTAATAATTAGGAACTGTACTATACGTAGGAAGTAATTTTGTGATCTTCTAAAATAAATTCTTTTCTAGAGCAGGTAGTCACATAGATTCAAAGTGGCAAGTACCATTACACAATGCCTCTCTGAAATTCAACTTCTGCCTGTCCAGCTGTCTGCAAGACAGATGCACTGCATGTGTTGCACATGAAAGGGCTTGTGGAATGATTTTTTTCTCCCAGATGAGCCTCTGTAGGTGGGAGCAGAGGGTCTGTCATGTACAAAAACATATGTAACAATACCATCTGTTCCATGTTCCTCATCTGTCCCAGGAATCTTGCAGTTCTCCTGGCATTAGACGGCCACATCAACTTCATTTTGGCTTTATGCATATGCCAAGTGGGATGTTCAATAATATGTATTGCTTCCACATCCACTATTGATGGTGTGCCAAGGTGTTCAATGAAGTGTTCAATTATTCATCAGAACACAGATTCTTATTTGTAATCACTATGTTGGTTGCACCTTTTAAGGAGGGCAAGTCCATTACATTTTAGTCCATAAAACTCAGGAACACTCCTCCTCTATCCATCCGCCTTTCCCCATTTTCAGGTTCTGCCTGTAGAACTTCCTCTTTCACCTTGCCTACGGTCACCTGCCCCCTCCCCTCGGCTTGGAGTTGTGCTCCGCCACTGTCATGTGCTCTGGGACGCCACCCTGCGCAAGGGGCACTATATAAATTCAGCTGTTGTTGTTAAAATGTGACTTTGACTTTCAAACTACAGTTTTATCAGGACGTCACTTCAAAGCTCAATGTAAAGATTCTTTTTTGTGAATGATCCTTCATTGATTTTGTACACTTTCATTGACATAGTGCCACACAGGCAACTGTTTTGATCTAATAAAAGTGATGATTAGTCTGCAGTCTGCGCTACACATTGTTCTTGTGATTGTTACATGTTGGACGTCATATTGTCCAATAAATTGGTAAAGCAGGCTTGACAGGCAGAATAGCTTAAGTTCCTAAGAAGGTGTTCAGGGAATTAAATCACAACAATTAAGATAAAAGGAGATCTATCCCATAAAGGAGCACTCTGAGTCACGCACACACGCACACTTCTAATCTTCCAAAACAATGATTGTCCAGCGCCTTGGGACATCCTCCCAATGTGAAAGGCGCTATACAAATGTAACTTTGTTGTTGTTGTTGAGTCAGAAGGTTGTGGTTCAAGTCCCACATTGAGACTTGGAATCGCTTAGTCTAAGCTAACACTCCAATGCAGTGCTGGGGGTGTGCTGCATCATCAGAGACGACGACCTTCAGGTGAGATGTTAAATTAAAGTCCTGCTGCTGTTCAGGTGGATGTTAAGGATCCCATGGCACTATTCGAAAAGAGAAAGTAATTTCTCCCGGTGTCCTGGCCAACAATCGCCCAAATAAAATTGGTCACTCACTCCATGTCTGTTTGTGGAACATTGTTGTATGCAAACTGGCTGCTGCGTTTCACCTACAAAATACAGTCAATCTATTTTACAGTATATCCTGTGAAGCGCTTTTAAGATGTCTCGACAATGTGATAAGGCGCTATACCAAATGCATGGATTATTATTATACTTCATAAATCATACCAACTTAAAGAGGACAAAGCACCAGGTCCAAATGGACTGAACCTGAGGATACTTAAAGAAGCAAAGGAGGAGACAGCTGAGGCACTATTATACATATTTAAAAACTACATAGAGAAAGGAATGATGCTAGAGAACTGGAGGCTGGCAAATGCAACACCCATTTTATAAAAAAAGAGCTAATTCAGAAAATTACAGGCCAGTTAGATTAACTTCTATGGTGGGAAAAGTATGAGAGTCTATAACAAAGGATGAAATATCTAATCTGAGAAGAATATATTTAAAAGCAGCCAGCCTGGATTTATGAAAGGAAAGTCATGCTTGACGAACCTTATTGAATTTGTGAAGTAACAAATAAAGTCGATATAGGAAATGTGGTGTACATGGATTTCCGGAAGGCCTTCAATACGGTGGCATATAAAAGGCTCTTAAGATTAAAATCAAGACATTGCAGTCGTGGGAGAGGTAATAGAATGGACTGGAAGTTGGTTTGAATATAGAAAATATTAAGTGTAGGAGGGTCGCTTCTCAAGCTAAAGAGATAGAGAAGCGGTGTTCTGCAGGGATTGGTATTAGGATCATGCTCAATACAGATAAGTCAAATTTGATCTGAATTCAAAAATAACATTATACCTGCAAAAGATCTTGGTCGGTATTTGATACCTCTTGGTCATCACTCCAAGGTGGAGGTACAGAGGAAGGAACAAAGTCAAGCACCTGAAAAATAATGACAGCGGAGCACATTAGAAAAATATGTCCAAGTTCTTCCAAATTCTTCACGCAGTTCTCTAAAGTGAAAATGTTAGTTTTGTTTCTTTAAAATGTGCTGAAAGTTGGTATAAACTAGGTATTTGGTTATAATCTTCTAAATTCATTCAGTTCAGGTGATCTTTTATTACTGGAAAAATAAAAGAAGTTTGTAGATATTTCAAATGCATCCAATCTCAATTTTTATTTGGACAATTGGGTATCTGACATTTGCGGAAACTCATCCCCATGCTTAAGAGTATCTGAACCCAACTGAGAATTCCATGCATCCCACCTACACATGGAAATTCCAGAGATAGACTGTTGGAATGGAATGCACACTTTTGACCCGGAGGGACACATCCTGCTTACCTAATTCCCGAAAGTATTAGGTGCAGGTTGGTAAAAGCCAGAGTGTGCGTTGGGTTAATGCAGGAGTCTGATCAGCTAAAATTACCACATAGTCAAGGAGAATTAATATATTGTATAAATGGCCTCACTGCAACGTGTATCCTTTCATTTTGAGGGAGGGAAGGAACTAAAGAATATTTAAAGGGCTCCAGACATTTATCCTGCTAATTTCATATTTCTAATTAAAAATAATTACTGTATATTAATGTTATCCTTTTAATAAATTCAGGCTTCTTCACTTTCTGTTTAATTTCAGTGTCCCATTTACAATTATTAATCTTTATATTTGGTGTAGCACCTTTCACGTTGGGAGAACAGCCCAAAACGCTTCATATGATATACTGTAAAGTACAATGATTGTGTTTTGGTGGGCGAACTCAGCAGCCAATTTGCACAAAGCAATGTCCCACAGACAGCCACATAATTAATGACCAATTTTACTTGAGGAATTATCTAAACTTTAATAACAACATCCTACATTTCTATATTCTTTTAATCACAAAGTGATCCTCACTTCATTTGAAGGAACAAATAGAAAGGAAAGTCCCAATCATATTTTTACAATTTCTGTAATTAATTACATGTTTAGGAAGGAAAGAATTATCTTTTACCAACTGTTAAACACAAAATCCTGGTCTTAATAAATGCATGTCTGTTATAATCTAATCTATTAGTACCACAATAAATTTGCAATAAAAACACGCAAAACTGGTAAAAATAAACGTAAAACGTAATAAAAGTAATGTTAATAGTTAAACTAAGCATCTCTCCAATTAGGAGAACTTGCATAATCACATTTTCAATAATTAATACCACACATATGAAATGAGTTAGAGCTCATGAATACCTCTTCTGCTGACTGAATGGGCTCTTCTGTGAAGCTCATGTTATCTCTATCAGTCTGAAGCACAAGCCGACAGCAGACCATTATGACATTGACTGGCAACTCCTTCAGAATACTGACAACATCCTTGTGATTTTGACCAAGGAGTTGTGTTCCATTCACCTAAAATAAAGTGGAAGTAAATTTTCAAATTAGTTTTTAATTACATTGCACAGCATATTGATTTTTCAGTTGAAATATTGTTTTTCCTACAAATATTTAATTCTAGCCGATACAAGTAATACTACATGAAGAATCCTTCAAGGTTACCAATGTCAGACATTCTGTAAGGGAAAGAGAAAATTCACTCAAATGGATCTCTTGCTGAAAGAAGGATAATTAATAAAATACAAGTTATTTGATCTTATCAGTTTCCCATTTCAAATAAAAAGTTGGACACACTTAAAGATATACTAAGAGATTATCAATTTAGATTATGTTGGTAACGGAAAATCACGTAAAAATGTGAATTGATCCGGAGGATACATTCATTTTCACTAGTCATGATGCAAGAAAAGGTGAAACTCATTTCACTAATCTTGTTTTATTTTGGGTATACGAGCAAAACATTATTCTTGATCATATTTATAAGATTTTTCATATTACGTAATCTGTTTAACTTTAAGAGGCAATGGCACCTTGAGAAACAAGTAATTGGTGTTGTAACGTTCCATCCAAGCTGGCCTCACTGTTAAGTCAGGCATAAAAGTCTACATTCTTGAGTACACCCAGCTTTCAAAATTTACAACAACAATTTGCATTTATATAGCACCCTTCATGCACTGTAGTGTCTCCAAGGATTATATTACATTATAATATATAAAAGCATGGATGAGGGTTTCAGCAGCTTAAGGGAAGAAGCAGTGGTGGAGGTGGGAGAAGGCAGAGGGTGTCATGATATGGAAGTTGAGGGTCAAACAAGATGCCAAGTTTCTGATGAAGGGTCGTAGACCCGAAACGTTGACACACTTTCCTTTCTCCGTAGATGCTGCCTGACCTGCTGCGTTTTCTCAGCTCTTTCTGTTTTTGTTTCAGAATCCAACATCTGCAGAATTTTGTGTTTTGGGCCAAGTTTCTGGATTGTCTCCGTGAGGTGGATTGTGCATCCATGGATGGTGATGTTGCCAGTGCCTGAGGTGTGGAGGCGCTGATGGGAGCCAATCGGGAGGGCCTCATTCTTGTTGACATTCAACTGGAGAAAGTTAGCTCTCATCCAGGACTTGGTGTCTGACAGTCAAGGGTGGAGGCAGAGAAATAGAGTTGGGTGTCATCCGCATACATGTGGAAGCTGACCTCATGTCTGCGGATGATATCACCAAGAGGGAGCATGTAGATATTGAAGAGGAGGGGACCAAGGACAGAGCCCTGAGGAACGCCCCATGAGACGGTGTGGTGGCTGGAGGAAAAGCTGGTTGTGGAGATAAAGTGGAGACAACATGAAAGGTAGGATCTGAACCAGTCAAGGACAGGACCATGAAGGCTGAGGTGAGAGGAGAGGCAGTGATGGAAGATAGAGTGGTCAACAGTGTCAAAGGCAGCAGAGAGTTCAAGGAGACAAGGGACAGAGGGAACCCCGGTCACAGATGGACAGGACGTCCTTTGTCACTTTGACCAAAGCTGTAAGGAAGGAGAATGAATGGCGGAAATGATTTGCGGCAAAGAGTTTGGGGGTTTTGTCACAGAAAGCAAGAGATGGTAATATTGGAGGTCACAAGCCAAATGTGGTAATGATCAAAATCATTGTCAAGACAAGATCAAACCTCCAAACTAATATTTTCTATGACTACAAAATGCAGATAGTTCTACAAATCTGTGAAAAACAGTACCTGCATAAGAAAAAACAGTCTTTCCTGATAAATAGCCAATCATCAGTTAGAGAAAACTAAAAAATAAGATTCCTTGATAGACTTCATCAGTCCGCCATCTGAAAAGACGTTTTTTCATTAATTTGCAAAATAAAAAATATGATTCCCCAATGATCATTCTGTGAGCACTGTCAGATACTACATCAATAGTGTGGGAAAGCAAGCAGTGATCAAGGCCACTTTCTGTTTTTCTTCCTGAGCTATTTTGAGCCAGGTTGTATTCCTTCCTGAAGAACAGGTGCCTGTCCGACATGGGCAGAACACGACAGTTTAGAGCTGGTTTCTAAACACCAGAGTAAAAAACTATAGCTGTACAGCATAGAAGTGACAAAAAAACTTCCTTAGCCATTCTGAAATGTTTGTAATGTGATCAATTATATTTGTTCTTCAAAGAAAAATGGACAATTCTTTAAAGAAAAGTAGCCAACACTACACTTACATTTTGGATTACTATTACATGAAGTACACTTAATGACAAGTTAAGGCACAGAGAGAACAGGATAAGTCAAATTGAAACTTGCCTCCAATAGTTCATCTCCACTGTATATTTTACCGTTAAGTCCCACAGGTCCCTCAGGCAGGATGGAGCGAATATAGTGATGCCCGACTGTGGCTTCCAAACTTATGCCTAGACCACTGCTTTCACTGAACTTTATAACGTGAGTCACCTGAACACAAAAGAACAATTCCAAATCAATCTTAATAGTTGATTTATTCAACAATATTATATTTTTATCCACAGAAAACATAACGAAATATTGAAAAATAATTTATCATTTTATTAACCCATTGTGAACCAGTTTAGCAATATAGTTATGCACGATATCTGAAGTTATCTGAAAGGTGACTGATGTGGGTGCAAAGTACCCAGTCATGTTATACGACTTCTGTAAAGTTTTAATTTATTTGGACGATCAATTCCCAGTTATTTTAAAAAGCACCTTCTGTTGTTAACGTATCCAAACTGCAAACACAGAAAAATCTGGTTAGGGTAGGCGTTATGCAAACCGCCAAAGAAATGTAGGTCCTAGTCAATACAATTTAATGGGTGCAAAAGTTATCTTCAGAAAGGATTCCTTATAGTCTGACAGATTATAATAGTTTGATATCCATTACCAATTTAACAACTAAATCTGTATCATTTATAGTTTACCTACCACAATTTCATAGGTGACTCCTAAATTCTGCTGCCATTTTGTACGTATATTTTCCTCTTCTGATGTACTAAGCTGAAAGCCTGGCAGATGGAAGTAAAGCAATGGTTTAGCGTCTTTGATTCACTGAACACATCCCAATTTATAAAATAATTGTTTGTTGAGAATAAAAAAGGCATTGAAATTCAGTTAATTCATTCCAAGAGCCTAAATTATTTTAAATATTGAAATCTTTTAATGATTGGAATCTAATGTTTTCTAACACAATTCTCATATTTTTGCTGACAAGATTCATTTCCAAATGAGAACAATTCTGTCTTGTTTTAACAGATCAGTATTCACAGCTTTGTTCAAAATAATCACACATGAAATTATTGTGCATCCATTAATGTTGCAAGTTGATTCACCGTATAAGCACTACATTGATTTAGATAAGGAAAATGAGAGGACCAAGAATGCACACAGCCCTGATCATGCAGAGGCAGATAAAGCCATTAGAGGAGACATACTGATGAAGGTAGAAATGAAACCAGAGAAAACACAATCAGAGATGTACCATGGAGGAGAGACAATGGAAAGTGGAAGAGGAAGGACGATTCAACGGTGTCAAAGTGGTGGGTAGAGCAAAAGGACAAGGAGTCACAGTAAGCCTTGGTTATTTATGGCTTAGATCAGGTCTGTCTCAATCCTTTGGGCAGGCAGAAGCCAGCTTGGAAGTACTCCTATGTGGAATGTTGGGAGAGCAAGGAGCGGAACTGGGAGGTGACGAAGCACTGCGGTATCTTGGAGGGGAATGGGCAGGATAGAGATCAGTACTTGGAGATATTCTAGCGTATCATATTCCAGCAATGATTAGTGCAACTGTTTGATATTTGGGTTCATATATGGGTAAGGTTCCTGAGGTACTGATCCAACACTAGTATAAATCAATACCCTCAAGTGAGAAGGGGAGATCAAATTTACCTAAATTTACTTCTAAAAAATACTAATGAATATTTTTAAAAATATTCAAAAAGCAGAAATTCTGTTTACCTCCATCGGGAACCTCATCTTGATCTTCACGATCAGTAACTGGAGTAGCATTGGACACTTTCATGGGTAATGGTATTGGCTCTTCATTAGTATCAGATACTGCTGTAAATAGATCAATAAATTACTTCAGATTAAGCACAAGAATGAAGAAATCAAAAAGGTGACACAGCAGTGGTAGTTTGCACATACAGCGTGCCATGGAATTACAGGAAATGTATAGCTCAGCAACTTTAATAAATCACTAGGCTAAAAAGGTCTTAAATTGTTAAAACTCAATTGTCTTCACTGATGGATTTTGCGAGTTGACAGCAATACTGAATACTTAATCTGTGAAGTATTTTAATAAATAATAATAATAATCCTTGCATTTGATATAGCGCTTTTCACGTCGGGAGGACGTCCCAAAGCGCTTCACAGAACACACACTGTAAAGTGAATTGACTGTATATTTGTGGGCGAACGCGGCAGCCAATTGCGCACAGCAATGTCCCACAAACAGTCGTAGATTGAAAATGACCAATTTATTATTGTTTTGGGTTTTGGAGGGATTATTATTATGCGTGTGGAGTAAGGAAACTTCCCCAAGGTTTCACCCTCTGCCTGGAATTGAACTCAGGTCTCTCGCTTCTAAAGCGAGCGCTCTAACCACTGAGCTACAGGACTCCACTTTGAGAGATTTCGAAGATGTGATAAGGCGTTATATCAAATGCAAGGATTATTATTATTGGTAGGGACTAGGTGGAGGAAAGAGAGAAGAAAACCTACATAACTAGTACAAACATCTTCTTATCCATCAATCACTGCCATTTGACACCTACAGTCTCAATTTTAGTACATTAACACTGATATGTTGTTGTTGTTGTTGTTGATATGTTCATGTCATATTTAATTGCCTAAATTTAACACTTGTACTTGAGTCAAACAACAGTACAGGACCCCTAGCTTGAAAGAAGGTTCACGAGTCATACAGAACCCATAAATAATACTCCAATTGCCAGCAAATATGTCAATTTCAGTGCATTCTTGTTTGAGAAGTTTAAAAAATTCACAATTATACAAAACTCATTTTGAATAGAAACATTTTAATTTTACATGTCTTTTCATTTCTTTGCCCGCCCTCTTTATTCAATATGATTTCTTCATATTACCCATATTTTATATAGTCATCATGATTTGGAGTATTGAGAAGTGATTGAAAAAATTAGAGTCATAGAGCCTGCATAGGAAAACACAGGAAGCAACTGGGACTCTCAGTGTACCTGGAGCTGGTCCATCACCAATTTTAAGTTCATTTTCATCCTTCTCAGATTTTGCACTTTCTTTATCCTCAGACTGTGCTATAGCTTCTGGTTTGAGTCTTCTTCGCATCAGGATGAGATACACCCTTTGACCTGTATGACGCAAAACTTCCACTGCTTGCTGGTTAGTGAAACCCTGAATGTTTGTCCCATCCACCTAGTGGAAAAAAATATATTAATGGCAAAAATGACCCCAAACCAGGATTAAAAGTCTATCTAAATGATACTTTTAAAGATAAAATGAGCTTGGTAGATAAGGTTTTGCAAACCAGAGTAGGATTCAGCTTTGAGTATTGTAACGGACTCTGAAAACTGGGTGTGTGGAAGGCAGCTACAGTGGGCCTTTGGGTTGTACTAGAGAGAGGGTAAAACTGGTGCCACATCAAGGGGGTGTCCAAGCTACCAGCAAGCTCTCTTTGTGGCTTCAGGAAGGAATACTGTCCCAGACAGACCAGGGAACAAAGAGGCCTAAGCTCAAACATTCAAGCTCTTAATTCTACCTTATGTTTTCTTTCACACTATCTCAGGAAAATGTGAATTTTCATTAACGCCCTTTCTGACTATCTACTATAACTGTCCTTTCTACCCACATCCGTGCCATGACCTGCTCTGCCTTCCCCCACTTGCGCAACATCACCCGACTCTGCCACTGCCTTACCCCTCAGGCCGCCGAAACCCTCATCCACGCATTCATCACATCCAGGCTTGACTACGCCAACTCCCTGCTTGTCAGCCTTCCAAATCTTCCCTCCATAAGCTGCGGATCATCCAGAATTTTGCAGCTTGTGTCCTCTCCCCCACCAGGCTCCACGACACTGTCACCGCCCACCCCCGTCGCCTTGCTCCACTGGCTCCTCATCCAACAGATAAGAGTTCAAAATCCTCAACCTCGCCTTCAAGGCCCTCCACAGCCTTGCCCCTCCCTACCTCTGTGACCTGCTGACGCTATATCAACCTATCCAGTCCCTCTGTTCAGCAGGCTCTGGCCTGCTTCACGTCCCCCACCCGGCCAGCCCGACCATGGTCGGCTGGGCCTCCAGCCTTTCTGCCCCCATCTTATGGAACTCCATCCCACATTCCCTTCACCTCACTCCCTTGCATCCTTCAAGGTGCATCTCAAAACCCTCCTCTTCAGCCACCCTCCTACCCTCCACGATCCCGACCACCAGCTCGGGTCCAAATCCCTGACTATGCAGCGTCTTGGGATGTCCTCCCGATGTGAAAGGCTCTATACAAGTGTAATTTGTATTGTATAACATTCCCTGTTCTGCTCAGCTCCCTGACTGACTCAACACAATGGGAGCTGCATCGGGGTAATCAGTGAAGCACAAAAGCAGTATTGAGCAACATAAAAAAATATTCTTACACAGATATACAGTACTGTGATACCTTGATCACCCGCCAATAACAATTATCTGCTGAAGGCCCCTCCATTATGAATCATAATCAAGATTCCACTGCAGTCCTTGTTTCAATTTTAGATTTGTATTTGGAGACAGAAGAATATTAAAATTCTACTTACTGCTATAATCTGGTCACCAACATGTATTCGACCATCCTGCTCAACTGCACTTCTTTGGGTAATGCTTTTCACAAAGATACCAGAAGGCTCTGGAAGGACAAACACATACGTGGAAATACAGTGTATATGTATATAAAATTCTATTCCTATCCATGTTTAAATAGCAGTAATTACACATCGGTATTCATTTCTTACAGAATCTGACTTCATTTGTAGGACACATAAAAAAATCTATTCCAGGCTGATTTGTCAAGAAATCCTTTCTTTACTAGACTCTAGGATCCTTTTATGAAATTCTACATGCGTATTCCACTCGACACAGACAGGGAAATTTATATGGAAATTTCACTCACGTGAAACAAACAGATTTTGACAAGGTAATAAATCTATGGATTTTTTTTTTGGGGGGGGGCAGCTGGGTGTCTGACACATGTGGAACCAATCACCATGCTTAAGATTATCCAAAATGTGCTGAGATTTCCATGCATCCCACCTACAAATGGAAATTCCAGAGATATATTATTGGAATGGAATGTGCACTCTCTCCCTGGAGGAACGCATCCTGCTTACCTAATTCTGAAAAGTATTAGGCTCAGGTTGGCAAGACCCCAGAGTATACATTGGGGTACTGCTGGAGTCTAACCAGCTAAAAGGGCATAACTTGCCATTGATATTGCTGTCTGGCAAGCTTTCCTGCTGCTTGTCCAGCTTGAACCACCCTACCCATTAGGGCTTTGGTTTACCAGGAGCTAAGTGGGATTACTCATGCCCCCAATGACTGGTCTGCCCTTCCAGATCCTGCCGATGAGCCAGGCTGCTGTGCTGCAGTGCCCTAGAATACTGTGGACATGCCTGGCTCAGGACCCGGACTACTGAGACTGCCACAGAGGGTTGGCTCAATTCTGTCATTCTGTTGCCAGGCATGTCACCTTGGAGCCAGTTCAGCTCAAAAAAGACCCCACTTACCACCCACTCCCCAACCCCGCCCACTACTCAGGAGGATAGTCACTGGTTGGTCGTTTGACATCCGACAAGCATGGTGTGCGCCCACACTGGGTGGATGGGTGGATGGCACATGCAAGAAACTCCCTGCAAGCTTTTTGGTGGGCAACGCATCTCAGCAATAAATGCATGAAGAGCATTGCCACCATATTCCTGTCTGCAGCTTGGGTAGAAGTTCCTTCCCATTGAGCGATGGTTCCATCAATTACATGAATACTTTTATCCAACAAGATGTCTAACAAGACGTTTAATGAACTTTTATTTTCTTGCGTCAAAACTTGAAAACAGACTCCCACCATTTCCTCATTACATACATATATGTGGGCAGATATTTCATCCACAAAATATATAGGCAGTCTCACCACTTTACAGTTTATCCTGTAAAGCGCTTTGAGGCATCTCAACAACGTGATAAGGCTCGATATCAAATACAAGAATTATTATAAGAAAACATTTAATATTTCATATACTACCTAAATTTTTGTCTCCAACATAACCAGCAATGGTTATGCCCAGTCCATGTGTATCTTTTGTAAGTTGCACATCAAATGTTTCACCATCAAACTCTTGGGAACCAATTGGTTCAGGCTAGTAAAACAAACAGAATTTATATTTTAATTAAAAGAGAAACAAATGATAACTGTTCTAACAATAAGATGTTACACGTTATTATGGTGGGCGGAACCCACGATTACACCGCTGTGTATGGACCACTTTTATTTACTATCTGAATGAAAGTACATAAGCAATTCTAAATTAATGGTCTATTTTCAGTTTTCCTTTTCTCCATTCTAGGCCTTTCCCAAACCTTGCACCGCTCCACAATACAGGCTGAGAGACAACCTGCTCCTAGGTCTCTGCTACGATCACTGGAGATAGCTACTTAAAGAGGTGCTTGCTAAGGGTCCAAAACAAGCAGCTTTCTTAATATTTCTGTGGGGAACTGTCTGATCTCTACTCGGCATCTTCCTTGAAAGCACGGCTGATATCAGGAATCCACATTTAGTTAAATGCAGAATTTAGTAAATCTGTAAATAAGCATCCAATCTATCCTCAAGTAGGTCAAGTATTTCAAAATAATTTTAAATTCTATTAACCCTTTGTTCACGATGCTGTGCAGAACACTATGGCAGTGCCAACAATTTCCTAAATAAGTCATTTACAGAGGTAAATGTTTTATTACAGATACAGGCTGCCCCCATTATAGCATCATGGTTTGGAGTGTATTCGTGCAGATGCTGATCAAAGAGAAGTCAAACTTGCCTCTTCTGCTACAGGAGGCACGGAAGGTACAGCGGGGACTGTTTGAGGAACTGCTGCCAAGGACTCTTCCATAGCACCTCTAGCAATGACTAATTTCACCCGGTTTCCGCACTGCCGCAAGACCTGAGCTACTTGCTCACTGCCCATTCCATGCAGGTCTGTGTCACCTATCTTCAGAATATGATCTCCACTTTGAAGTCGTCCATCCTTCAGACAAACAGTACAAGATTGTGAATATTTGATGAAAGCATACTGTATTAAAGGATCAACACTCAATGAAAAACACTACATATGTCTTTCTTTACAAATTTAACACAATAGAATACATCTTGAAAAACTGTATCACCATTAAAATGAAAATCTCCCTGAAAACTGTAAAAAAAGGATAGGCAAGTAAGAAAATTCTAAAAACAAATCAATTTGAATATTTCATGACTGATTTCAAATCCTATTGTTTTTTCCAAGACCACCAAATGTCTGTGTTATTCAACTTCCCTTCATTTAGGAGAACATAGTTCTGCTTCATTAGAAAATTCTACTCATCAAACACTATGCCAAACAGGATGGCATTATCAAATTAGAATTGGGTGAATATTTCCTGGCAGTTATTAGATATTTTTTGTAATTTAAATGTCATAAACAACAGGAACAATACTGAGAGAATAAAAGGGCATTTTAGTCAGAATCACAATCATTTGTGCAACAAATTTAGATCACATTTAAAACTAAAATGTAATCATTTTCAGCACTTACCTAATGTGTGCACATGGCAATTAACAAAAAGGCCTTATAATAAAAAAAAGCCATAGGATATAATCTACATCCATTTGTGGCACTAACTGTAGCTCATCTATGGAATATGAACAGTATCCCACAAGTCATATTCAAGCTTTATTTGTTAAACAAAAGACAAAATACTGCAGATGCTGGAAACCTGAAATAAAAACAGAAGTCAATAGGAATACTCAGCAGGTCATGCATTACAAAAAGGCTTTAAAATGAAAAGCCATTACAAAGGTTGTCAACCTGAAACGTTAATTCACTTTCCTCTTTCTCTAGATGCTGCCTGACCTGCTGAGGTTCCCAGTGGTTTCTGTTATTATTTCAGATTTGCAGCATCTGTAGCATTTTGCCTTTTGTTTATTGTTTAATTCACTGCCACTTCTCTTCCAGGAATGCCTATCTTGAAGAAGTTCTGCTCTTTTCTTTGACATGACTTTTGTTTTTCCCTTTTATCCTATTCACCTTTATTTGTTAATTCATTAGTGCGTAGATAATGCAGGTGACTAAGAAGCTATCTATTTTAATGTTGTGCTGAAAGTTTATCAGAATTATATTCCTTGAGTTGGTTTTGTTCTTCTAAAAATGTATTAAGTCTTAAAATGTTTGATAATGCAGCATTAATGTATATTTGGTAGAATTGTGCAGTTTATTCTTTTTCAAATTCTCATCAATAGATATAAAGAGTTGACAAGATAGAACAAATGTATTCCATGAAAAGTAAAATAAATAATATGCATTTTTCTTACGAGGTCAGCGACTCCGGCAGGTAAAATGGTTTTAACAACAACACCAGTTGTTCTTCCACCGACAATTCCAAATCCCAAACCAGATCCATCGTTCACTAGCTCAATGCTTTCAACATGCTGCCAGTGGACCTTTTGGGGATAAATGTACTCAAATGAATAATCCAAGGTTTTTGATTTAAAGAAAGTTTTTGCCTATTGTACCTTTGAGCATCCTTTTGATCATCAAGAAGTGCTCCCTCAATGTTGATTGGTAAAGGCACCATCTAGTCAAACTCAGCCCTACAGACCTGAAAGCTCTTAGATTTAATCTCAAATCTGAGTTAGCTAATCACAGCAGAGCATCAGAAATAGTACAACAGGCCTCAATGGCAACACAGAAAAGTCAACCTTTTTTCTGCAGTTACCCAGTGACCTCTGCATGAAAGTGCACATGTCCTGTAGCTCAGTGGTTAGAGCATTCACCTCGCAAATGGGAGACCTGGGTTTGATTCCCAGCAGGGCAAAATGTTGGGCAAGTTTCCTTACTCCACACGTCTGTTTACTTAGCAGTAAGTAGGAACCTGGCTGTTAGTCGATTGGTGGATAGCTTTTCTGGGGGTAATAATTCCTCAAAAAAAAATTGGTCACTTCAATCCACGACTGTTTGTGGGACACTGCTGTATGCAATTGGTTGCTGCATTTCGCCCACAAAATACAGTCAATTCACTTAACAGTGTATTCTGTGAAGCGCTTTTTTTGACGTCTTGCAGACATGATAACGCGCTATATCAAATGCAAGGATTATTATTATATTATTATGTCTAGATACGGGATAAGAAAAGGTTCATGTCTGCTTCTGATTCCCTCAATGGCTGAAGAGCACTCTATCTCTAAGGTCAAACATAAATGGCCACTGGGCAAGAGTTGGTGCCTTTAAGAGGGAAAATAAAAACATCTGGATTTACTCAGGTTTCAAAGCATGTACTTACTGTAGAAGAATGAACAGAAAGTGTGCTAGCATCTGATGGTGTACGTGAGACCATTGGACTATTTAGATGTGGAATAGATCCTCTGGCAATCACCAACTGAACATTGTCAGTGGCATTCTGCAAGATGACAATAGCCTGTTGATGTGTGACAGTCTGGTCAAGGGGCTGTCTATTGATAGCTAGAATCTGGTCCGCCTCCCTTAGTTTGTCATCTCTATAAACAGTGAGCAAAGAAACCTAACATGAACTTCAGCACAAATTCCAGTACCACTCAATTAAAACAGAACGATCTACAACATTGGGTGTTAGCCTGACTCAGTTAGAAGTACTCTCACATTTTTGTCAGAAGGTTGTGGGTTCAAACCTCACGTTGAATTTTACTCAAGGCGTACACTCCAATACAGTGCTGCGAGAGCATTAGATTGTTGAAGGTGCCTTCAGATGAGACATTATAAACCAAGCTCCTATCTGCCTGTGCAGATGAAGAACCCTCTGGCTCATAGGTAAGGATGTTACCAACTAAGCCAGGTCAGTAAATACAGTGGAGCTTTGTTTGGGTTCTTAAAAAATCCTCACCCACATTATACAGAGGTGCAATAGCAGGTTTGACTTTGCATGCCCAAAGGCCAACTCCATAGCCAGTTCCTGTGCGAATAGAAAAAAATGACCAACCTCCAGATTATTGGGTCACTGACTGTGTCAATTTCTGTATGCTGCACATGCGCAAAGCAAAGAAGAATCTCTGCCCCCAGGGACTGATCTACTCATCTACACAGGGGGACAAATTTGAATGGCTGAAAGTTGCAGAGCAATTCAGTTCGGCACAATGCTAGCTCCCAATGAATAGATCAAGGATAGATGAAAAGCTAACAAGAGAGGTCTAAAAGAAATAGAAAGGCTGAGACAAGAGGAGTCAGATTTGCAAGCAGATTCCTAACCAAAGTCAAAGCCAGTGGAATAAATCCTCAAAACTGCATGGAATTTTAAATTAATTAAAGCAAGGCCAGAGGGAAGTAAAGCACTTAAGGAGAACAGAAATTTAACAAATTCAACACTCTTTTCCTATGAATTTACCAATTGTAAATTATTCAGTCATAAATCATTCACAAATCCAAAAGAAAATTCAAATAGCCCTTTTTATGGACAACAAATCGATTTGTTAATATTTTAGTTAAATTTTATTAGTTTGTTCCTAAAAGATTGAAAGCTAAATTGTAACAGAAACTGTTTCACCACCGCAAGTATTTTATTAAAATCAAAAAAATGACAACATCAGTGAGGAGTTCTTCCCGCTACTCCTGGCATCAAGATGGTTTTAAGCTGCCATTTAGCTAACATCCTATCACTGATATATGCCAATTTGCAAATATTTATACTGGCATATGGTCCTACAGGTGGTAAAGCCTCCAGTATTTTGCACAAATGTCATTCTTCGTGTGTGAGCCTACACAGCTAATACGAGCAGGATATTTGACTCTTGGACTTTCACAGAAGTACCTAATTCTGTCTGCTGCCAAAGGCCACTTCCAGCAATCAGAAATACATTTTTTCACACGAGCCCAGAGGCATGGTGGCCAATTTTAGCAACGCAGCCAAGATTGAGTAGTTCAGCACAGATTGAGCTGGAGACGTTCCTGATTGCTATGGGTCAGTTTCACGCTAATCAGCAGATTTGCCTACTAAGGGAATGTGAAGGGGGAAGACGATTTTGTAATAGGCCTTGATTTCAACGAGAGGAATTTTCAGAGAAGCAATAACAACAACAAGATTACATTTGTATAGCGCCTTTCACATTGGGAGGACGTCCCAAGGCGCTGGACAGAGTACAGCATTTCAGACCCGAGCTGGGTTTGGGAGGGGGGGAAGGGAGGGGAAGGGTGGTGGCCGATGGCATGGTCGAAGAGGAAGGTCTTGAGGCAGAACTTGAAGGAGGCTAAGGAGGGGGCGAGGCGGAGTGACTGGGGGATGGAATTCCGGAGGTTGGGGGCAGAGTGGCTGAAGGCTCTCCCGCCAATGGTGGGGCGGGTGGGTTGGGGGACGTGGAGCAGACCAGAGCCGGCTGAGCGGAGGGAACAGGTGGGTTGGTAGAGGGTTAGGAGGTCACAGAGATAGGGTGGGGCGAGGCCATGGAGGGCTTTGTATGTGAAGACCAGGATCTTGAACTGGATCCTCTGAAGGATAGAGAGGCAGTGGAGTCGGGCAAGAGTGGGGGAGTTTGGTGCGGGAGAGGACACGGGCTGCAGAGTTCTGGATTATCTGCAGCCTGTGGAGGGAGGAGTTGGGAAGGTCGACAAGCAGGGCGTTTGCATAGTTGAGCCTGGAGGTGATGAAGGTATGAACAGAGTTTCAGTGGTCTGAGGGGTGAGATAATGGCGGAGTCGGGCGATGTTAAGGAGGTGAGGGAAGGCAGAGTGGGTCATGGCTTGAATGTGGGGGTGAAAAGACAGTTGAGGGTCGAACAAGACCCCTAGGTTCCTGACTGTCTTGGTGAGTGGAAATGTGCAACCATGGAGGGTGATGTTGCCAGAGCCTGAGGTGCTGAGGCGCTGGCGTGAGTCAATCAGGAGGGCCTCAGTCTTGTTCACATTCAACTGTCGGAAATTTGCCCTCATATAGGACTTGATGCCCGACAGACAGTCTGTCAGGACAGCAGTGGTCCTGGAGTTGAGGGTAGAGTCAGAAAGATAGAGTTGGGTGTCATTTGCATACATGTCGAAGTTGACCCCATGTCTGCGGATGATGTCACCAAGGGGGAGCATATAGATATTAAAGAGGATAGGGCCATGGACAGAGCACTGGGGGACACCAGATGTGACAGTGCGGGGGCTGGAAGAGAAACCGTTAGAAGAAACAAAGTGGAGATAGTGAGAGATAGGAAGCGAACCAGGCAAGGGCAGATCTGTGAAGATTGAGTAAAGCGGAGAGGCGGTGTATGAGGAAGGAACGGTAGACAGTGTCGAAGGCGGCAGAGAGGTCGAGGAGGACAAGGAGGCAGAGGGAGCCCTGATCACAGATGTTCAGTATGTCATTAGTGACTTTGACCAGGGCTGTTTCCGTGCTGTGGGCAGTGCGGAAGCCGGATTGGAGGGGTTCAAAGAGCGAATGGCGAGTGAGGAAGGAGCGGAGCAGGGATGCGATGCCTCGTTCCAGGACCTTGGAGAGGAATGGGAGTTTAGAGATGGGGCGGTAGCTGGAGAGGAGGGATGGATCCAGGGAAGGTTTTTTCAAGTTGGGGGTGATGATGGTTGTTTTTAGGGGGGTGGGAACTGAACCGCTGGACAGGGAGAGGTTGATGACATCGGACAGGAGGGGGGCCAGAAGTTGGAGCTGGGAGACGAGGAGAGAGGTTGGGATGGGATCGAGGGAGCAGGTGGTGGGTTTGAGTTTGCGGACAGTCGTGGTGAGGGAGGAGGGAGAGATAGGGTCGAAGGAGTAAAGGACGGGATGGGTGGGGGGTGGGTCATGAGGGAGAGGTGATGTGGGGGTGGCTGTGGACAGGGCTGAGGTGGCTGAATGTATCCCCTCGATTTTAGAAGATTCAATAACTTTAGTGCTGTCAAACAGTGAAGCCATCAAAAATGATTGAATTTGCAAGACAAAGAAAATTACTCTTCAACGAACTGAAGAACTCTAGATTTCCATTGTCTCATTGAAAACCATAGAAGAAATCAAGATTTGGTGATTCAATCTTTGAGGGAGGAATAAAGATGACGTGTATTGTACGCAACCTAAAATTTAAGAATGAGAGATATTATCATCAACAGTGCGCAAAGATTAAACAGCTGGAAGTCACTGAAGGCTATAATGAATGTATTCTTACCTTGCTGCCACACTGCCCTCTTGGATTTCCTGAACAAAGATCCCTAACTCTCCTTTATTTTCACTCTTTAGTCCTACTACCCTGAAACCTAAACCACCACATGCAGGTTTCATGAGATCTATGTATTCAATAGGACGACCCTGATGAGACAGAAGATACCACAGTCATCCCTGATGGTACATAAAAACACATTGTATAGTTAAAAAATACTTAAAGGCCATACTCAGTTTGCTTTTTAAAAAAAAAATGTTTTCATTTATACCAGTCCTTTCAACCGGTCCACAAGTTATTTTAGTCAACTGGGTGTTTACATGCGGAAACCCATCACCATGCTTAAAAGTATTCAAACCTGCGAGTTCCACATACGTATGCCACCTACACATAGAATTTCCCTGAGTCTAGAATGAAATCTGTACTTTCTCCCTGGAAGAATGTATCCTGCTTACCCAATTCTATAAAGTAGCAGGCACAGGTTGTCCAGGGGCCAAGCCCTGAGCTCCAGATTGTAGGATGGAATATTGCCAGAGATTAACCAGCTAAAGCCACATAGCTTGCCATTGAGAGCAGTTTCTGGCAAACTTCTTTCGGCTTGTCCAGCTTGGACCACCCTATCCAGGCTTTGGCTTACAAGGTTAACAGGAGCAGAGAGCGAAGAATCCCAGTGACTGGTCTGCTCCTCCAAGTCCTGATGATGAGCGAGAATAGCTGGCCTATCATCAACAGTGCCTTGAAGTAAATGTCCGGTCTGTCTCAGGACTTGGGACAACTAAGACCATCACAAAGAATTGACTTGATTACAAAATTTGAAGAGATTACAAAACATCTAGCACAAATGTATTGAACTGGGGTTACTCTTTCAATTCCATTTAAAATCATATCCACCTGTATAAGGTACCCTCTGAGTCATTGTCTCTCAAGATTGAAAAGCCGTACCTGTTGATTAACTTTAAACTGAGAACTTTCAAATAAGTCATGATTTATTTTCTTTTCCCATTAATAATGCACACAACAGGGTAACATGGTTGCTATGAAAATCTTCACTAAAAATCAAAACAATCAAATAGTACATGAAATGGCTTTAAACATCCCATTAGCAACAAGGATATCATACTGAACCAGCTCTCTTACCTGTGCCATTCTTCTCAAAATCTGATCAAACTCCTCATTGGATGGTTTCCCATTAACATGAGGATAGCCAGGCTGTACCGAGGTGTCAGGTTGGTTTACTTTACTACCATTCTGCTGAGCTAGCATGTATGATTCATTTAGAGGCGATGAAACCAAACCAGCGGCTGAGAGACCTGCTTGACAAAGGTCAAAGCTGGGAGGTTTGGAAGATGGCATGGTATTTACCTTTTTAAAAAAGAAAGGTTACAGAAATAACTGTTCTGCATTTCACACTAGAATATAATTCCTATTGGAGAATCTAACAAGCTGCTAACTCCAGCACAATGCTCCCAAAGGCAAAACAGTTAAAAACTGAACTATAGTTACAGAATCTAGAAGTGGCTACAGTGCATGAAGAGACCATGAACAGTGCACAAATACACAAATATTATTTCATTGTACTTAGAATAAAGAGAAAACTAAATGCACAAGAATAAAGAGAAACAAAAAGCACAATGTGATTACCCCTCCCAGACCTCCTCCCCCCCAGCCTATAACGTAGCAATCAGGAGAAATGTTTTGCATTTAAAAAATAGGAAAGTTTTGAAAATTAGAGTACAGGTCACCCAAAACTCCCATTCTATGTATTAATATAGTAAACACACTGAATTGGACTGTTGCAAAGTCCGAGTGGGGCACTATCATGACTGTGGGGCTTGATGCCAGTGAGGAAAGTGGGCAGAACAATACTGATCCACAAACTAGAGCTCCAGGTGAGAAAGGAACAGAGAGACCAGCTGGTGAGAAGAGAAGCTGGTGAATTGCCACCTACCAAAGGTGAGGAACCAGACTCAAAGAGAACTCAGGGGGACTAGTTACAGCTCTGGCAACAGTGCTTTCAATGTCTTCCCACCTGTTTAAGGGAAGGCTTATGGAATGGGTCTTTGGAAGAGCATGGAATAAGGAATGTGGTCTAGTGTGTGGAGTAAGGAAACTTGCCTGAGATTTTGCCCCACCCCACACCCCCGCTCCTGGGAGAGGCGACACCTTAGGCAAATTTCCTTACTCCACACACCTCTGTTTACCTAGCAGTAATTAGGAACACGATTATTAGTCGATTGGCAGATTGTTTTCCAGGGGTAATAATTCCTCAAAAACAATTTGGTCATTCAATCCACAAGTCTTTGTGGGACACTGCTGTGCACAATTGGCTGCCGTGTTTCACCCACAAAATACAGTTAATCTACTTTACAATATATTCTGTGAAGCACTTTGAGACGTCTCAACGACGTCAAATGCAAGAAAGATATAAAGAGTGTTCCCGTACACATGAACACCAAGTCTGACATCCCTTACTGTGGATGACCTCCACACAGGGTTGCCTTTGATTTGTTGCATTTGTGAAAATAAAGTTGATTTGCTTCTTCCCGATGACCGGTGAAGACTGCTGCTTCTCCAACAGCTCTATGTACGCTACAATATTTTTTAGGCAGCTGGACATCTAATACATGTGGATACTCATCACCTTGTTTAAAAGTATACAAATCTGACAAGGGTCCCACATACGTATGCTACCCATAAAACCATAAGATGTAGGATCAGGAGAAGGCCATTCAGTCCCTCGAGCCTGCCCCGCTATTTAATAAGATCATGGCTGATCTTCTAACCTAATTCCAGAAATGTTTCCTCAACTCAGTTCGAAAAGGCTGACCCTTATTCTTGAGACTATGACCCTGAGTTTTAGATTCTCCAACAGGGGAAACAGTCTCACGGCATCTACCCTGTCAAGACCCTTAAGAAACTTATAGGTTTCTATAAGATCACCTTTAATTCTTCTATATTCTAGAGAATATAGGCCTAGTCTACTCAACCTATTCTCATAGGTCAGTCCCCTCATCCCAGGAACCAATCTAGTGAATCTACACTGCACCCTCTCTAAGGCGAGTATGTCCTTTCTTAAATAAGGAGACCAAAACTGTACACAATATTCTAGGTGTGGTCTCAACAAGGCCTTATACAATTGCAGCAAGACTTCCCTACTCTTGTACTCAAACCCTTTTGCAACGAACGCCAACATGGCATTAGCCTTCCTAATTGCTTGCTGTACCTGCATACTAACTTTTTGCGACTGGTGTACAAGTTCACCCAAATCCCTCTGAACACTAACATTACCTCGTCTCTTCCCCTCTAGAACATAATCCGCTTTTCTATTTTTACTATTCACACGTGGAAATTTTCCTGTGTCTGAAATGGAATGTGTACTCCTTTGCTGGAGGGACACACCCTGTTAACCTAATTCTGGAGAATATTGAGCGCATGTTGCTGAGAGCCAAGTCACTCCAGAGTGCGATTTGAGGATTTGCTGGAGTTTACCCAGGTAAAACCGCAAAATTTGCCATGGAGAGCACTGACTGGCAAGCTTCACGCTGCTTGTCCAGCAAGGAGCTCCCTACCCATTTGGACTTTGGCTTGCAGGAACCAATTGGGAAAAATCAAAATAGCAAAATAGTTTTTTTTAGTAAAACAGTATGAGAATGATAGCATGGATATGTACAAAGATCCTATTCTCAAAAGGAAGAATAAGGGAATTGGAGGTTAACTTAATTTGAAGAATAATGACTTCCACATCCAAGGTGAATTTGTATACCTTTCTTACTCTTCATTCAATATGCTCCACCTCCACCACTCCATCTCCAAACCAGCTGAATAGGAACAAATAATCAAATTCTTGTAAAAATTATTAAATAAAGTAGACAAGACCTAATTCTGGGACAAACAACTTGTCAGAAATGTCAGTCTTGCAACAGGGAATCTTAGCAGCTTGTTTTCCTGTTATACGCTTTGTTAGACTGGCCTTGGCAGATTTGGCACAAATTAAAATAGGGGACCTAGGCCTCCATTGCAGTAAAAATGATGTGTCTTCACATATACACTTGAGAAACTTAATCAATAGTTTTAAAAATTGCACCCTTGTAAAACAAATAGTTGAAAAACAAATACAATAAACTCTGGATAACTCGTCACTCCAAGGGAAAAAAAAGCTCAGTGACAAGTTATCCAGACTGGGTTCTTTAACGGCCACCTGAAGAAGTAGATATAATCTTGGTTTAATGCACAATGTAATATCACCCCAGCACTGTATTGCATGGTCAGTCTAGAGACGTTAGGTGCTGTACAAAGTAGGAGAAAAAACAAAACAGATGTACTGTAAAAAATGTGCACATTTGGTTACCCTCAATAAACATCAGAAGCTTAGATCACTAATTGCTGCCATGCAGATTTACAAGCAATTACATCTGCTCCATTTCACACAATCTGGGTTGTTTTGTTTTACTTTTTCAGGTTTGTTACCATAGCAATTGACGAAGTGAATCATTTTTCAGTGCCGCAATAATATGACTCAAAATGGTTCAATAATCATGAACAAGCTGTCAATTTACTTACTCATAGACATAATAGGAGTGATGGCAAACCCACGGTCCACTTGTTGTCAAAAAGGAACCCGCCGAACATTTGCACTAGTCTAGGTATGAACGTGTTCAATCAATCGTGTATTGCCAGTTTTTTTTGATTGAATATTTTATGGTATAAATCAAGAAATATTCAATCAAGAAAATTTATTCGGCTGACCAAAACGACAACAAACAGCATTTAGTTTGTCACTCTTTGGAATGTGGCTTATCTCAACAGCCTAGACATAGGTTAAAACAAATTCCATTAGATTAAAAAATAATTCCTTGTTGCCTTGGCTGAAAGCAGCGACTGCTACATCATTGGCCTCTCGGTTATTTAGCCTTCACCCCAGCGTCGGGTCTGAAATGCTGTACACTGTCCAGCGCCTTGGGATGTCCTCCTGACGTGAAAGGCGCTATACAAATGTAATCTTGTTGCTGTTCACATGTCAAAAAGTAACTATTTTGAGTACTAGCAGCTTCTTAAGCACGTAACAAAAGTTAGTTTCACATTTTTGCATTACGCACAAGCCAACTAAAACAAATGAGCTGCCACTTATTTGAGAGGAAACAAAACTGACAAACAGACATTCGCTTTTACCCTATAAACAATTATGCAAATCTGGGGCCACAAAACCTGAAACTATTTTCAGACTTAACCTCAACAATAAGCAATGTAACCCGTGTGCAGTTTCTTTTTAACCATGAAAAACTCTCTTTTGTACCATTAAACAGACTTGTAATACTAAATCTGAAAAGTAATCAACCATCCCTATCGTTATCCATTAAAATATCATCATGCTGTGTGTGTGTGTATGTGTGGGTGTGTGTGCACACGTGCGCTGCGTTTGGGAGTAAGGCAGAGTATTCAGTTTTCAAGAAAAGCACACTGTAAGTTTTTTTTAAATGTACAAAGACATAAGGAAACAAATGCGCCCCCATATAGAGGATATATCTAACTATGATTAGTCATGTACTGTACTTAATTCTGCATGTTCCTTATCGAGACTTACCTAATTTTTTAAAAAATCTGGGTATCAATTTTTTNCAACTACAAAAATGTCTAATGTCAAGATTCCTGGGCAGTGCAAAGGTAACAACTTTTCCTGTGCATTGCATAGTGTGCAGGAAGCAAGGCCCATGGTGACCTATGAACATTTTCATACCTCAAAACAAGATTTAGATAAAGATGTCATCCTGGCTAAATTGATAGCACTCTCACCTCTGAGTCATAGATTTGTGGATTCAACTCACATAGGGAATTTGAACTCATAGTCTAGACCGACACTCCAGGGTAGTCCTAGGGGTGTATGCTGCATTGTTTGAAGTGTCATCTCTCAGGGAGTATTTTCAGTCTGAGACTATAAGCCCATAAAAAAATTAAAGAAAAAAAAAAGAACAGACTGAACAAAATTGTGAAAGGCCATGCCTTTATTCTGCCTTGGAGTTTTAGCTGTAGGCTTGGATTTTTTAAAAAAATCTTTCTACTTCCCCCTCCTGTTGTAAATTGTGGTTTGGTATTCGTTCTTGTGTGCATGGCTGATTGGCACACTAGCAGGAGCAGACCAGTCACTCACTGGAAGCAGGGATTCTTCTCACTCAACCCCTGCTAACCCTGCAAGCTGAAGCCCTAACTAGTAAGGTCGTCTTTGTTGAACGGTGCTTTCAATGGCAAGCTAAGCGGTTTTAGCTGGTTAAATGCCAGCAGTAAATCAATGCACAATGTGGCATCCCGAAGCCAATCTAGTCTCCAGAATTAGAAAAGTAGGGTGAGTACATCCAAGCGTGCATTCCATTCCAAACATGGGAAAATCTTCATGAGTAGGCGGCATACATATGTGAAACTTGTCTGCTTTGGGCACTCTTTAGCATGGCGATGGGTTTCCGCATGTGCCAGAAAAAAAATCTTTCACTGCAATGTGGGATTTAAAATTTTTTTTAACCTTAAATATAATCAGTAATTATATGAGCTAATAAAAAACAGAAAAAAACAAAAGAACATCAAGAGGAAAGGAGCAGAATCCCAACGCCAGTGGATCAAATTTAAGATCCACATTCTTTCCACCAAACATCTATTACTGGAAAAGTTAAAAAAAGTATCATAGAATCAGGGAATTGTACAGCACAAAAAGAGGCCATTCGGCCCATCGAGTTTGTGCCGGCTCTTTGAATAGAGCAATTAATGTCAATCCCACTTCCCAGCCCTTTCCCCATAACCCTGCAAACCCGTCCTCCTCAAATACCCATCCACCACATTTTTAAAAGTAGTTATCGAATCGGCCTCGACCACCCTTTCAGGCAATGCGTTCCAGCCTATCAACTATCCAAAATATCAATGTTATTAAAATATTTCAGATTGTTGTACTCCAAGTATTCCTAATATGGGCTACCAAACAAGATTGTAAAAGATAGGAAAAAAATTAGAAAAAAATTGTTTCATAAAATACATTTTACAAAATATAGTAACTTGGTAAATACAAATCAATGTGAGAGGTTTTGACAACAATGGTTAAAATATTTCACGTTACAATATAATTTGTATCCATCATTCCAGGCAGAGGTATTCTCTACTGTTACGTTTATGTGCAGTGCATAGGACAAAATGTTTCCCATACTGATGCATCTTTACTGTTGTAAGGAATCACGTAAAAACTTTGTCTCTCCTTTTCCAGGAAAGATTATACTACAACTGGTTAATATTGAAACTTATTATTGGTTTGAGAACTGGTTTGATGCTGCTTAAATTAAGCGAGGAATTTGAAGTTTGAATTCTGTGCAAATCAAGGCTGAAGTCACAAAACTATGGCTATCTCCTGGAGAAGTTCCAGTTCTACAGGGAAGGTTTACATATGGTGACCTTATGTAAACAAACCGTGGCCTTTCAGCTATACTAAAGCTATAGAAAGTGATAATGGGGTTGCTTATCGGAATCTTTTCAGTAATTGAATAATGATCACCAAGAATCACTAAAATCCATGGAAACATACTAACAAGTTAATTGCTAAGAAGAGATAAAAGAGAAAAAAATCAGTGAAAAACAGAGGAGGGGTGGAAAGTCATGATTTTTCAAAATAAGAGTTTTTGAATCCCAACTAACTGCACACATCATTTTGGTGATGGCCAGAGTAAAGCAATTTATCTTGAGCAGAATACAATAAGTAATTTTGATTGAATTAAAAAAAAATAAACCTTACCACTGAACAATACTTGGAAGTTTATTTATTAACAAGTATATTTTTGATGTCACTGAAATAACCACTCTCGTTAGACCATTGAAAATCACACAATACAAACATTGAAACAATTTGTATGTGAAAAATCTTTATGCTTCCATAATTCATAAAACAAGGCCAAATGCATCTTAGCGAGGTTTTGTTACCTTGATATTTTAGGACATCTCATGACTCTTACCTGATCTTTCAATTGTTGAACAGAGCTCTGCAGGTTCAGGATCTGATTGAAGAGTGGGCTCTGTAGCACAGATCTCAATAAATTGAGCTTCTCTTCATTCACCACATCCCCTCGCTCTCGTAGTTTGGCTTGCAAACGCTCCAGAGCCTGTAAGGCTCGTGGAGTATCTGTAAGCAAAATTTATTTAATGCAATTTAAATTTTAGAAAAGGAGCACATAAAAGAAGAATTTCACCTCACAAGATCAGTCAGGATAAAGAAGGCCCTTCGGTCCATTTGATATCATCCATCCAAAACACTCACCCTACCATTCCCCAATTACTGCATCAAGGTGCTTTTTAAAATCAGACTAGTGCCCTGGCCTCTACTATCCTTCCTGTTCCAGTCATTGAATAACCTCTAAGTCAAGAAAAACTTCCTGTTATTTGTCCTGAAATTACCTTTACAATTCTAAACCTATATCTCTTGTTCTACTGTCACGATACATTCTAAAGTAATGATCTGGGTTTATGTTTCAATCCCATTTAAAATAGCATATACCTCCATGAGGTCCCCTCTGAGTCACCTTCCTTTCCCAAGTAACACTCTAGCATAGGCAATGGAGGCACACCTACAGTTAATTTATATTAACGTTCAGCATTACTCTCAAGTTATTGCCATTTTAGTAGGCCACCGGCGAAAAAGCCAATATGATCCATAGTAATGAATTCAAATTCTCTTCAGTCTCTCTCTAATAAAATGGTACTTCAATCTAAATTGTTCTATTTGCTTGTTTCATTCATCTGCTTGCTATATCTCTCTCAGGCTTCAATCCATTTTTCTGTCTTAGTTTCTACTGGCTATCATTGATTTACTAGTTTTCCTCCATAAAATAAAAATGCACAGCAATGATCCGCAAACAGCCAAGAAGTGAATGGCCAATTTATCTGGAGCACTTTTGGACAGGACACTTAAGAGAAATTCCCTTCGCTCTTCAAATAGTGCCCTGGCATTTTTAACATCTACCTGACCTGGTGTTGAAAATTAGTTTAATGTCTTATATCCAATGGGCAGCACCTTCAACAATGCAGTGCCCATCCAGCACTGTATTGGAGTGACAGCTTAGATCAGGGTGGTCCAACCTTTTGGCTGCCACAGGCCGGATTCCCTATTTGAGAAAGATCCACGGGCCACAGAAGAAATGTAACATCATTTGCACAAGGACATCTTAAAGCACTCTCAAAGCAAGCTGGTATTTGCTCTGCATAGGGAATGGCCAGGTCGGGAGGTCGCTGAGGCAGGGTGGTGGGGGAGCTGGAATGAAGGACGTAGAGAAGTTTTTTGGGAAAGAGGGGGTTTTCTGTGAAGAAACTGCACGGCAGCTCAGTCGGTATCTATCCGGTCACTTCACGGACCTCTAGCACACACTTGTAGTTCAATTTATAACAATAAATTGAACTGATACTGACCACATTTATTTCTCTTAAATTGTTCAAAGTCAGTTTAGAAGAATCTTTCACGTTATTAAATATATCTGGATTTTAATCCAAGTCTAAGAGTTAAGGAGCAAATGTCTCATCCATAGCAACAAACAGTTATCCAATAAACAATTTTAAATACATTAAACTTATACTGCCCCCCCCCCCACCCATTTAAAATTAAGCAAAAAAAAACCTAGAAGCAACTAATTCTTAAAAAGGACATTAATCCTAAACCTATCATCTGAAGTGAATGTGAAGTGCATATGGTAAACCATTCTAAACACACCTCTCAAAATGCTTTAGAGGCCCCAATAATAGCTGGCTTGATCTTAAAGAGGTCAATTCAACTGTGCTCCAAACACAGTTGGAGCTCAGCTGTGCTCCAAACTGAAATTGATTTCCACTCACAGTACATCTGATCCATTACCAGATTTAAACGATTCAAGCAGTATCAGAGCCAGTTTAGTGAACAAAAATAATATACTTCGAAACAGATAATTACCAGATTCATTGTTGTATTAAAACTGCACACTGAACTTGTTTCTTACCTACACCTTCCAACATCTCGAGTGGTGAAATGAAATCAATCCTCTGGAACCAAAATCCTATTAAATTTGTCCTGAAAAAAAATACACAATTTTATATAAAATCCAGAAAACATATATCAAAAAATTCACATTTTGTTTTGTCTGCATCTGGTTGGACTCATCAACTTAGTCACATTTAACATACATCATTTATAGTCAGCAGTCAATCGCTTAGTCAGTAAGTAGCCATGAGGATTAGATGTCACTACTAATTCTAAACCCTACCTCTCCCACACACACAGGTCAGAAGATGTTCTCTGCTACAAAATGGATCCTTTCTCAACTTCATTTTATTAAGAAACTTCAAAGGCATTTAAAACTCTAGATTTGTGGCTCACTGCAGCATAAATATTTTTTTCAAAGTATATACAGTTCCATGAAATACAAATGCTCTTTGAAATGAAGGTTCAGCTTTCCAAAAAGCAACAAATATGGTCTTTACACAAGTAGGTTCATTTTAGTTAATAATAATAATCCTTGCATTCGATATAGTGCCTTATCATGTCTTTTGAGATGTCTCAAAGCGCTTCGCAGAATATACTGTAAAGTGGATTGACTAAATATTTTGTGGGAGAAACGCGGCAGTCAACTGCGTACAGTAATGTCTCACAAACAGTTCTGGATTGAGTGACTGAATTATTACTATTTTTTAAATTTATTTTTGTTGGGAAGGGATTACTCCCAAAAACGTGATCTGCCAATAGAACAACCAGGTTCCTACTTACTGCTAGGCAAACAAAGGCGTGTGGAGTAAAGCAAGCTTGCCAAAAATTTCGCCCTCATGGCTATTTAACTGGGAATCGAACCCAGGTCCTCTTGCTTGCGATTGACTTATTGAATAACAAGTACAAAACAATGCATCTTCCTGGTTGAAGTCACCAATTATATTCTCCCCATCTCCAACCAGTCTCTCTGCCTCCTCAATCTCTGCTGCTTTCGACACCTTTGACCATCCTATCCTTCTCTACTACCTCTCCTCCCTCCTCCACCTTCATGGTTCTGTCCCATCTTGGTTTCACTCTTACCCATCTCAGCAATTCCACTTTGTCTCTTCAAACGGCTTCTCTCCCATCCTTGAGTCACATGCAGGGGTCCTCTGAGCCCCATCATCGACCGTCTCCTCTTCACTATCTATATGTTCCCACTGCACGCGTGGGGTTCACCTCCACTTGTACGCAGCTGACCACCAGCTCTACCTCTGTGCTTCCACCCTTAATTCCAGGAGCACTGTTTTTCTGACTGATTGTCTGTCAGTCCTAGATAAACTCTAACTATCTTAAGTTGAATATCGATAAGACAGAGGCTCTTCTGCTTGGCTCCCATCAGCACATTCTCACCTCAGGTACTAACACCAATCTACATGGATGCACGCTCTATCTAGCAGAGCCAGTGCAGAACTTTGGTGTCTTGTCTGACTCCCCAACTCTTTCAAACCCCATATTCCTGCTGCAACTCCATCTGCTTTCCCCCACCTCCAAAATATTGTCCACCTCTGCCATTGCCTCCCCCTTGGGCCGCCAAGACTCTGACCTATGCGTTTATCATGTCCAGGCTTTATTACATGAACAGACTGTTTGCTGGCTTACCCAGCTCTTCCTACAAGCTGCATATTGACCAGAATTCTGCAGGCCATGGTCCTCTCTCACATTAGACTCTGCGTGCCCTCAACCCCACCCTTATTTGGCTTCATTAGCTCCCCTCCCTAAGCATATTGGGTTTGAGATCCTTGGTTTCACCTTTAAATCCCTCCATAGTCTCACCCCATCACTACCTCTGCGACCTCCTTCAAATGTACTGACCCAGACGCTTCCTTTGCTCAGCAAGCAATGGCCTGCTTCATATCCCATACCTTATCCAACCCACTATTGGTGGGCAGGCTTTCAGCCATTATGCCGCTGCTCTCTGTAACTCTATCCAGGTTCCACTCTTGACTCACTCTCTCCCATCTTTCAAGGCACATTTCAAAATGTACTTATTTGACCGTGCTTTCAGTCATCTTTCACCTCCCTTGGCTCCCACCACCAGTTCGGGTGTCCAACCAACACTATAAATTATTTTCTCCCAACATGAAAGGTATGATATAAATGCAAATTGTAAAATCCCATCAACAGGACAAATGAGTGATCTTTAGTTGATTTCCACCAATGTTCTCTGAAATTGAAGGCTGGAATGGCTCTCAGGAATTCTTCTTCTAAAACATCCAGCTTGTCACAGTAGCAATGCTGAACCATGAACATTATCTGACGGATCATGAGCACCGACATTTTGTGCCACCACACCACCAATTTTTGAAATTAATATTGATTCACATTATTAACATCCAATGCTGCACAGTGATATGGGGACATATCTGTATTTCTACATGCCAAGTTTCTTATAGTAAAATAAGACTCTTCATTCCAAAATTTCCAACAAAAATCTGCCTTGCAAGGAGAATGTCCTTCAAGGAAAAGTTAATTGCTTTGTTTTTAAAACAAATTCCCACCATAAGCTACAATGCCAGTTTCTTCTGGCGTCCTAGTCAACAATTTCATTATTTTGGTATTTTAAAATATTGTTTAGTCAGCCAGATATCTGACGCATTTAGAAACCCATCAGAATGCTTAAAAATGCCCAAACCAGACTCACGAGTTCCAGAAATGCATGCCACCTACATGTGGATTTTTTTTTGTGCCTGAAATGGTATGTGCGCCCTCTCCCGAAGGAGTATTAGGCACAAGCTGTCAAGACCTAAGGGTTAGGGACTCCAGTAAGTTGTGGGTACTTCTGAAGTTTAACCAGGTAAAACCACATAGCTTGCCACCGAGGCCACTGTCAGGCAAGCTTAGACTGATTGTCCAGCAAGACCACCCTCCCAGTTCGGGCACTGTCTTGCACAGTAAGCCAGATGGGGGGAAGAAGCCGAGGGGGAAGAATACCTTGCCTCATTGACTTGTCTGCCGCTCCAAGTCCTACTGATGAGCCAAACTGTCTTGTCTGTTACCAGCAATGTCTTGGGAGTATTGTGTACCCATCCGGCTCAGGTACCACTACTGAGACCACCAGAGATTGATTCAATTTCATCATTCCCTTGAATCCAGCTCAGCCCCAAGACCAGCTTAGGTCCCCATCAGAGGATAGTAGAATATATTAGTACTCCAGTCCTAGGTGTCTAAGGTTCTGCTTTCTTTCTTCATCTTGTTCTATACTTAGCCCTTTGATATACAAATGACCTGAAAGTACTGGGAATAAATTGTCTTGATACAGACAAAGAGGTGTATGTCTGCTGAGTAAACAAAACTGCAAAATGTATCATATCTTTCCATCTGATAATTATACAACTTCATGCCGCTCATCCGACTATCAGTGGGCAAACTTCCAGCCACTTTGCCCCTTCCCTGTGGAATTATTTTTCAATATCCTACTGCCTCATGCATTTTTTTCTAATCTTGCCTAAACTCTTCGGGATAGGTAAACAGAGTTTGTTCCTCCAGGGAAAGGGCGCATTTGATACACGACCAACAGAGAGCATACATTTGTGGAACTCACAGTAGTATGGGTTGAAGACTGTTTAACATGGTGAGTTTGTGCATGTCAAATACCCAGATGATAAAAAGCTATTTTTATAAGGTCCACATATTCAAAAATTTAAGGAGACAGAAAATTAAATAATCAATTAATTATCTAGTTGTCAATCTTATTAAAGTGGGCACAATATAGCAGTTGATAGCCTTGTATAAAATGTGTTCTACCCAATGCTGCTGACAAAACTGAACTAATCTGAATAGGTTTGATAACTCAGCCCGATTCATGGAGAGGTTCTATAACTAAAACAAACCAGGAATATAGTCCACACTTACAACAGAAAAAANCCATAATCTGAATATCTAAACAAGTGTAACAAAAATATTAGGTGGACTTTATAAATACAAATGAGCTTCCAAAAAGATGTAGAAACCTATTTTACTAAGGTATATAAACTGACTGATGTAAACTAGCCATTCAATTTTTAACAATAATATTAAATATCCAACATTTATGGCAAACTCACCCTGTTGTTCAAACAAATGCATTTCATTTAGATTAAAGCTACTGAAGCAGAATCCTTAAAGTTAATACTGATTAACAGATTAATGAGTCTGACAAAGCCCTGAATAGCATCTTCGTTAATGTAGAAGAGGGAGTAGTTACCAGGTATGGAGGATATTCAGGACTAGTTTTTCTACAGAATTAACTTTTGAAGATTCCTTCGAAATGTAAATACATAACACAATACAGAAGATAAGTACCAGCAACCAACTGTTGGTTGCTACATTATCAAGCCTGCAGTAATTATATCAGTTATCAATCCTTCAATGTGAACATCACCATACATTAAGTACAAAGTGCATCCTGACAGTTAATACTATCCATTATATTTATCACTGGTTAAAAAGCAAACATAGTCAATTAAAACTGCCTTAATAAATTGCAGAATATTACTAAAAAGATACATGAGAAAGTTTACAAAACTATCGTCCTGGAGTTATTTTTGGGGGTCAGACGGATGTTGGATGCTAAAGAGTATCCAAATCAAACAGGATTAATATCCACATAAATTGGTAATTTGAAATTAAAAGCACAAGTGTTAACAATAAATTAAACATTTCAAATGTGTTAACCCTGCCAAAGATGTTGATGTTACGAGGGATGATGTCTGCCTGACTCAGTTGGTACTACACTAGTCTGAGTCAGAACATTGTGGATGCAAGATCCCAACAATTTATCTCTGGAATTTCCATGTGTAGGTGGGATGCATGGATACTCTTAAACATGGTGATAGGTTTCCACATGTGTCGGCACCCAGCTGAACTCACTCTAAGATGACAAGCCAATACAGTGCAGGGTAAGAGCTGCAATGTTGGAGGTGCCTTCCTTTTGATGAGATGTTAAACTGAGGTCCTGTCTACCTGACAGGAGTTCTGAGGAAGGGTCGTGGACCCGAAACATTGACTCACATTCCTTTCTCTACAGATGCTGCCTGACCTGCTGAGTTTTCACAGCTCTCTCTGTTTTTATTTCAGATTCCAGCATCTGCATTATTTTGTGTTTTGTTCCTGTCTGCCTGTTCAGGTAGACATTAAGGTCCCACAGCACTAACTGCTGTGGGCTCCAGCTGGGGATGGATGGGAGTGGGACCTCTGGTTGTGGGGAGGCTCTGTTCGGGGGACGAATGCTCTACCGAGGAGAGGGGCTGTTTCTGTGAGAGGAGGCTGGGTTTGGGGGTATGGGCTGGGTGTGTAGGGTGAGAGGGGCGACTGGGTGTGGGAGTGAGAGGGGGGCTGAGTGTGGGGATGAGAAGGGGGGTTGAGTGTGGGGGGGTGGGTGTGGGGGGGGGTGGGTGTGGGGAGGGGGCTGGGTGTGGGAGAGAGGGGGCTGGATGTGTGGGGGAGAGAGGGCTGGAGTGTGGGGGGAGAGGGGGCTGGGTGGGGGGAGAGGGGAGCTGCTTGTGGGGGGGAGATGGGGCTGGTGTGGGGGGGGGGAGATGGGGCTGGTGGGGGGGGGAGAGGGGGGCTGGGGATGATGGGGGGGAGATGGGCCTGGGGGGGGGGGGGGAGAGGGGGCCGGGGTGTGGGGGGGGAGAGGGGGCTGGTATGGGGGGGAGAGGGGGGGGGTGTGGGGGGGGGGGAGGGGGGCTGGTATGGGGGGGAGATGGGGCTGGTGTGGGGAGAGGGGGGGGTGTGGGGGGGGAGGGGTATGGGGGGGAGATGGTGGTGTGGGGGGGGGAGAGGGGGGCTGGGGATGATGTGGGGGGAGATGGGCCTGGGTGTGGGGGGGGGAGGGGGGTGTGGGGGGGGAGAGGGGGGCCTGGTGTGGGGGGGAGAGGGGGCCTGGGTGGGGGGGAGAGGGGGGTGGGTGTGGGGGGGGAGAGGGGGGCTGGGTGTGGGGGGGGAGAGGGGGGTGGTGTGGGGGGAGAGGGGCTGGGTGTGGGGGGGAGGGGGGGGGTGTGGGGGGAGAGGGGGGTGGGATGTGGGGGGAGAGGGGCCTGGGTGTGGGGGGGAGGGGGCTGGTGTGGGGGGGAGAGGGGGCTGGGTGTGGGGGGAGATGGGGGTGGTGTGGGGGGAGAGGGGGTGGGTGTGGGGGGGAGGGGGGGGTGTGGGGGGGAGAGGGGGCCTGGGTGTGGGGGGGGAGGGGGGTGGGTGGGGGGGGAGAGGGGGGCTGGGTGTGGGGGGGAGAGGGCCTGGTGGGGGGGGTGGGGTGTGTGGGGGGAGAGGGGGCTGGGTGTGGGGGGGGGGAGGGGGGGTGGGTGGGGGGGAGAGGGGGTGTGTGGGGGGAGAGGGGGGGGTGTGGGGGGGGAGGGGGGTGGTGTGGGGGGGAGGGGGGGGGTGGGTGGTGGGGGGGTGGGGGGGGAGAGGGGTGTGGTGTGGGGGAGAGGGGGGGGGGGGGGGGGGGGGGGGGTGTGGGGGGGAGGGGGGGTGGGTGTGGGGGGGAGGGGTGGGTGGGGGGGGAGTGGGGGTGTGTGGGGGGAAGGGGTGGGGTGGGGGGGAGAGCTGGGTGTGTGGGGGGAGAGGGGGGTGTGGGGGGGGGGGGAGAGGGGGTGGGTGTGGGGGTGGGGGTGGGGGGGGGAGGGGGTGTGGGTGTGGGGGGAGAGGGGGGGGTGGGGGGGGAGATGGGGCTGGTGTGGGGGGGAGGGTGTGGGGGGAGAGGGGGGGGGGGGGGGGGAGGGTGTGGGGGGGAGAGGGGGGGGTGGGTGTGGGGGTGGGAGGGTGGGGGGGAGAGGGGGCTGGTGTGGGGGGGGGAGGGTGTGGGCTGGGGTGAGGGCTACCCTGCTGGTCCCGGCTTCGCGCCGCTCCCCTCCCCCCGCGGTACCTGGAGCGCTGTCCTGTGCCCTCGTCACCGCCATTTGTCGGTCACTGCGGCGCCCGCACCTCCTCACAGCCCGGCCTGAGCACCGCACCGCGCCTGCGCACAACGCCCCCGGCCGCCACACTGCGCAGTGCGCGTGCGCGGGAATGCGGCTCCGGACTTTGCCGTAAAACAGTTACATTCCATCCCGGACCGTTACACTTAAACACTGACCGTTAGTGACATTCAAACCCCATTCAAACGTAAGGACCGTTACCCACGGAAACAAAATCCCCCCCTGTCTGTGTGGCGCTGCCGCGCGCAATCGGCCGCCGCGTTTCGCCCACGAAACGCGCAGTCAATTCACTTTACAGTTCACTCTGCGAAGCGCTTCGAGGCGTCTCGAAGACGTGATGAGGCGCTCTATCGAATGCAATGATTATTGTTGTTATGAAACCCGTCTCAAGACCCTCCTCTTCGACTGAGCTTATGATCTCCAAAACCCAAAACAATAATGAATTGGTCATTTTCAATCCACGACTGTTTGTGGGGCATTGCTGTGCGCAATTGGCTGCCGCGTTCGCCCACAAATATACAGTCAATTCACTTTACAGTGTGTTCTGTGAAGCGCTTTGGGACGTCCTCCCGACGTGAAAAGCGCTATATCAAATGCAAGGATTATTATTATTATTATTATACAAATGTCATTGTGTTGTTGTTGTTGTTGTTGTACTCGCCTCAATGTCTGATCCCTGAGGGGATTTATTTATTGTTTTAATCCCCTACGGCTCCAATTGTACAAATGTTGAAAATCTGACATTTTAATGCAACACAGAGGCAAAATATTGATTCTGCAAAACTATAACTTGTACCTAAAAGGAATAAACTGCATTGTTATAATGTTTTACCACATTAAATTGCGTCAAAGTAAACCCCACAAACAGCCAGAAAGCAAATGATCAATTTATCTTGTGGATGGTTGGTCAAGACGCTGAGAGAAATGTCCTTCTCTTTCTTTAACATCCACCTGAAGAAAAAATCAGATGGGATCTCGGTTTATCATCTCATCCAAAGGATGGCACCTCTGATAATGCGAGGGAGGCTCCCCCAGTACTGTACGGGATTCTCAGCCCAGACTCTGGTGTATCAGTCAAGGTCCTCATGGCTCGGGATGACAAACATCTCAGGAATATCCATGTACAGTACAGTTTACAGTTTGGGATACTCTCAGTTCGGTTTGGATACTCTGATGAAAAAAAACAACCTGATGAAGCCTAGGATTCAGGAGAGATTCTTTTTCTTTTCATTTTTTTTTGGAAACAACATAAAAATGAATAAAACAATAGTGACTAACCATTATGGGACTCAAAAATAATTAAGAAATTGAAAGTTTGGATAATGCTTCCGTTTGATATAAGGCCTTATCATATCAAAATATGTCATAATGTTTCACCCATTACATTACTTTGAAGTTTAGTGGTTTATGTTGGAAAACACTGCAGTTAATCTGCATTTGCAATGTCCCCCAAAATGGCAATGAAATGAATGACTAAATAAAATTTTTTGGATGGTGCAGAAATAATGTGAGGGCAGTGTGAGAACCTCTTCAAAATGATGCATTTGAAAGATAAATGAAGTGAAATATGGAGTGGAGAAAATGAAATATGTACTAAATGATTCTTTCACACCAATGTTTATAGTTATCTCTGGACAATTTCCATATCCAGCCAACCTGGCTTTGGGATCTCTAAAATACGCAGATATCAGTAAAGTGCGCGGTACCAAGAAACAAAAAGCATTAAATATTCAAAATACATTAGGAGCAGATGTGATGGCACCTATTTCCCACAATAAGACAAGTAAAGAAATAGAAGAGGCTGTGGTTAATATTTCAGTTATTTCTTCACCTCTCCAGCTCCAGTGGCCAGTCAGCAGTATAAAACACTTTGAGACTGCCTCCTGATGTGAAAGGTGCTATATGAAATGCAAATTGTACTTTATTGTAGTTAACATAGAGCTCCATTTGCCCCAGCTATATCAAGTGCAAGGATTCTTCTTTTTATCATAATCCTAATATTCAGGAGAAACGAGACGTGAAGTAGAAATATAGAACAGTTGGTCTAATGTCCGTTGTCGGGGAAATGTTTCAGAATGTTTTACAAGAACTCATCAATTTCTTTAAAAGTACAGAGATCATAAAAAATGCTGGTATGGTTTTATTCAAGACTTCAAACTTTTCTTTAATTGATTTTTTTTCTAATTTGTGTACAATATCATACATTAAAAACATTCAAACATATTATGTAAGTAAAGCAGACATGCTTTATACACTTGGCAGCCAGTTATATTTTACTTTCAATGGATATAATTTACTTTTTGGAAGACAATGCATAAAGTTGTGCATGTGAACATTCGAAAAAAGGAAAAAGGTGCATGGAATTAATTAATTCATCAAAGTTGGCTTGCCAATGGAGACCTAAAGGTGATGAAATGCACATGCCTGGCTCTGGGGAGCAGTGACTGGTGATGTTCCTATGGTGTCTGTTCTGGATTTCCTGCTATTTGCATTGCTGATGACTGATGAAGGTATTTTTAGAAACATTATAAAAATTGTTCAGAAAACAAATAGTTGGCTAGGCAATTTATTATAAGTCTCGTAGCACTCAAATGTGGATACATGCAATATACTGGCTAAGCAATAACAGATGGAATTTCATGTGGAACAGGGAAGGCAACAACCCCTGATTGTGGAAGCGGTAACAAATGAGTATAATATTGTAGATAGGTATCCATTGACAAGCATTAAGATCATAGAATCATAGAATTATACAGCACAAAAGGAGGCTATTCGGCCCATCGTGTCTGTGCTGGCTCTTTGAAAAGAGCTATCTAATTCAATCCCGCTCCCCCGCGCTCTCCCCATAGCTCTGCAAACTTGTCCTCCCCAAAAAATTATCTACTTCTCTCTTAAAAGCTGTTATCTTTAATGTCCACCTGAACAGGCAGAGAGGACCTCGGTAAATGCCTCATTTGAAGGACGACATCTCCGACAACACAGCGCTCTGCTAACACTGCATTGGAGTGTCAGTCTTGAATTCAAAGCCTTTATTTGAACACACAATCTTGTGACTCAACTGAGCCAGGTTATGTCATAGATATAGTTTCCATACTTTACGCAAGGTGCTTTATAAAATAATACATTTTGTGTCCATCATAATTATGTAAAATATTACTTAGTACAATATTTAGTGTGCTTGCCAAATGCTTTTTTAATTGATACACTTTATATTAGTTTTCGACGCTGAATATTTTCATCAAATCTGCAGTTATATGCAAGTTGTTCTGTTGTTGTTCAAGATGTACTTTGTTTCCACTTAGATGCAATGCTTCGCTCCTAGCCTCCCCCAAAAAACACATGAGTAAGAACCATACAAGAAACAATGAACATTACATTTATACTGATAATGTTCATATATTTCTTTGATAATACACAATTCCAACAAGGTATCTGTTAGCCAGATGCTGTAAGTACTATCAGAGAACAAGGCACATTATATAAAAAGTCCAACATATTGTTCTACCTATTGCGTGTGTCTCTAATGCCCTCCTTTTCTGTTTCCAAGTGAATTCTTCTGGATACCAGTTGTTCACATACTGCGCACATCTGTGGTAGCATGGATTTACAGCTGCTGTAGAGTTTGTGAGAAGCATTTCTATCATTAGGTAATTTCAAGACCCAAATGTATGTTCAAAAGACTACATAATTTACAGCAATAAAAGCACAAGGAGGGACAAAACTACGACTAGTTCAGTTTTCTATTTCAGTTTCCAACAGATTTCAGTTTGTCTCCTCTTGAAAGGAGATATCTGATTTGTTTCTTTACGGGACTGTACACATTTCTCAGCATGTAAATTATGACAAAGTATCCCAGATCGTACATCCCAGATAAAAAGAATATACGTATTTAAGAGTATACCATATATACTATTTGGATATAGAGACCTGCTATACAGGGTATTTAATAAAATTATGAAAATTGTTTCAGAAATCATCAGTTCAGTAAGGATAATGTTTTCTCCTTTTGCAGCTTGCAGATATGATTCCATTCCATCCTCTTTGTTGGGTGTGTGTGTGAGGGAGCAGGTAAACACAGGTAAACACTCCTTGGAGCTGAACTGACTCCAAGGTGATGTGCTTGGCAATGAAATGGAATCAAATCAATCTCTATGGCAGTCTCAGTAGACCAGTTTGTGAGCTACATAGGTCTGCAAGGCACTGCTGAAGCCAGACCAGCCAAATGGGCTCATTGGTAGGACATGGAGGGGCAAAGCAGTCAGTGAGCGCGGAGATTATTCTCACTCTGCTCCTGGTTTAAATCACTTCACACCCTGGCACCTTCCTACATCTCCGATCGGCTCACACCCCACTTCACTACCTGCTACCTTTGCTCAGCTGCTTGGATCTTCTGCATATCCCTCATCCCCTCTGCTCCACCATTACCAGCTGTGCTTTCAGCCATTATGCCCCAAATCTCTGGAACTCTGTCTTGCCCTCTCTTTGCCCATCTTCAAATCACATCTGAAGACTTTCCTCTTCAACATGCCTTTGGTCACCTCCCCTCTCTTTCAGCGTCAAACCACATTGCTGTGAGTTTGAAGACCACTATATTAATGCAAGTTACAGTTTTTATGTGTCCGATGGCAGACTGACCAAAAAAAATTCCATCAGGATTTACTATTCAGGATTTATGGGTGACTGGTTCACATTTCCCATTGCTAATTGAAGATAGACAATTCATGATTTGTACAATTGATTATTTAACTTGTTCAAATAAAAAAGTTGAATAGCTTACCACACGCTAACACAGCTCAACATATTTGTTGTTTATTATCAGAGCTGGGAATTGCTCATTTTCAACCATTAGGGAATTATAAAGTGTTTCGGTTTTAACCACACTATCCCTAGAAAAATGGTCTTTGAACTTTTACAAATCACATAGCATACTGTTGAGGTGTTTAATACTCTGGAATACTGCCATTTCTTGTTTGAGAACCATAAAGAAGATGATCCATTCAGGAATCTCCATCTTTATTATTTGCCATTGCAGAAAGAGAGACCAGATGGTGG